CGCTCCGATTGGCTGCCGCCTTCACATCTGGATCTGCCAGATCCACACGTGGAGGCTGGCGGGACTTGCCGCGCGACTTCACCTCGACAATCAACCCACCTTCACAGCGACAACGAGCTCAGCGTCACAGCGATCAAGTCCCCTTCACCACGGGGATGCCCCGCATCCTAGCGCTCCGATTAGCTGCCGCCTTCACATCTGGATCTGCCAGATCCGCACGTGAAGGCTGGCGGCCGCGCGACTTCACCTCGACAAGCAACTCCTCTTCACGGCGACAATCGACCCCGCGTCACCTCAACAATCGGCCCACCTTGACAGCACCCAGCCCAGCGTCAAGGCGACAATAAGCTCGCCTTCGCCGCAAACATCTCCAGCGACCTGGCGCTCCCATTGGCTGCCGCCTTCACATCTGGATCGGCCAGATCCGCATGTGAAGGCCTGCGTCTGCGCGACTTCACCTCGACAGTCAACGCAGCATCACCGCGACAATCAACTCACCTTCGTCGCGGACATCTCCAGCATCCTGGCGCTGCGATTGGCTGCCGCCTTCACACCCCAATTAGCCAGATCCGCATGTGAAGTTCTGCGGGACTTGCCGCGCGACGTCGCTGCGGTCATTTCGACTTCACTGCAGATATCTTGCTCAGTCCAACGCTCGGAGTAGCTGCTGCCTTCACCGCAGATTGTTCCACTTTACCATTCTTCTCATTCAAGTGGCTCGTGCTTCCCTGGGTATATATTGGCGCCTTTCCGCTGCTCCTTCGTTGCAACTTCACAACTTCTCTACATCAACACAATTCCAACACACTTCTCTTACCATGGCATACCTCTCCAACGCCTTGACCTCCGAACACCTATCTACCGACGGTGTCCAAGGCCTACACTATGAGCTGATCAGCAAGGTTGGCCTCAGTGTATGTACCTTCACATCGCTACTTCACCAACACGCAACAAGCTGACCTTGTCTCTAGGACGCTATCGAGCTGCCAACTCCCGCTGAACTCCGCTCCCTCCCTTTGCTGCCCAACACCACGCTTCCCAACGACTACGACCGCACCCCCGGCAAGTTCGTCTTCGCTAATCCCGCGCGCACCTACCCTATCGTCTACAACAACAAGGAAGGCATGCTCGTTGGCAAGTCAGAGAATGGCGATCGCATCTGGGCCCACATCCATCGCGCCTACGGCAACAAGGTCCTCTGTGATCGCCCTCAACGCGCATTTATCTTGTTCCAAGCTGTCAGTAGTGGTGGCGTAGTTCAGTGTCTTTCTAGTCTTGAGCAGGTTAATGAGTGGGATGGATACATCGCGGGCGAGTGCGAGGGCCTGGTTCCGCGCTGGCGTTTTGTGTATGATTCCCTTGTTCAAGAGCTTCAGGCGGAGGCGGAGTAGGGGCTTTGAGGACTTACAGGTAGCAGTACCTTGCGGTAGATAGCATGACTTTGAGATCCAATTCTACCTCTTTCTTTCCTACCTCTTTTGTGTCGACCGGCCTGAACATCGTGACAGTACTATTGTTCCAACGTCGACGTGCTATAGCTCTACTATTATAACTCTAACTTGGAAGGCTATAGAAGAAGACGCATCTTTTACCTATCGCGAGGTAACGTACAGTCTAACGTTCTTATTAGCTACTACCTTAACTTCTGGATCTACCAGATCCGCACGTAAAGGCTCGCGGGACTTGCCGCGCACCAGTTTCGTTCCTCTGTGCCTACTTGCAGACCACAATCGCTATCTAGATCGCATTCTTCATATTCTTACAAGCGTAAGAAGTCCCTCTATCTTGCTGTTATCTAATCTACGAACGTACCTACAGTAGTATGGCTCAAGTCTTGAACTTCCTGACTTCGCGCACAGGCCTGTAGTCGGAGGTTACAAGCTCCGACTTCAGCGAGGAACGTCAAGTCTCTCCAGCCAAAGTTCACGCATAAATATCTCAACAACAGTGCTAGCTGCAGGTATTCTGAAAGATGGAATAGATTTGGAGCGTTGTCTTGCATCTTTTGGGTAAGTTGCAGCACGTTGCGATACTAGCAAAGCCCGCGGATTATGCGCACGGATTATGCCCTCTAGATTTCCTTTCTTGGTTAGCGAACCCTAACGCGATACCTAATCGAGCGCGGATTGTGCATAATCCGTCGCCTCATATTGGTTAGGTTAGCTTAAGCTATTAAATAAGCTTCTAGAGTTAGCTTAAGCTGTTAAGTTAGATTCTAGAGTAGGCTTAAGCTGTTAAGCAAGCTTCTAGGGTTAGCTTAAGCTACAAGGCTAGTGCTACAATTTACAGACGCACAGACTACATTTTACAGGATTTGACAGCAAAAGTCGCAAACCCAATATACTTAGGTCGACTGCGGATACCAAAAGCCGTTCAAAAGCAGCTTTGATCATTAGCAAGATTCATGGTCCTGCGAAACAAGTTCTGCTTTGAGCCACACAGGTATCGGCCCGTGTTAGGCAGTAGATACTACACGATTGTCGACTACATTCACCAGTAGGATATGCCAACAGTTGTTTACTACCCGGGTGAAGGGATCTCGGCAGTAGTTAACAGTACGCCACTTGGCAGCCGAGACAGTCAACTTTTGTGTCGTCAAAAGCGAAGTGCCTTAAAACAGGCGACAACTTCCAGCGTGCAAAGAGCAGTGGATTCTCCACCAAGATCCGGCGCAGCATTTCCCTTCTCTTCTCTGCACCAGGCCATTTGCCCTGCCACAAGCGTACATAAGGCACCATAATGTCCAAGGCCTCCCTAACCCACCTCCCTGCTCTTTCCTCACCAATCCTCCCCTTTTGTACCATGCGCTTCTCCAGCTCCCCCAAGAAATGCTCTCTCTCTTGCATGTTCCCCACCAACGCAGCCTGCATGACCGCTAGTAGGATATGTGACCGGATAGAACAGTCCAACTCATCCACCTTGATTGCTCCAGCTCCTAGTCCGGCTGTCTCCTCCATCGCAACAGCGGCTAGGAACTCGACCTCCTCCTCACTCCCAATCTCTTCCTGCCACCCCCTCTGCAACGCTTGATCTGCAGTCCCTCCATCCGGTATCCCACACCAGAAAAACACTGGCTTGCTAGGTTCTGGTTCGACAACCTTACCCGAAGAAACCTGTGCGAGGTACTGTGCTTCCAAACTGTGTATATCATACAATCCCGACGCGACATTGAGCCCAAAATGATGGGGCCCCCATGCTTCGCGGTTGTCCTTGCGAGGCGATGGGTCAGATGTAGGGCTTGAAGACGAAGGGATCTTCTCCTCTCCCTCCAGCTGGGTGCTGGTGTTCGTGGACAACGCTTCTTGTTTCGATTCTGCGATGGGAGGTTTGTAGTACTCGTCTAGCCAGAAGCGCGCATGTGGTTCTGAAAAGGGGGGTGTGTTGGGGTAGGCCGCGTGTAGGCGTGTCAAGGCTGTGTCAAGCGTCCGGAGGGCTATTTCAGTAATCGTGTCAAATGGAAGGAACGATTGCCTGTGGCAAGTCCGCCCCACAGTATAGGCCCAGCGGGGGAGCTTTAGGACGTGTTTGGATACCGGATCATCACGCGGCAGACACAGTGGGGAGGACGAGTCCGGAAGATCCTGAAGGTCGGGCATGCGGTAGAAACGTGCTGTGTTGGGTTGGGTAAGGAATGCGGTGGAGTAGTAGGAGCGCCAGGCTGTGGGATTCAAGAGGGCATGGTGCGCAGTGTAGAAGGCGTCGAAGTCTGAGAAGGTGAGAGGGTCGTCTCCATTTAGTTGGTCGGTCCAGCGGTAGTAGGCTGCTGCGATCTGGGCGAGATAAAATATATCCAAGGTACTGTTTTATCTTAGTCACACACATGCAGGTGCTGGGTACATCGGTATGAGGGATTCTCATATGAGGATGTAGCTTACCGATTGAAGCGGAGCTCGTCCTCACCAAAAGACCAGCCATGCGCGTGCAGCTTCTCCACAACATCGAATACGCCCTGGCCGTCCCACAGCCCCTCATCGATATAAATGTATGCGATCCGCAAGACATCATCGTGACATGTCACTGGCACGATTCCGCCTTCTACATTAGCTAGAAATTCCTTGGCTTTATCGTCCATTGTAGTGCCTGTCGTACGCAGAATGCAATTGCTGGAGTTGATGTTTTGAAATTTGCCTCTAGGGCTGGGAAAGTAACAATATTGAGTGATAGGCAAAGTCGGCGATCGCGCGGTCTATATACAAGATGCCGAAGGGGGCTAGGCCTAGTCGCGCTAAAGATCTACTGAACCTTGGAACCGTGGCTCTCGCCCGAACGTGAAAGCCGCACGGTTCACTCACCAACATCAAGGCCAGCTGCTGCAAATCGAAAGCATCCCACCATTAGCTTATTTCCGACTTTCACGTTCGTGCGAGAGCGTGGGTACCCTCACAACTAGTTCATGCAATAACGTCAAGGATCAGTAAGTGGGCCGGATCAGTGTGTGGGCCACCCCACCAAATTTGACGCAACGCTCTACACAACCACCACAATGCCGCGACAACAACGCCCTATACAGACTTTTTGTGAAGGTAGACTTTGTCTTGCTATGGCTTCCTATCGTAATAATCCAAAACAATCAGTGCGCGCACTCGCAGCAGCGTACGACGTGCCAAAGTCAACGCTTCAACGACGTCTTCATGGTACTAAGGCACGATTAGAGATAGTCTCTGTTAACCGCAAGCTATCGCCTATTGAAGAGCAGTTTCTCGTACAGTGGATTCTGGAGCTTGACCGACGTGGTTTTCCACCCCATATTATCGACGTCCAACGAATGGCAGACGCGTCGCGGCTACGATCCACCTTCCCCGCACGTGGGCAAGAAATGGGTGTCGCGCTTTATCATCGTGCTTGGACCAGCAATCACCCGCTGACCATGTGTCATTCGTGTTTGTTCTGATTTCCAGGCATAAGACTTAGATTCGGTGAGGATTCTAGCTACGTGCAAAGAACTCCGCTACCGTAGTAAGTCTACCTTTCAATTAACCACCCGTGTTTATCCCAAGCCTCCCCTTCGATGCCCACATATCCTCACCTGTCGCCCCCTAATCACTGATTCCTCTTAACTAGCGCTTCTACGGTTTATATGTCCCCTTTCCGTAGCCTGGAAGGGAAGTCACGAAACCCCAATCCGCCGGACCGATTTTGCCAATCTGTTTGTTGGCCTCGGTCTCCCGCTCGGCACACTGCGCGAGATACACCTTGCCAGTGTCGATAAGGGCCGGCGGGATCAATCCTTGGGTCCTTTCTAGCCAGCCTTTCACCTTGGCGAAAATCACCGTGTTCTCGACCGTTGCGCCTGGAAGGACGGAATCGATGAAGCGTGCTTTGTTCTTCTCTGCGGTGTCCGATGCGTCAGTATTAATGGCAAACCCAAAGGGAAGAAAAGGAGTTGAACACGTACTGCTAACTGGCTTCGGGTACCACAGTTCAAGGGGCTTGCATGTATTCTTTGTTTCATCCTCCTCGTCCTCGGGAAACGTGTAAAGCTCGGGGAGGTAGACCTTGTTCCATTTGTCCCATTCGTCGGCGTCAACCGTCACCACGCAATCCCATTGAACCGACCCATCAACGGAATTGTCACCCCAGGCTTGGTACGAATTCAAGATGTAAAGACCCTGGCCTATCTGGCGGCCCCCGTTGCCTATGGACTGCACAGCTTTGCCTCCGTTTTTGTTGATGGCTTCGGCTTCGGCCTGGACGGTTAGTTGTTTTGGTCGCCGGATTACGGAGGATGTGGAGTGGAATTTAGAATGGAGTGGAGGGAAGAATGAATTGGAAACAAACCTTTGACATCACACGATATCCGATGTGTTTCTTCACATTACCATCGCGTGTGTGCAGTCGAGTCGTGTAGTCTTGGGGAATGGCCTGGACTGCAACGGAGGCAGCAAGTGCCAGGAGCGCCCAAAACTTCATGATGCGGGTTGTACTGAAAGATGTCCAGGAACAGAGAGAGTAAATAGGTCTACTAGTTGATGAGGAGGAACACGAATACTCTCTCGCTGAACCGGGAAAATAAGGAGAACGACCTAAACCGGTCAAGACTGAGATGACTACTAATTCATCAAGCATTGGATTGAAAGGGGTGGTGCGATGTTACCTCGCCATACCTGTTTGGAACTCTCTAAGCCATCCCTGCAAAGGCAGCTCCGAGGAAAAAGGTAATCTTTCTGTAGAGCAGAGCTCATATTCACCCATGTTTGCACCCAAACAGCACTTCTCCGAAATTCACCGGGGCCTAAAGTCACCTCGAAACGAGCCTGCCAGGGACCGGAAAGCTATCGACAGTGAGGACCTAAAATGTTGAACCTCTAGTGTAAGCAATGACTCTATTAGCTGGCTGCCTGATTTTGGGGTCTGATTGTCCCACTTTCCTATGGCGTGAACTTGAAAGCTAGAGCTCTTACGGAAGCGACGGCGCTGCTAGCTTGCCCGGATTCCAGGGTCCTACGTGAGGCACTTTGTTAGCTTCGATGGAAAACTCTGCATACATACTTGAGCCTTTCTGTTTTCGAGCAGATAGACGCACTGACCTCGAAGCAAATGCTCTATCGGAGGCGGAGAAGTGCAGTGCGGCGTGTCTTCAGGTACGACGGCCTAGACAGAGGCTTGTAATTTACTAAATTTGAGCTCCACCATTTTTGGTTAGGTGGGTTCTCAATAAAGTGCATATCGCGAACGGGCGGGCGGGCGGGCGGGCCGCTTTACTTACTAAAACCAACACGTGGTGGGTTCGCGGCATTTAGCGCAGACGATGATTAATTGCGAGAACATACACAATTTTGTACATTCGCCAATAGTGCGCAAGGCGTGTACGCTTTTCGAGAAAGAAGTGCCGAGATACGTTCTATCGATTCCGAGTGGTTGTGATTAGGTAGCTTCGTAGTATGAATGTATCCTTTAGGTGTGCAATTGCGCGTTTTACCTTGTGTTGCGACCACTACCGTCCAAAATTCTAAAATCAGATGGCCTGGATTTTCCCGAATAAGGATCAACGTTGTGACATCGAGAGAGGAATTTTCATTTGGCCCCCAAGTAAGAAACTAAAAGTGGTACCGGGCGCTTAGAATGACGATTAGGGTCTCTTGCCTCGGCTGGCGATTTACGGTACCAGTACCTAACTCACCGGTACCTAATTTCAAACCTTATCTCGACCCATGCCCCATTTTAAAGTTCGCCGTACCTGCAACTAACAGCGGGCAAACAGCTGCATGCGTCAAGAACCAGGCGCCACTGAAATTCCTTGACTTTCCTACATACTGAAATTCCCCATATCACCCGAGGCTAACGATAAGCACCGCCGAGCCGTGTGCCCCACTTGGCGCCCAGAACTACTAGTGCTTGCCTGGACTTCATCAATCTATCTGCTCCGTGGGACGATCGGTAGTTCCCAACGTACGATTTGCGCCTAAGTCGCGGGATAGGGGAAACATTGGAGGGACGCCTCGATGCCGATTTGCGGAGACTGTAAGCTACCTCCGTTGATGGTTCTTTCCACCGTGCCGAGGAAAATCGATTTTAGCTCTGTCCCACAGCAGTTGACAGAGCGCAGTATCATGGCGAGTATCGTTTGCATCAGGCGACATACCAATGCGCTGGGGGCCTGTTCCAGCCCTTACCTCATGATGAAGGAGATTTTGGAGAGAAGCGTTTTCCCCTTTTCGTCGAAGAAATGTAACATCACCTGGACGGAGGAGGGAGTACTAAAGGCCCTGCTCGGCCGTCTGCTTCGTCCATCTGCTCCTACACCTTCTTTGTCTTTCTTTTCCAGCTCGTCTGGTCCTCAAGAAGATGTGGCTCTCACCGTCCTCGGCTTCAGCCGGAGCGATCGCCACGTCCCTCCTGCTGTTGTCTGCGGCGGCGGCAACACGCGTAGATGGCGGCTCCAACAAACTGAATGAATACCTTGCCGTACACCCTGTACCTATCAAGGCGGCGGCCGCCGTTCCTGCATCCGGCAGCACCAAGGCCAACGCACTTGCCCCGGAACTCATCACGGCGGTGCTCAGTGAGTGTCCATCAGGATGTGTAGACGCCGGCTCGACCAGCAGCAACTGGACTGTCTATCCCCGTCTGGGCCGATTAGCCATGTGCAACCAGACCATGCTGCTCGACTTCTCCCTTCACACGTCACTGCGCAAGGACGAGACGGTTCGCGCCTGTACTGGCGATTCCACAGCCATAGCCGGCCACACGACCAAGGACGCCTCTTGCCTGCCCAGCGGCAGCGTGACGCAGGCCCGCGAGTCGCTGCAGCTGGCCTTTAACAAGACGGCCACGCAAGCTACAGGCGGAGATCTTGCGGCCGCAGCGCAGCAACTCGCCGCTGCTTGGTCGCAGCGCAACAGCTCGGCGTGCACCGACACAACTGCCTTTGCTTACTCCAACACGGCTGCCTTCGGTCTCTTCGCCGGCGCTGGAGTCGGTGATGTCCCATCCGTTGTGCTGCAGGAATTTCTCGCAAAGATCAAGACGCCCGACTTCTCCGGCAGCGCCGTGGTGCAGCTGTGTGCCAAGGACGGTCGCAGCTCCAAATACAGCTTCGGCATTGTCGCGAGTGGAGGAGGCGACGTGCGCGTGGTTCAGGATGCCGTCGCCGCGTGGGCGTCGGCTGAGTGCCTTATTACTTACGACGCCGCCGAAGACTGGCGTGATATCACGTTGTCTGTGCCGAGTCTGTTGAGCAACGGCACGGCGGGCAATGTCACGACTACTCCTTCCCGCAACAGCACAGTTCCTCTCAAGAAAGTCAACAAAAGGGCCCAGTGTTCGACCAGGCAGGTTGTCTCAGGCGATTCCTGTAAGTATTTATTCTCAGCAGCAAGACATTCAGTCCTTGATGGCGGCCCACTGATGACCTCTGTTAGGTGGATCCCTTGCAGCTGAGTGCGGTATCTCCGGCGCCAACTTCGACAAATACAACCCTGGCGAGGGCTTCTGCTCCAAGTTGACGCCTGGTCAGCACGTCTGCTGTTCCGCCGGCACGTTGCCTGACTTCCGCCCGAAGCCCAACGCCGACGGCACCTGCGCCTCGCACTACGTGGAAAAGGAGGAGAACTGCGCGGCCCTGGGTGCCGCAAACAGCCTCACCAATGCGGAGATTGAGAGCTTCAACAAGAAGACGTGGGCTTGGGATGGCTGCAACAATCTGCAAGCGTACCAGTACATCTGCCTGAGCACGGGCGATCCCCCAATGCCGGCGCCCATTGCGAACGCCATCTGTGGGCCCCAGAAGCCAGGCTCGCAACAGCCAGCATCAGGTGTGTCGCTGGACAGCCTGAATCCGTGTCCGCTCAATGCCTGCTGTGTACGGTCCCTATGAATACTTGAAAAATCTTGAACACTAGCTCACCGCGTCTCCAGAACAAATTCGGCCAATGCGGCATCAACCAAGACTTCTGCACCAAATCCAAGTCGGCCACGGGCGCCCCGGGCACCTCAGCCCCTGGCACCAACGGCTGCATCTCCAACTGTGGCATGGACGTCGTCGTCGGCAGTGCGCCCGCCGCGTCCGTCAGCATTGGCTACTTCGAGGCCTTCAACCGCAACCGGCCCTGTCTGAACATGGTCATCACCGCCATGGACCTGACCCCTTACACGCACGTCCACCTGTCATTTGGCGAAGTCACCAGAAGCTGGGATGTCGACGTTAGCGGTATCCAGGAGCAGTGGGAGTTGTTCCTGGAACAGGCGGGCTTCAACAAGATCTTGTCACTAGGCGGCTGGGCCTTCTCCACCGAGCCGGGAACGTATTCCATCTTCCGCGACGCGGTTGCGCCCGGCAACCAGGATACCTTTGTTGCCAACATCGTGTCATTCGTAACTAAGTATGACCTGGATGGCATTGACATCGATTGGGAGTGTAAGTTCGCTGCGTCCGGCCAGTGCTTAAGCACTATTTGATCAATTTTTCTAACTGATTCCGCAGACCCTAATGCTCCCGATATCCCGGGCATTCCAGCTGGTACGTATAATTACGATGCTCGACTTTAGAGAGCACTGCTGACGTGAAGATGTATTGCAGGCACCGAAGCCGATGCTACGAACTACCTCAGCTTCCTCAAAAAGCTGCGGGCCGCGATGCCGTCTGGCAAGACTGTCTCGTTCTGCGCGCCGGCGTCCTACTGGTATCTGCGCGGCTACCCCATCAGTGAGATGGCCGAAGTGGCTGACTACATTGTCTACATGACCTACGACCTCCACGGCCAGTGGGATTACGCGAACAAGTTCGCCATCGACGGCTGTCCAGAGGGCAACTGCCTGCGCTCACAGGTCAACATCACCGAGACGCTCCAGTCGCTGGCCATGATCACCAAGGCCGGCGTGCCATCCAACAAGCTTGCTGTTGGCGTCGCCAGCTACGGCCGCTCGTTCGAGATGACGACGGAGGGCTGCACCGGGCCCATGTGCACCTACACCGGCGGCCCATCTGGTGCCTATCCCGGGCCATGCACAGGCACCGCGGGCTACATCTCCAATGCCGAGATCAGAGCCATCGCGGACGGCACTGGCAGTTGGCAGGACTCGACGGGCGCTGTGCATCACGTCAACTCGTACTCATCGTACTTTGATCAAGACAGCCAGTCGGACGTCGTCGTGTATGAAGGCACTCAATGGGTCGGCTACATGAACGACGACACCAAGCAGGACCGCACAGAGCTCTACAAGTCTCTGAACATGGCCGGCGTGATCGACTGGGCCGTCGATCTGAACGGATACGAGGGCGCCCCCATCTCGCCTGGCGCTGCCGCCAACATCGTCTATCCCCCACAGAGCATTTGGGACTCATCTGACCCGCTGGCGGCCTGCAAGCCTCCCTGCGTCGTCGTCCTGCCGCCATACCCGCTGACTGGCGCCCACACGGTGACCTCGTGGCCCGCCCTGACCACCACGCTGCTGTCCTCTAACGCAGCGGACGGCCATGTCTATGTCAAGACGACGACAATCCCCGTGCCGAGCTTCGCTATCAGCGAGGTCAATCTGCAGCCCCTGACGCTGTATGCAACCGACACGGACCAGTACACCATCAACCCAATGCAGAGCATCATGCCTCCTTCCTTCCTCTGGACACTGCCTCCAAACTATGCCACCTTCCCCGCCACAAAGCCCACTCCCGCGGCGTCCATTCCCGCCATGTCCACGGGTAACGGCGTACCTATGACCACGAACAGCGCCGTGGCGACGTCTTCGGACAGCGGCGTTCCTTTGGCCATCATCTCTCTGGTCACCTTCTTCCCGACCTCTGTTGCCGTCACCATTCAACCCCAGCCCACGTTCTCGGTCGAGTACCCCAAGCCGCCCGTCCCAGGGGGTCCTCTTACCCTCAAATCCACCAGTACCACGAACCCCAGCAGCACGAAGACCGGTACCTCGCCGACCAGCACCTCGGACCCCGACTCCGACTCGGGATCGGACAGGCGTGGTACACGCGACTGCAGCACCTTTGGCTGCCCCGGTGGCAGAGGCACCGATGTTGACGGCGGTGGCGGCGGCGGCGGTGGGTGCGGCAAGTTCAGCTGCGACGGTGGGTGTGGCATCTTTGGCTGCGGTGGCGGGTGCGGTGTCACAGGCTGCATACCGAGCTGCCCGCTGGGCTCATGTGGTGGTTTGGGCTGTCTCCTTCCCGGCGGCTGTGGAAATACCCAGGGCTCTAATGGCGGCGATAGCAGCAACGAGTGCGAGACCAAGGTGACGGTGTCGGCGTGCACGTATCTGGTGACGAGTTATAGCGCGTGGTATCTGGCTTCCTCGACGACCACCACGGAAGTGAGTCCCTATTCTCTCTTCTCTAGTACCCTCATTCGGGGTTTAGAGAGACAGTGACACGGAAATGCTAACCCGGGACAGACTGACTGCGCGACCAAGACGGCTTGCAACGGACTGGATACCTCGTTTACGACGACGCCTGGCGTTCCAGAGTGCACGCTCGATCCGGATGTCGCGAGGGCAATGGATGCTGAGGCGGCAGACGACAAGACGCGGATTGATGGGACTGATATACCAAAGGAGTACTGGCCGACAAACCCAGCGGGGTATGATGGATCCAAGTTCACCCTTACGCAGTTTGGGCTGTCAGAGACAATCACGGTTGTGAAGACCACCACAACGACCTCCCACTCCACTACTACCAAGACGGTTGAGGTGCCGAAAGTAGCAAGCGCGAAGTGTGATTACAGGTACGTCCCCCTTCTCACCCACCTTTCCAACTCCCCCTTTCTCCACTATGGATATCACTATGCTCTGTATTTTGATGTAGATATTGTAACTGACCCGAACAGTTATGAAGGATTGTTCTTGATGTTCAGAGTCTACAAGATGGACGGCTGGGCCAACGATGGCGGCGACAGCCTGAAAAAAGAGGAAAAAGGCTGCGGTGCTCTGACAGGCTGGGACTTCGTTGAATCAAGAACAGACTGGGGAACGTGGGCCTACTTCCAGCTCCCCGTCCTTATGAAAGCCGGATGCGTGGAGCGCGCCATCGTCTCGGCCGGCGGGCCCAAGTTGTCCTGTAAAGACATGGGCGACGACGAATGGGCGAAAGACAGTCCTCGCCGGCGCGACACAGCGCCCAACACGTTGCCGAGCGACAACTCGGACAGAACGCCCAATTTCTTGCCGACCAACAGCACGGACAAGGGGGACACGACCAACCCGTACGCGCCCATGGTTTGGGGCGACGGTGACACGGTGACGCTCACGGCGACCATCGATGTGCTCGGGACGTCGACGTATACGACTGAGATTTACATTGCCACGTTGGTAGAGCCAGTGTCAAGCACAGAGACGAAGTCCTTGACCACAGAGACGAGATCCCTCATCACAGGGACCACGACATCAGCATCTACAAGAACAGCAACCACGACGACTGCAAGCACAGCCCCCACATCCACAGGCACAGTCTCACCCGACGGCATTTGCGGCGGCGCAGACGGCTTCATTTGCCTTGGAAGTGGATTTGGCGATTGCTGCTCCGCATACGGCTACTGCGGTTCTTCGAGCGATTTCTGTGGTACGGGATGCCAGAGCGCGTTTGGCATATGTGAGCAAGGAGCCAGCAACAAGGTTTCACCCGATGGCTTATGTGGTGGAGCCAACGAGTACGTGTGTGCTGGAAGTGGGTTTGGCGATTGCTGCTCTGCATACGGATACTGCGGTTCTTCGAGCGACTTCTGTGGTACGGGTTGCCAGGGTGAGTTTGGGACTTGTTAAATGCTGGGATTGGGTGTGGGGGAGAGGGTAACAGCCCCTTAGGAGGTCCTGAAGAAAAGACTTACGACGTTACTACTTCTTATCCCTTATTTAGACCCTTATTAAACCCCTTAAGATTGTTACTCTGCTATGCTGAACCGCCATCTTGCCATGCTAACCTTTATTCCTTTACTACACTCATGCTACTTTACCTTACTCTCTACACCTCTTGTGTGTTCTCTTGTCTCTTTGCCTACCTATTCTCTTCGTGCAAGCTCTTCGTGCGCTGCGGAAAAGCAACGGAAAACCACCAGCGCAACTACCGTCTTAGCGCGGGCAATGCCCTAATCGCGTAATGCTTAGGCAATAACATAACAACCTCTACATAAATTGTAACATAACTCTACTAATATAGATCTAATTTAAGAAGTAATTAAAAAAAAGAAGAAGTAGGCTATAAAAGAGGCTAAAGAGAAGTGCTAGAAATCTCTTTATAATATATAAAAAGCTATAACGTAAAGCACCAGTGAGCCGGCCACCCCAGTGAGCCGGCCACTTTTTCTTGGCATCGCGAACACCATGTACGAAACATAAAATTACTCTACATCCTCTACAGATCCTTCGTACGATGTAGCTACATTAGATTCAGAATCTTCTTCTGCATCTTTCTGACACGTACGAGCGTTGTGTCCAGTCTCTCCACAGTTGCCACAGCGCCGTTGAGCTGGCTGGGTCCTTTTTTGACTACCTCTACTACTACCCTTATTAGACCTCGTACAAGCAGCAGAAGCACTTTCAGCTACCTGCAATGCGCCTGCACCAAACTCTAGTGTACCGCCTGTCTGAATTCGCTTCCTTTTGCGCCCTCTGCGCTTTGTTAACTCTGCTACTTGCTCTTCAAGCTCTCGTACGCGGGCTTTGATAAGAACATTTTCATGCAGCATCTCTTCAGCTCCTTTAACAAGCTTTGAGAAGCCTTCTTGAGCACTTGTTGGAGATCGTACGAATGATTCCCTTACTAGCCTTGATTGCGACCCAAATTCGTACGTATTACTTGGTGTTCTAGACTGCCAGGGTGTTTCTGGTAGGACGACTGGTGGTGGCGTACGAAGACGGACCTCAAGGCGATCAAGGACCCTCTGCGCGTTGATAGGAACTAGTCCTGCTGCCTCAAAGGCCTTCTTGCAGTTCTCGTACGTGAATACGTCGAAAAACGCGTCTTTAAAGGCTGGAAGGAAGCCTTCTTTGTTGATGTGGTAGACGCGTCGGCGTGCCAAGTCTCGTACGCGCTGAGAGTACTTCAGCTTCAATGGCGAAAAACACACTACGTCAAGTGGCTGAAGTATGTGCGATGAATGAGCAGGCATACAGAGGGTTAGGATCTTTTGTTTGAGGCAGTAGTCCTTAAAATCCTGGTTGAGGTGGCTCTCATGGCCGTCTAAGACGAGCAGCCTGTACGACCCTACCTGACGCGACTTTGTATGCTCATCAAAGTGCTTTAACCACTCAAGGCCAAGCTGATTGTTTGTCCAGCCATTCTCTGATACAGAGAGCTTCCAGTCGTACGGTATTGAAGTCTCCTCGTACCATGCTGAGATATGGACGCGTCCCTTGTAGATGATGAAGGGCGGGGTCGCGTACCCAGCAGCGCAGATGCTCTGCACGACTGTAACCCACTCGCGATCGCCTGGCTGGATCAAGTTTGGTCTTGTACGACGTTCTGAGCCTGTGACTACTTTCATTGAGCCAATGACGCCCATCTGGAAGCCTGTCTCATCAAAGTTGTGGATGTCGTCGTCTGCAATGCCATACTTGGCTACTGTCTCTCGGACGAGCGTGAACCACGCGCCGATAATCTCTGGATCTTCTTGGAGTATCCTCTGACGATCTTTCGCTCGGTTGAAGGCCATCTTAAGCTCCTCCGTACGCTGAACAAAGCGCTCTGCCCAGTTCTTGCCAACGGGTGTCCCACCACGTACAGCTAGTAATTTATCTGCGATATCTGCTACCTCTTGCAGCCGGGGGGCAAACCCTCGGGAATTAAGCTCAAGGATATATCGTACGATCGTTTGCTCCTCTGTTAAGGTAAGCTTCTGGATTCCAGGTCGTGTTTGGTGTCGATTTGTGATTCCGTGCAGCCGATCAGAGAGCCGCTGATGTCGTACGCTAAAGGCAGCAGCAGCGCGTCGCAGGGTCTGAAATTGGCCTGAGGTATAGGCCTGAAGAGCAAGATCAATTCTGCCTTCGTTGTACGATAAGTTAGGCTTCTTTTGAGATAGCATTGTAGTTCGTACATGGTGTTCGCGATGCCAAGAAAAAGTGGCCGGCTCACTGGGGTGGCCGGCTCACTGGTGCTTTACGTTATAACTATTCTAAAAAAGTAAGTGTAAGGCCTTATAAGCCTCTAAGCCTTCTAAAAAGTATTAGAAATATACTATTATTAGTATATTTTATGTAGAAGCTAGTAGTGCTACTATAGTAGCTCTAATATAAAAAACTAAAATATAATTAATCTAAACGCCTAAAAAAAATTCTAAATAGCACAAATTATTTATAAGTATATAATTATTATAATACTAGGTTTTTATAGTATTACTACTATTTACTATAGCTTTATAGCTTTATTTTTTATGTAGATAAGGTAGTTGTTGCCTAGGTATTACGCGATCGGGGCATTGCCCGCGCCAAGACGGTAGGCCGGCGCGACGGCACTTCGGATTACTGATAATGACAGCCAATCCGGCCCCCCAGCCAAACCGAGCCACGTAAACACCAAAACAGCCTCACACTGTAGCTATTATCGCGAATTTCTTCTAATGGTGATATCTATAGGTTGTAATTACTATATATATAGTTATTGATGCCGTGTAGAAGACGAGACGTTGCGGCTACGCGGTGACCTGAGAGTTGGTGCGACTGCTACAGCGCCTTTAGGCTCTCCACCACCTGTCGACCTCGCGATAGATCTCCTGTTTATAGTAGCTCTTATAGGAGCCCCGAGACTGTGTTTTTCACATGTTTGGGAGGTCTTAAGAGCTTTTTGAGTCGTTTTGCAGTCCTGCGAGCAGCTGTCTCAGCCTTCTTCTTCTTTCTCACCAACCTAGCTGCAGCCCTCGCCTGACGCCTCCACGAAACATGTGAACCAACTAGAGCCAGAAGAATTGGAGTGAGGGCTGAGTGGATTTAGCCATGTATCTCTAGAGAATCAGCACCTGATTCGCGTTGCACGAACGCGTTGCATGAACGCGTTTTTGGGGCAGGATGCACGATTCCCTGACATGGAAGAATCAGGGGTCGATACCACGGGGCATCATATACTAGGCCTGATTCGTCTCCTCATATTAGTTAGGCCTGATTCGTCTCCTCATATTGGTTAGGCCTGATTCGCCTCCTCATGTTGGTTAGTGTCCGAACCGCGCCTTATATTGGTTAGGTCATCAGCGGGGCATACAAAGCTACATCAAGAGCGGCACATTTCTCCTTCCCATCGAGCAGCATAAATGGAAGCACAACGCAGACACTGTCGTTCGCCTACTCTCGAGCAAGAACATCGCAGCCACCTTAGGATTTTAGGCAAACACAGCAAAGCCGACAGTCGCAGACAAGACTCGCAGACACACTAGCTCATAGCAGAAGGTTTACAGCGACATAACGAGCATGCGAACTGAAGACTTCGACAGGCAAGAGCAGATTCCGTGCTTCCTTACGCCGCCCTGGAGATAGGGTCCAACCACTTACATTAACGCGACCGCTGAGGAAGCACGGGCGCGACACGACAAAGAACACGTAAAGGAAGACAGCCTTAGCATCTATACAGATGGGAGCAGCAACAAGGGCGAGAGAGGCTCTGCAGCACTGTGGCCGCTTACATAATAGGCACGATCTGTACACATAGGTTTAGACACAGAGTTAACAGTATATGTAGTAGAACTACAAGGCATTAGCCTAGTACTGCAGATTGCTTAAGAGTATGCGAGCTAAAACAGTGCGCAACAAGACGTTGCTATATACACAGATAACTAGGCCGCTGTCTAGTCTATCGCTAAGGCGGAAGAACAATTAGGCGCCTACATCCTTGCAGACGTCGCGCGATAGGTCTAGAAGCTCTAGGACAATAGACAGACAGTAACTGTCTAATAGATACTAGCCCACTTTGGTATACCTAGAAACAAGGCTGTCAACAAAGCGGCTAAGAAGGCTACTAGATAGAGAGAAGACGGCCGCAGAAGCTTGCCAGTAGATGCGTCTCTCTAGCGAGTCACTATAAGGTTGACTATAAAGAGATAGTGCAGCATACAAGCTAGACAGGCATAGATAGCAAAGTAGCGTAAGAACACTAAGGGCCGAGCAATCTACAAAAACACTCTAACGCCTACTAAGAAAGTACTCTAGCTCTACAAGAGGCACTTAGCGGGAGAGCGCGCTGCTAGTGCAGCTGCGGACAGAGAAGATTAGACTTAATAACTTTCTCTTTGCCTAAAGAGTGCTACACGTTACTAGCCCGCGCTGCGACTGTAGAGCGAGACAATAGACTGTTGCGCACATTCTTCTCTACTACTATAAGCGCAGGCACCTCTAGAACTATATCTTCACTAACCTATCTAGACGGGACAACATCTAGACTATTCTAGGCACGCTACAGCTAGCTACTAAAGCTATCGAGTATGTAGAGTAGACGCAGATCCTTGGGCAAAATGGGGATTGCAGGCGCGAAGACGATAGCTCACGTTACCGGTACTGTACGTTAGCTCGAAGACATCAAGGCCGTTAAGCCCCGCAGGAAGCGAAGAACACCTCCCAGAAGAAACTCAATTCACAACAAGAAGCTAAGCTTGTACAGTATATTAAAGACCTATCCCTAACAGAGCTGCTTCTAACAAGATAGTTGGTATAAAATTACGCGTCCTCGATTGCTAACGAGCCCGTGAGTCGCGCCTGGATAACGCGCTTCTTGCAAGGAAACGTATAGCATATCGACTTTAGCTTCTATGGACTACGCTCCGTAATTAATTCCCCGTCTTAGCGTTTGGTACGTACGTAAGATAGGTAACGGTTTTAACATAGCTACAGTAAGCCTCGTAGGGTTAGAGATTACGGCACAATAGGCACGTTAGTCCGCTGTTATCCACTTCTGTGAATGACTTCGCACGTATTGAGCTCTACCACAATTAGGTCTTTTATGCGTGGATAGCCATAGCTAGTAACTTAGAGTGTTTTATTTTTTAATCACTTCCTAAGGTAGATCTATAAAGTTTTCTGTCGATCTCCTTTGTATAGGTAGCCTACACATCCAGAAAGTAAGTGTATAGACTACAAGCTCACTAAACCCCTCTTACACACGCATTTCTCGCACTATAATAGAGCATTTACAACCACCAGTGCGTAAAAGTTATGCATATTTAGTCGTGTTTGAAAGCGTCTGGGGCCAATAGTGTATAGGTGTAGGGCAGAGAGAAGACATAATATCCAGTAAAGCATAAGACCTTGCACCGGGCAGGCAGGCGCATAAGGTACGGAGTGTTTGGTAAGAACAAGTCTTATTGTGTGGAGATTCTGTATGCTAAGAAAACAAGAAGATAACTAATCGCTTGTAAGGTTGGTGTCCTGCGGCACTGGGGTGTTGAAAGCCATCTTATGCCTCCGAAATCTGGGTTGCGCACAGACTCGATCACGTGCAGGGCGTTCACCCGCACACCGGTACAATAGCACTTCATGACATTAGCATGGACCGTTGTTCGGATCAGCCCTACAATAATTAGTCACATTAATAAGAGTTGCGTAACGCAGAGCTAATATAGAAGCACTTGCCTGTAGCGCCAATTCCCGTAGGTTTTATCATCACCCTTAGGGCAACTTTCGATCCGACCCGCAAGGCCATTGTAACACTCGTCGCTCCCAATGTTGCGTTGCGAGCCGGCATTAGGGCCTGTAAGGCCGACGGTGAGCTTCACGTGCTTATTGTTGCCAATGTTGTAGCACTTGACGCGGGTTTCGCGTTTGTTGTATGTGCCCCTAAGGGCACTGTTGCAGGCTGTTCGGGCTGCTTTCAAGGCGTCGTCTTTATTGCCGCCATAAGTTGACCCAGTTTGGAAGCAAGCTCGCTTCTCTATAGGCTGTAAGCTGTCGTCGGGGTTGGCGATGGAGGCAGCGGAGGCCAAGCCGAGGTAGTTAACAGCGAATAGGAGGTAGGTCGAGGGCTTCATTGTGAGCAATATTGCAATAAAACGAGTAGTAGAACTGAATCTGAATAGTGGGTGCTTGTTGATGTTGATGACCTGGCGTCTGATGATTTGAAGGGGGAACCTTAACGACTTATATAGAGATGCTGATGCTGCAGTGTCTTATATAAAGAACACTGAAGTAACTTGCTCTGGCAGAAGAAGTGGCCAAGACGCTTTGCTTGAGACTAACGACTAGATTACACACTCGTCTGGGCTAGTTAAAGCATAATACGATACAAGACCACGTAAGCATGCTAGGTGCTTCTACCATGCCACTCAACTCGCTCCTAACCTGGAAACACTCGGAATGTACACAATGACAGACTAAGTGCCTTTGAGATTAAGGAAAATACACTTGATTAATAGAGGCAATACCACGATCCACTAGGTTCCAAGATTTTGTCGACGACTGCGATCGAACAGGGGAGTAAAGCTGGAGTGAGATTATACACAGTGAATGAATTGACCTACGCGGCGCTAGCACCTGTTAGGTAAGTACCTTGCAGAACGGCCGTGCGCCATGAACAACCGGCGTGGCGCGAACCGGAAACCCGATTTTGGTCAGCACTGTACCAGATATGGCTATCATCTATGTATCATCCTATATCAGGCGCTACCTAGCTAATCCTTACCGCTTCCATTTGGCTCGTGTTGGCGGAACTACCGTGCCGACCGGATTTGCGTGCCAAGATGATTGGAAGATTACTGCTGTTAACTAGGCCTCCAACCGCTTCTGTAACGTGCTCGGGGCTTAGCTGTCATTGCTGCGACTGTCTTGCTAGATTTGGCAATAAGCCCCGAGCACGTTACAGAAGCGGTTGGAGGCCTAGTTAACAGCAGTAATCTTCCAATCATCTTGGCATATGTGAACTATTGCCCTAAATAGGGCATTATACTGCGATGAGCAGACTTAGCAGACAGTTCAACAGTAAAATTTGATATTCAGCACGCAGAAGAGAGTGAAGTTCTAACCAGTGATCGGAATGGTCTAGTAACGTGAGTGCTACTGTGTCTGTGCGCGCGATGATCATGTGCGAGCGACGATCACCTCAACAACATGAATAACTGGAAAAATGAGGCTGTATCACCACCAACAATAGCTATTGATGCGAGATCTTGTAGAGCTGTACTGATTATATCATTGCGATCAACTTGTGCTACTTATATTTACTTGGTAGCGTGGTTTTGCGGCCAAGGCGGGTGGTACGCGCTGGGGCGGCTAATGCAGCCTCCTCAGCTTGAACATGAGATGGAACAACAACAGCACGTTTCTGACGCTTTCTGGGGGGCTTCCAGGCTTGCGAGACCTTGCGCTTACCCGTTTGGGACAGTTGTATAGCTTCTTCAACGTCGCGAGCTGCTTTCTGGCGCTCCTTTTCAGCCTCCTTGGCGGCTCTCTCCTTCTCCCTCACCTCCTTGAGTCTCTCTCTCTCTCAACACGCTTCTCCTGAACTTGATAAAGCTCGTACAACCGAGTTTGCTCCTTCATATGAGATCTGTTAGCTTTCTGAAGTTGTTCTTGTTGTTGCTGTTGTTGTTGTCGAACTGCTTCATCGTCCCAAGCCCGATTGACCTTACGAGGAGACCAAAGGATAGCACCACCGTAATACTCATAGTTGTTGTTCGACGGACAGGGTACAGAATTCAATGTGGACAAATTGGCGGTTCGACGAGAAAGCAATCATGTACCAGCGCCCGCAGTTTAGCAACAAGGAGCCGGATCGAAGTCAGTACACGGAGCCGGAAGACTAGAGGTGTAGGATAGGCTCTCGCCCGAATGGAATTATAGTTATACTTTTGTATCTATTCTCAATTCCGTCATTCCACAAGACAGATCAAGCTTTCCGTTGCGCAAGCTCCTGCCAATCACAGTCGCGCCAGCTGGCAACTGTAGCGCAGCCGTCGTACCAGTCGGTACAACAACCGTGAAAGCAACGTTCGTGCCGCTCAACGCCCACGCCACCTTGATCGGCCCATTGGGCGTCGGTACCGTCCCGTTGACTTCAGACAGGTTCAAGAACCCTATCATGGGAGTGATAACAACCGTTCCGTACCCGGGAGAGTTTGTAATGACGCCAAGAAGGTACTCTGGCAGTACATACGTTGGAGCTGCACCCCATGGATGTGCCAAGCTGGTAAAAAGATCAATACCAGGAGAACCATCAGGCTTTACGTATTCCCAACTCGCGCCAGAGTAGAACTTGTCCTGGCTGACCATGCTACCCCACAGGTTGTCGAGTAGGTGCTTGATGGCAGATGTGCTGTTTACTCCGAAGTCACGCCTTGACTTGAACAGCGCTTCCAACAGGAATCCTGATGGATTGGGAGCAAGCTGGTAGTCGTCTGTCTCCAAGTCACTCGAGGTGGTTTTGTAGCCTACTGCGAAACGAAGTTCCTCAAGCTTGGCAATGGAGGATGCTGCTTGGGTATCGTTGGCTGCACCAGATAGGATCGCCCAGGCGATACCAGTCAAAGAGAAGTTGCCTCGGTCGGTGGTCGAGAGTGAGTATGTTCCGAGCTGATCGTTCCATAGCTCATGATTGAGGGCCTTGCGCAATCTGCTTGCCGTTTGGGAGTAATATGTCGAAGCCTCTTCGTCTCCGATCGCAAGTGCAACTGGCGCAATCTCCTCTAGCATATAAGCAAAGAGGCCAGTCGTTGCACTACCGTTGGCTGGCCCGAGGAAGCTGAATGGGTATGGCACCTCTGGAGAACCTCCAATGAGACCAGATGTGGGATCGATGAAAGCCAGTCTCGCAGTGGCAAGTCTCTTAATCTGATCCCAGTGAGGTTTTAGCCCGTCACAGTCTCCAGTGTAGCGGAAGTATCGGCCAATGCCTGCTAAGAACAGGTCTTGGTAGTCTACCAACCCAGCGTAATTTGCAATATTTGCTTCTTTGTACTGGGGTCGGGCTCCAAGGTTGGTAGAGATCTGAGTGAAGCCAGCATACGGACCTTCACCGAGCTGAAAGCTTAGCGCGTATACAATAGTGCCCAAGAGGTAGTCAAATCGAGCAGTCGAAGTTGAGACGACACGCACAGTGTGATAGAAGTCTCCTGTCCAGACCAGTCGATCCCGTTTGGCACCATCAAGGCAGACTGAGTGTTCGAGAGGTGCGACTTGATACTCGGCCAAGGTATCTTCGCTTGTCAGGGGATTGCGATATATAATGGTGCCGTTTCCAGCAGTGACAGTCACGTCTTTGTAATACGCGATCTGGTCCTGCATGCCGCCGAAGCCCCATGTACCTTGGTATCGAGAGGGAGTGCCAAAGTTCCCTGGGGCTGCTGGTGGAGGTAAAGGTACGAACGCAATATCGGTTCCGTTTAGGCCCACCCGATATCCAGTCTCCTCAATCGATGTGCTCATGCGATACCACGTGTTTTCCTTGATGGTTGTGTTGATAGTGAAGTACTGGGCTTCTGGCACAGCTAGTGTGCTCTGGTTTACTAGACTCCATCCACTAGTGAACGCCAGTGTGTTTGAAGGTAAGAGGGTCCGGTTTGTGTTTGCGAAGGTATCCCGCTCAGGGTATTCGGATGTAAGCACGAAGTAAGGCCCGAGTGGTTGCATTGCACTTGCTACTCTCCAGCCAGCGCCGCCGCGGGCGATCTTTACGTCGAATTCGAGTGTGTAATTGACTGCGTCGACTCCTAGAGAAGATTGCGCACTGGTTTGGCCCCGAATATATGCTCCTTCTTTTGTGATCTCCCACGTAGATGGTGCATTACCAGCATCTATGCATGCTACTTGAGCGACGCGACCTCCGAGGTCTAGGACGCGATTTAAAGTCTTATCGGATGTCTGTAAGCGGCCTGGTAGCATTTCGGCGTACAAGTTCGAGCTTGTTGCACGAAATCCTAGATTGTCGATGGTGACGGAGCCATTCGTGATCAACCGTGCGGTCTGCCATCGCTGGCCTCCTTGAACGAAGAAGCTCTCAATGTATCCCGTGTTCGTGACGTTGAAAGTTTCTACTCGGAAAGAGTTGGATAGTCCGTTCGAGAATGTCCAAGGCCCATCTGAGAATGGCTCTTCCACGCCGCGGTATTCTTCGCTGTACTTTACTTCGATTTGTACTGTTCCAGAATTTGATGAAACATAGAAGAACGGGAAGCCAGCTACTTCGGTACCATAGTCGAGTGTAACAAGCGGGCTGGCTGGCGATAGAATCAGGGTAGCATTCGTCCATGGCTGCAAGCCAGATGATGAAGGCGTGGATTGCTGTAGGTATGATTTAGGTGCAATCGAGCCATAATTCACAAAGCTATGATTGTAAGTCAACGGTCTTTTGTATGTATTTCTAGAGGCTTACGCAGTTGTCAACGTGTTGACAAGAGTTGTCACAATCGCAAGACGCTGAAAGAGATTCATCGCTGCTTCCGTGCAAGGTGGATTTCACAAGCCTTTCGATCACAATGCGACCGGACCGCAGTTATAAGTAGTGATCGTCCGTACAAAAACAACAAGAACTTCATGTTCGGAAGGTGGAGGAGGGATAGCCGGTAGAGTTGTGACTCCCGGTGCAAAGGTAACCGACGCGATGTAGCTTCGGCAGGCATTGAGGATCTGCGTACTAGTTATTTGCTTTCCATTGGCCAATCCAATCGGAGCGTTGTTAGGAGCTAAGGGCAAGCTCTGTGTGCAAGGTACCCCGCACTGTGCCTTACCCCACAAAGAATCGTATCTCGTATTGGGTAGTTATTGTACGGGGAACCTTCTCCAGTTTCTGGTGTGAGGCGCAGCCTGGCGTGATGCTCGGTCAGCTTCTGAGGACTAGTTGTGGCTGTACTTACGTTGCTTTTATTGCGCTACGACTTTGCGCTCTTCCCGAACGTTGTAAAATCTTCTTTCAGCATGTTTCGAAGTATTGTAGCTGCCTTCGCAGACTGCGCGACAGCATCCTTGACAGCCTGCACGTCGCTCATACTGATTTGCAACGTCCCCGACAAGAGCTCTTTGGTTATGCCATCTCCCGTCGTGACCGTCATCTTCCTCGTACCCGTGATACCCAAGTCGTCCTTCGTGGTCGTCGCCCATGGGGTGCTGTACCACAGCCATTTCTTCCCGTCGCATGGTATCCAGTACCGCCAGCTAATGTTGTGGCCCTCGTTTGCTGCGCCTTTGGGTCGGAAGTTGGAAGGCAACGTCGTCTCGGGATCCGGGACTTGTTCGCTGGTGATGCGACCGGAAAGCACTCGACAAGACGGTATCAGTTGAGTCGTGCCGGAGACGCGAACAGCCAAAATGCACGAATCGTAGAGGTCCATCCCGGTGAGCGGCGATCCCATAAGCCATGCGACACTCGAGAGCAACGTGTCGCCGATGACTGCGACGACAGAGATGTTGAACTCGAGTCCGGGATTTCCGCGCGTTGGAAGCTCAAAGTGTTTGGTATATTCCAGATTCGCGTCGCTCAAAAGTTTCCTGATGACCACGGGATCTTGTGCGTCGTTCGCATAGCTAAGCACACCGCGGGGATGATTCAGAATCTGATGCTTCGAGACACCAATCGCTAGTCCCAAGAGCCGCAGGCTTGACTCCGGTGGTCGGTTCTCATCCGTAATGGTCGGTGTAATGATATGCTTCATATCGTCTACCTGCTGAGCAAAGTGGAAGAAGATCGATCGAAGCGCAAGCCAAATTACTTGGAAACCAAGCCAGATCCGGAAACAAATGGTCGGCTCGTTGGAAAGAATGGCATATGTACCGAGGAGAGAAGTGACGCAAACGACGGCGCCTAAGATCCAGAAAACTTGCCACGCGCGACCTTTGCGAAGGTTGACAGGTACCCCGAAGAGAACCCTCCGCTCGCCTCCGATGACTTGAGGTGTAGGCAGCGATCCCGACACAACGTCGAAATTTGTTGGCTGCTCACCGGCCGTTGTAGCCCTTCCGACGTGAAACCACTGCAAAATGATCGCTGAGAGGAATGTGTACGCCCAGATGGCTCCTGTGACCAGGAAGACTCGTCGAGAACCGAAGTAGTAGAGCAAATACATCTCCACGACCTTCAGCAAGGTTGCGAACGTAACGATCCAGTCGTCCCTGGTTTGCGAGCGTTGCGCAATCTCCCAGTAATGATCTCGCATGTAGACGTGGGCTTGCAGATGCTCTCCGGGTTGGGCTACTGCACAAGATCGCAATGGGCCAGCCGTCCATTCATCGAAAGCGTAAACGTCTTCGAAATCTTCGCTTCCAGTGGCTATCAACGTAGAACCCTCGCTGTTCTGAAGCCGATTAGACACGTCTCCACACGAACTTTTGGGTCTTGACGTACCTTGGTCCATTTCACCGTCACTCCAACAGCACTGCCAGTGACTACGGGACTGTTTGCCTTCCTACTTAGCTTCATGCAACACCCAACGGCCTTGTCAGACCCACTAGTCCTCACACCGACGGTATCTCGAAGCCATCCTGGTGTGCAAGCGGATATGCATGCTTTAACAATAAAGATCGACCCAAAGGAGCTCAAAGCTGCCCATGGCAAACCGCAAGCGCCGCGATTCCCCAAAGCAATCAATTCAGCAGTCGAACCCCCAATTACAGCAGTCAGAGCTGCTATCTCTACAAGACCGCCGCTGAAGTTCGCCTCCTGTCCTTCGTCCAGGCCGCTAGCGCATACATGGAACATGATTGAGACAATGTGTTGTTGTCTTGCGTTGCTGAATGGTAATGGGGAGGCGATGCGACGCCTTTATGTGACAGCTGACACCAGTTTCCGGTGTAAGGTGCAGCCTGGCGTGATGCTCATTCAGCTTCGGAGGGGTAGTTGTGGCTGGTCACTGCAGGCTCTCCTTGGTTTGCGCAAGCATACGCAACACTTGGCCGCATCTGCAGTCGCAATGTGTACCGGTTTTTCCTGTAACTGCCTTTCGCCTGTGGAGTCGTAGACAGCTCTTGCGACTCCGAGCTGCGCCTATCCTCTTCGCGATAGCCACAGAATGATCAGAGAAGCTTTCGTACATTGCGCAGGCTAGGCCGCTTAAGCGCGTGCCCATGAGCCCGTGTCATCTCAGCCGCCTTTTGCGTCTCTTACTATCGCGTCAGTCCCAGTGGCACAGCAGCGGCGACGTCGTGCAAGTTGGACCAATCGTTGCTATAATCGCGAGAATTCGCGAAGACGTCTTGCAGCATCCATCGGAATGGGATGCGCTGGTAGGAGCGCAAGCCAGTCGCGATTATGGTATCGGTTGTTACGCAAGGCATTATTCGGGTCGTGGGGAACGGTCGCGACGGGTTCGTTGTTGGTCAGTCGCGGCCCCGGGGTGTCGAGATGTCAGCCCGTGCTTGCCCAAGCACCTAAGCCAATCGTCTTCTTTCACCGCATCATAGCGGCAGCGAAGCGTATCGCCGCATGCAACTTCACGCAAACGCAGCAGGTTCACAATCATAACCAAATCCGCACAAATTGCGTCCTCGTTCTAGCCTGGCCAGCCGCTGCTGTCTAAATGCTTCGAGATCTCAATACCTTCATGAGCGCAATTGCACATTATCGGATATACTTGCGTCTTTTGAAGGCCGCCACTGAGAACATAACCGTCACGGCAGGGAACTGTAGTTTACCAACTCTGCATTTCATTACTACCACATGCAATGTCTTCTACTCCACTTTCTAGGTTGTGTACGATTAAACATACAAGACTGCCGCTAATAGAATGCAGGAAAGCAACAGACCATATTGCCCTGCGTAGGGTTGTATCGCTGCTCCTGTAAAGGTCTGCCGACGCTGTTGGGCCTGGTGTTGAGTCGGCACACTCTGAGGGTTCCGGAAGACATTATCAGGGTCGACTGCCGCCTTGATCTGCTGCAGACGTTGCACATTGCCGCCCCAGTACGACTGCTGAGGATGCGCAAGCTCGGGATCGACGTAGCCAGGGTACGCGCTTTGATCGCACGTCTCCTTCTGCACCAAGCTGCTAAGGCCGGACAAGAACTTCTTGGACGCGTCGGTAACAGGTCCCCCAAGATTAACGACATAACTCTGCATGAAGTAGGCCGCATCGCGGTGCCAGTATGCAGTTGCGGTCTGCGGCACATCGGAGATGGCACCGCCTTCGAGATCCCAAATCACGAGCCATACGGGTGACCCCTTCTCAGTAGCATTGATATAGGAGAACATAGATTTGATGGCTTCGTTCGACAGGAGTTTGTTATTTGGCGTCTTGACGCTCTTGGCATAGAACGGGATGGGGAAGCTGCCGCTCGCTGTCAGATCAGGGTCGCCGAGTCCCGGGAACGGAATCTGGCCAACGGTGATGTCCACAACGACGTTTGAGCCATTGGCAGGGAGGATAGACTGCGCGTTCAGCTTATCGAAGTCGGACTTCGGCCCGTAGAAGTTGCCGTTGATGACCATCGAGCCCTGGCTGAGAGTCATAGTGCTGGAAAACCGGCGGTCAAGATTGCGCTGCGTGCCAAACTTCTGCCATGCTTGGAATGTGCTTGCAAAGGAATTCGCGTCGTCGGCCGCGATGGTGTACGCATATTTGGTGATCTCCGTCGGGGCGGGTGCAGTCTTCATGGTGAACTCTGTAACGATAGCGAAAGAGAAACCGGCGCCTCGGATGGCGAAGAACAAGTCGGGGTTCGTGCTTGCACTAGCTGTCACGGCGGTGCCATTTGCGAGTACACATTGCGCTGACACGATTTGATCGGCTCCCACGCCCAGCTGGCGACTGAGCGTCCCGAGACCTCCAATGGTCAAGTGACCACCCGTGCCGATGACGGCTACTTCCCCGTATGCCATGACCCGCTTGAGAGGTAATAGCTTCTCAGAGATGTTGCCAAGGAGGTTCCCCTGTGAAAGGCGCGCAGGTCAGCGCACGTACAACAAAGGGCGTTCATGACACGTGTAGTATGAGGGAGTGACTTACTGGACCAAAAGTCACCGTGTGGTCATCCTCATTGTAGGCGAAGGAAGCCATGTTCTTCATATCCACCACTAGGGAGCCGTTGGACCCTCCTAATGCTATATGTGGGGTTCGTGTTAGTAAGTTCACAACTACAACTCTTCCTTCTGGGTTCAGTCTTACCATAGTTCGCATAGCTATGGCCGCCGCTGCGCGCCTGTACTGCAACTCCTGCGGTATGCGCACACTTGACAACTTCCGATACTTGCTCTTGCGTCTTTGGAAATGAAATGGCAGCCGGAACGGTGTTGTAGTTGAGATTGTATGGGTGCACATCTCCCTGCAAGAACATCGGATCGTTTGGCAACATCCAAGTGCTGGTGTCGTTGCTGAGGGCCGCTTGAAGGCATTGTACGAATGGGGCGTTCTGGGCTGTAGTAGCAGTCGCGGCCGTCAATACGGTCGCTACCAAGAGGTTCTTCATCGTCGTCGATGATGGCGAGGCTGAAGTATGGTAAGGTTGTTTAATGAGCGACAATGGTGAGGTAGAGCGATGGTAAAGTCTTCCACGAAGCGAATGGAGAAGACAATGAGGTCAAGAGCCTTTTGTAAGGCGACTCCATCATCTCATTTCGAGAAACCTTGTCCGCTTGGTTCGTCGCTCGAACTTGAAGCCTTAGTCTAGGATGTCTGGGTAATCTTACATACCGCCGTCTCCGACGTCAGCCCGCCATCGTTCAGCGACGACACTTCCAGTAACCTCCACACACCACGAAGAAGAGAATGCGCTTTCAACGCCGCTTGGAGCTTGATACTGCTTAGCGTAGGTCCTTCAAGCTACCATACAGCGGGCTCAGAGTCTCAAACATTTCGAGGCTGCATGGTCTTCGCACGTCATCAACACTATAGGCGCGCAACCAAGAGACACACTTTCCGAAAGAACGACCGGTAAGCACATTGCTGACAGAACGAGGCTCAAAGCACGCGAAGTAGTGGTTTTACTTCGGTGCTTGGGTTCGAGGAATGATCAGGGGCACGACCTCTCAACCAATCACGGAGAATCGCTAAAAAGATCCCCCGTGTTCCGTATCCACGCATTGACTGGAGGCTGGCTCTTCCCTACCGGCACCACCGGGCATTGAATTGCTTACTACGCTAGGAATGCTACGACTGTTTGGCAGTATAGCAATTCCTTCTCACCCGACACCGGCGCCGCTTCCAGACGCTCAGCACTTCTTGGTCACGTCAGCGCAATGCGCGTCGCCTTTGCAAAGATGACAAGTGAGCTCATTGGCTGAAGCTCAGCTCAACACACAGGCTGTCAAGCATGCCAGTTGTGGGGATGAACGCCGTCTCTCTCGTGGCAGATTTTAAGCATTACACAAGCGTCTATCGCGCCGTATGTCTGATCATCATGCGCATCAATCCGGTATAGTGCTCGCGAACGGCGAGCTATGCAATTGCGTTGTTGAAGTGTTGAATTGGTTGGGACCGCGATGGACAGACAGGACCTCGAGAAGCTGCCTCCTCTTCACCAACCAATGATTCTCACGATACATCGCCACCAATTGTCGCACCAGAACCCGCATACCAGCTTCAAAAAGCGCGGTCGCAGAATAATCAGATTGAGCATGAGTCGCGTTAACGATGACGGTCGACACGAGCCGGCCGTACTGGCACCGGTTGGCTACTTCAGCATCCGTTCTGCAATCCGACCAACAGACAATGCCAATCCGTAGAGTATAGAGTCGTGCAGCACAGTAAGCACCAAACACGAATGCGAAGACTCACGTGGTATCAGCATGCCCAGCGACATCTCAAGAAGGCTGGCCACATGCGGAGCCCGAGTCGCAGCCGTTGGGAAACCCACTGCACGAGTCCTGCCCAAACGTCCTTCGGTGTCAACAACAAAGCACATGATGCGCACCCTGTGCAGGTCCACGGCCCGACACGGACGTTGAGGCTTAGGCGAAATTGAGCCGACATAGTACCCGTAGACGACAGAACGCTTCCGCCAGTTGCCGTACTTGGAAGCAGGCCAATATCGAACGTCCTCGTTGGCGGTTTTCACCAACACAGCTAGCAAACAATATATCGCTTTCTTGAATATCTCTTCCAAGGTGCGGTATGCTCTGCTTCGATCCGGGCAAGCAACGATTGCATCAACCGAGACGGAAGACTCAGCCACACATCGATGGTGCATATGGGCAAAGTGGTGCGAACATCCAGCATGAAGAGCTTGAAAAAGAGGCGTCATGTAGCGAGTTCCGACAAGACTGCAATGCTCTGAAAATATAGCGATACGATTCTTGCATTTACAAATATGTTATGTATCAACTCATTGTCTTACAATAGCCTCTCGCCTAAGGCTTAGAAGCATTCGGCTCGGGCGTTTTCGACGGAGTAGGCGCAAACTTCGACCGTTCCCTAATCGGCCCGCCATACTTATAGAAGATGAATGGAATAGGCGCAAGCAAGCAAGCAACTCCAGCAATGAGAGAACCGCCACCACCCACACCAAGAGCGTCAAACATGTACTGCGTGAACAAAGGCGCGGCAGCACCTGCGGCCGAGCGCACGACCGTGTTCGCTGCTAACGCACTTGCAGCGTACATGAGGTACGTATCTGTGAGATAGTTGAGGTATGCGACGAAGATAAGGAGGATGGATGTCGAGAGGAAGACACCAGCGAGCGTGGGAACGACCCAGTGAACGCTGTTGTACTCTGCAGACCACGCGAACCAGAACATAGTGATGGGGAACATGACGCCGCCGAGCATCGCCACAGGAAGACGATCTTCTGGTGTGGCTTTGTAGCCGGCTTCTGCCTTCTTTCTGTCCCTAGCTGTGTTGGCAAAGATGATAGCCCCACCGATGGCGGCACCAAGAGCAGAGCCAATGAGCGGTAGCTCGCCAACGCCAGAGTTCCAACCCCGACGTTGTTGGAAAACAATGGGATAGATGGTGAAGAGCATGTACAGTAGGGCATACACGACTGCGAGATAGATGGCGACCGCGAAGGAGATGGGGTCGATGAGGATCTTCCACGGTCGCGTGAGAGCAACATGGAACATGCCTGCAAGCGTTCTATCCGTCACTTCGACTGGTGCCTTGACCTCTTCATATCCAGGAATCTTCAGAGCTCTTATGCGCTTGGCTTTGTTGCGGAGCACGATTGATGGCAATGTCTCTGGGATCGTGAACATTAGTAACTCGGTAACGCCGCCCAGCCAAAGAAGGACGTAGAAGCACCATCTCCAGTCTCTCTTCAATTCCAGGAAGCCTGATATGACGGGTCCAAGTGATGGACCGATGAAAGTCATCATCGAGAAGGCAGCCATTGCATTTCCACGCTCCAGTGGTCCCCAGATGTCCGCCAATACACCTGGTGCATTGGAAAGAGGGGCACTCGCAAACGTCCCCGTCAAGAATCGGCCAACTAGGAGCCCGCCGAAGTTAGGCGTGAAAGCGCATAGGAAGTTGAAGGCCAGGTAAAGGGTAAATGTGACGTAGAAGATGTATCTGCGACCAAAGAATTCGGAAAGTGGGGCGAAGATAAGCGGACCAGCGCAGTACCCAAGGAGGAACAGAGTAATGACGAGCCCCCCAGCCTCGGTAGAGACGTGTAAGTCTGTTGATAGAGACTCAAGCGTGCCAGATGGGCTGGACGACGCGAACGTGGCGTTCACAACTAGCGTAACCGACACTACGGTGATATACCATCTTCGTGCGGTGGACCAATTTTTGGGATTCTCGATGTCGTCGGGGCCGAACTCAAGAAGGCCTTCATCGTTGAGGTGGACTTCCTCGGAAGCTTCTATATCGCGCGTCTTGTATGGCTTCGCTGTTGGCCGCGACAAGAATCGCTCGAGCTTCTCCATGGCGGACGGTAGTGTTGAGAATATGGGGAGAAGGCACAGTGGAAACAAGCCTTTCCCCGCGGCTTGGTTCATATTTCATAGGAATAGTCAAGCCACACTCCTGCGCGGATGATGAAATGGGTTCGGCCGAACGTGGTTGGTAAGGGTTCGGAGTTCGTCATTCCGCGGAGAGCGGCAAGCGAGCGTCCGCCCGAATCCACAGCGTCATCGAATCATAGAGGTCGGTATAATGTCAGCTCTGACTTTGAAACGGTATGGCTCTGAGGTGTGAGCCAGGAGTCGAACTGCGATGACTCCATGTCTACATGTGAGCCAATGCTAATGGGTCAGAATGGTCGAAGTGTCGCGACATGAGTGAGAATGTGAAGGATTGGCGCGATTCATTGGTCTCGGAAATAACGAACGATGACATCAACAAGTTGCTGCGCCCCGATTTTTGGCTATGCTTTTTCTTGTTACACTCGAGGTCATCCGTCTTACGCGTTGACTATGATGATGTTTTATAAATGCTCTTGCGACAATAGAAACCTCGTGCGGTTAAAACCAGCCTCCAGGAAGTAGCTGGTCACATAGGAAGTCATTTCAAGCAGTATGCCATAAAGATATTAGCTTGGGCATCCAAGATGGGGGAAACAAGATGGGGTGCGCGGAAGGGTGGAGCTGGACGGTGGAGCGGAAGCGCGGCCGGCTCACGGCTTGAGGATAGGTGCAGGTAAATGATCCACCTCAAGCAGTCGTACTTCAGGCGCGCTGCGAGCCATGGACCGGGTCCGCATCATCACTATAATATCCATCATCGTCGGCGCTCGCTCTTCCGATCAACTCGTACTCTCTAGCATCAGCCAACTTCGCCGCAGGGCCGCCATCAACGTCTTTGAACATACGATGGAACACAACGCCCGCGACAGCGGCGATCAACGCCAAGCCGAAGTATAGCCACTGCAAGTGTGGATCTCTTGCCAATGGAGCAATCAAGATACCCAGCGCGCTGCCACCAGCGCTTGTGAGCAGGAAGAGACTCATGATGAAGCTCTTCATATTCTCCGGTGCCTTCGCATATGCCAGTTCCAGGCCGGTAACACTAGCGAGGATCTCGCTCAAAGCGATTAGAACGTATGCTGGGGCTTGCCATGCGACGTGGACTTCGTTTGGTTTGAATTTCCCCTCGCTGACCTTTCCCGCGTCACAATTTGATGGGCTGAAGTAGCAGGGTGGCGCCGCGTAGATCTTTGACTGGAGAGCGCCTGCGTATAGCATGGCAAGCGCAGCCATGAGGAAGCCGAGAGAGATGCGCGTTATTGGCATCAATGCTATGTGCAGTCGTGTACGGATGAACGGGTAGACGAGGCGGTCCATGATCGGGATAAGGAGAATAATAGTAACGGGATCGATGTTGGGAAGGATGTCGTTCGGAAGGCCATGCAACTCCATTTGACCAGCCTGTGAGACGAAGTTGTTCAGCATCTGCGAGTACGAGAGCCAGTAGATCGGGAAGAACAAGAAGACCTTGCATGCGACCAGCGCGGTCTTCAACTCGTCAATGAACTTGTCGTCCCAAGTCACCTTCGACCTACTTCTCCCGTGCCCTTGAGCGGAAGCTTTCGCTTTGTCGAGATCTCCACCGTTCCTTGCGGCGATGTACAGGGCGCGAAAGCAGTTGCCAATCACCCCGCCTTGAGGTGGCTTGATGATGTACTGCTTCCTTCCTCTCACTAGTACCACGTATCCAACGCAGAACATGATCAATGGTAAGAGATAGGCACTCCAGAACCCGACATGTAATTCCAGCATCGTTGTCGCTATAGCGGAGATCGAACCAACGTTGATGCACATGTAGAATATCATGTAGATTCTCTGTACCGTAATCTCCGGATCGACAATGACCCGCTTTCCTCCGGGCAAGTCCTTGACGAAAGGCTTGTTAGACCGCACTTGCTCCGCGATCAACGGCGACACGTTGCTCTTGATGCCGCCAGTACCCAGGCCAATGACAAGCATCGCGACGATAAGTCCAGGGTACGCAGCTCCACCTCGAACCGCCCATGGCAAGCTGGTAACGAAGAGAATGGCGATTCCGACCATGTATACCAAACTGAACCACTTGATCGTCGCATACTTCCCCAGGTACTGGTCTGCAACAACGGCGCCAAACAAAGGTGTAAGGTAGCACCAGAACTGGAAGAAGTTTGTCATCGCTGTCGCGCCACTCTGTTTCAAGCCCAGAGCTCCAGGTAGGCCATTGGGGTCGTTGTATTCATTGGCGATGTAGTTTTGGAATGGGCCGGAGAGTCCGTAATAAGCGAAGCGCTCACAAAGCTCGACGACTGCGACTAGAAAAGCACCATATGGCAGCGTGTCCGCTACGCGAGGCAGGAACAGCAGATCCTCTGCTGTCGGTATGGAGCCAATGTGAACAGGCGCTTCGAAAGACACGGCATCCTGCTCCTCATTTACGATGTCCTTGCCATGTACCGTGAGGTTTGCACTTGCGGTCTCGGTCTGCGCAACAGTCGTATAAGCACCCCGCTCTTCACCATTTTGTCGCCGAGATGAGGCCATCTTGAACCGAATTGTTTGATCAGGCTTTCTCTGGTTATGCTCTCTTAGTGCTTGCTGGTCCTATCCGCTTGGTTGGGCGCCCTCTTCTCCGTTATGGCAATCAAAGCCGTTCGCTGCTAGACTCTGGATGCGCGCTCACGGCATCATCGGGATGTGTGTGCACTGCATAGCGACATGAAATCGCCAAAGACGAGAGTTTGAGTCGTGAATTGATGGGATTGGAGATGAAGACACGCGTTCGCGACCTCGGAAAGGTGAGACGGTGCTTGCGTCCGATCTAAGCCGGATTGGTCGCTGATTACCCCAACGCATACAGCCACACCTTTCGCAGTCACACTCAATCTCAGACCACACGAGAGCGGTGCAAAACAATGGAACGTATCTTCGCATGATTATACTACGGTCACACGCGACAGCCCTTAAGCCTTATCCGCAAAGAACCCATCCAACCTCCCCCCCAAATCCCGCACCCCCAACCCCCCCGTCAAACTTCCCCGAATCCACTTCGGCAGCTTATCCTGGATACGCCTACTCCCATACCGTCTATCCAACATCAAAATCGCCGCATAATCACCCTTATGTCTAATCGCCCTGCCCACACACTGATTAACAGCGCGCATACAAGCATTCTCGTAGAACTCGCGCGCAGCAGCCTTGCCGTCACCGCCGCTCTTCGCTTGTTTGGCGGAGATATACTGCATTTTTGCCTTCCATTCTGCTGAGTGTGGGTTGGGGAAGGGGAGGCCAACGACCACGACGCCGCGGCCGAGGGCGTCGCTGAAGTTTATGCCTTCGGAGAGGGTGCCGCCGATTACGGCGAAGAGGAGGGCGCCGCGGCCGGAGCCTGATGCGATTGCGGTGCTGTAGGCGGTGAGGACGGAGTCTGCGGTTGCTTCTTTGGTTGCGGGTGGTTGCTTAGAGGGCTGTTGCTGGCTGCGCTGCTCAAGGAAGACGGGCTTTGTTTGGGTGAAGCTGTCCCAGAAAGTGGACGTCGAAGGCGCAAGCCTGATGCGCTTCCACGCTGCGATGCAAGCGTCGAGGAAAGAGTAGCTCGGAAAGAAGACCACCACGCCATCCGGGATGTGCTGCGCAAATATCAAGATGGCATTGCCGAGATCGACCATGGTCTTGTCCTTATTGCGATTCTCAAACGTAAAGTCAAACTCAGCCCCGCTTGTAGCTCGAACGACGGGTGCAGCGAGAAGGTTCGATGGCGGAATGACGTGGCCGCAGGACAGTGTCATGATCTTTGAGGGATCCAGGTACGATAACAGATGCTGCTCGTAGTCACTCATCGGCGACATGGTGCCGCCAGCTAGTACGACTGCCCTGGCTTCTTCAACGATGTCTTTGAAGTGGTAAGTTGGGTCCAAGAGCATGTATCGTAATGTGGTGCCTGACGCTTCCTCCTTCGCGTAGAAGAAGCGGCCTTCGCTAGATGGGTTCATCAATGACAGGAGGAAGGCTTGTACATGCATCAGGACCGGTACAGTATGTCGCGGCCCATTTTTGGCCGACTTTGCAATCAGCCTCTGCGTGCTTCCACTCTCCGCTTGCTCGGCGAAGACGGTGTACCCGTCGACCTTGCGCGCCAGTCTGCTTTCTTGGAGGTAAGTGTTGAGCTTGTAGATGTTGATCTGGTCAACGCCTTTCCCGGACATGATTGCAGCCATGTCTACCAAGCCGTCTATCGCTTTCGCATTGGCGTCGATGGACTGCAGGTAGGCGATGATGGAGTCCAAGATGCGGACTGTCTGGGCAACATACACGCGATTCTTCCCTTTGAGCTTGTTGCGGAACTTCTGGAGGTAGGCTGTGAGTTGGGCGCGCGCTTGTTGTACTTGGTCGAGGGTTACGGATACGGAGTAGATGCCTGCGATGGCGTCCATCAAGTTATGCGCTTCATCGATGATGACGATGTGATCTTTGAGTGAGAGACCAAGTGCTTCACGAGCTGTGCGCTGAAGGAGTAGTGGGTAAGGAAGCGTTACGATCTGAGCCTGTCAGCACACGAAGATACCGCGGGAAGATATAGTCAACTTACCTCACAGTACTTGGTTGCTGGTCTAGAAGCGTAGTATGGACATACACCCAGCTTTTTGCCCAGCACCCCCAAGTCCTCGATGTCCCTAATCTTCGCAAGCGCATGGTCACGGAAGTCATTAACCAACGGCTCGCTTTCCTTGGTCGGCATATGTGGACACCGACTTTCTGTTTTGCTGTTCTGCTGAAGCTCCAGACATCGTTCGTTGATGGCTGTGGCGCTGCCGAGCTTGTTAACTTTACTGTTGATGCAGAGATTCTTCCTTGATCCAAGGGTAAGGTGCTTCACGTCCTCGACGAGTGTGTCTATCTCGCCGCCGCTCACCTCTTCGCCCGGGGCAATAGCGGGCGGCATCTTAACGCGACCTAGCTCGCTGGAGAATTGCGTCAACTGGGAGTGTGTTCGAGAGCAGAAGAATATCTTTGTCTCGTCAGGCGCCTCTCCATCGTCGTCCTTTGATGCATCAGCGCTGTAGCCGAGGGATGCCATCAAGGCCTGGGTTTCTGCCGACAGCCCAGACTCGTCAAACGCGCCGGTTCTTGCTCGTTTGTGAGACTCCTCATCGCTCTCGTAATCATCCAAAGCGAACTGGGCTTCGTCATTATTTTCGGTATCGCCTGCCGCAGTCTTCTGTTTCTTGTACTTGGGTTCGCCGCTTTCGTAACGTTCTTTCGCACGCTTCTCTTTGGCTTTGATTTTGGCAATGCGGTCGTTCAGGTCCTGTTTACGCCGAAGCGCTTCCTGCTTCCGCTGCTTCTGGGCGTGTTCAACAATCCATGAAGGCTCTTCACTATTCGCAGCGTCTACCGTGAAGCCTTCTTCGAATGTCCGTCGCTTATGATCGCGTAGCCAAGTCATCGAGCCACATATCAAGCTCAGCGATTTGCCGGTTCCCGTCGGCGACTCGAAGATGCCGACTTTGCCGTCTTCCAGACACGTGTAGACAGCGCCCATGAATTCATTTTGGATATTGTAAGGCGTGTATGGGTGATGGAAATCTCGCTTCTCGTTGGTGTTGTGCATCGTAGCTTGGTGTCGGTGGGTTGAGCGACGCGACGCGTGGAGGAAAACGGGTGTTCACGTGGTGCGTTTAGCGCACGCCGGGCTAACACGACGCGACCACCGTCATTTCACCTCCAGGTTTCCTCCATCACGAACGTTCTCAATCGTACATTCAAATGTGTTCTCGCTATCAACCACAGGCATTCTCATAGTAATGCAGGCTTGTTTTCAAGCGCGCCTAGCATGGCTTCTCATCTACACGCGGAGGCTGCAGGGTCTCTCTTGGTAACATGCCCAGGTGACGTTTGCTCGTACATTAATTGCCATGAACGTTGCGAATACTACGGCACTACCATGAGCTCCCTCCCATGTGAATCCGGTAACGGTCCAAATCGTAACAATAGGCGACCCAGACTTGTCACCACCAAGCCAATCCTTTCGCGCAGACGGTAAGACATGATCGCGTGGACACCGCTCGCCACACAGTAATTTCTGTCTCTTTTCGTCCAATCGCATCTTTTCCATAATCACACATTGACAGTCCGTTTCGTCGGATTCGCTCCAGCTCGCCACCATTGTTGACAATGCCTCCGCTATAGCCGCGACAGAGCCACCTCCCTATTCCGACCTTGGCCTAGATTACACCACATCCACCGCTAAACTAGGACAAGCAACACTTCGAGCAGTACGACTCCAACCATACATTCTCTCGATCGTAGCATATTCCCTCGAAGCCAATCTGAAGAAATTCGCAGCAGCAATCCCGCTCGATTGGCCAACATCCGATGGCCACCGTAGCTCTCTCCTCCAAAAGAAAGAGCGCCCACCTCCTGCAGCTCTCCAAAACCATTGCACGCATATACCACCAGCTCTCTGCCTCCTCCATACAAGATGACCGTACAATCCATTCCGAAGTCGTCGACGCCAGCAGAGCGCTCAACATAGACCCCGGTTTTACCTGAGAACTATTAGCGTCATACGCGAACCATCAATGCAAGTCCTGGAAGTTCCAACGGGATATACTCCGGGACTTCAACTTGGGCAAGCATAAGTGGTATCTCCGTGTTGTTTCTTTGTTGATACTGCAGTTGTCGCCTAATCCTGTGATGCAGAAGCAACTTGGGCTGGCGTTGGAGAATATCAAACTGCGAGTAAGATCGAACAGCTTGAAGTCGGATTGGCTTCCAAGCCGGCGGACTACGGGTATACGGTACTTGCTGGTATACTGCTTGTTGGAGAGCACGGGTCGTGGCAGCAGTTGTTGGAGTTGTTGAGACCGGGTTGAGGGATTAATTTGACGCTCGGTAATACGGGTGTAATAATGGACTATTGATTGAAAGGGTGCGTTGTAGCTTGTACCTTTTGTCTTGCTTTTACGCAAGAGACGTTGCACCTGGCAATATACGGGGAGACGGAAAAGGTGTGATGGATGTTCCGAGGGTCAATTTATCGCTGGTTCCATTTGAAATGATTATATACCTCATGCCATCTATAAATGATCTATTCCGATGCATCCGACTAACTACCAGTCGTGCAACCCTTCAGCTGTGGATGCCACACACCTCCTCTCCCCCCCTCTCCCCTCTCTATTCATCTCACCCCACAATCCTACCCCTCAACTCCGTCTTCGCCAGGACCTCCTTCTCCGCCAACCCATCAACCCTAACCTCACCATCCTTCCCATTCTTCCCCACAAGCCTAAACCCCTTGACAAGCCCTGTCCCACTCGTCATACCCACACCCTCACCCCACCCCCAATTCTCCTCCATCCACGTTATCGGCCAAAGCAGCACAGTCCCCGCGACGCAAAACACCGTAGCCCAAGCCTGCCAGAGCCAGATCAACATCCAGGCGCCCGGCGCGACGAAGCGTATCCATTGGTCGACTTGGTACAGGTCTTCTTGCTTGGCGATGTAGTATTTTGACTTTGGAGATTGGGAGGAGGACGAGTTGGAAGGGGATTGGCGTAGGTGGAGGACGGTGGTGAGGCGGACGGGCGCGTAGTAGAAGGGTATAAACCAGATGCGGAAGATTTGGAAGATGGTTGCGTAGAGGACGAGGTTAGTTTCGTCGAATGCTATGTCACCATCATCAGTATTGCTCTTCTTGCGCGTAAAAGTTGCTGGCACCCACCGACGCTCTGCACTGTGCAATCAATCCTCGGACTCATAATCTTATACCACCGATACGTTCTCTCGACCAACCACCTCGAGTTCGGCCTCGACCATGTTCTACAAAATGGATGCGAGAACGCGGCATCAGGTGTGAAGTATTTGTCGATGGTAGCGCGCTGGAGCGACGGGGGTGATTGCGTGAGAAGGTGGATGATGGCGGGTATCTCCTTGACTGTGTTGCGACGAGACGGCTTGGTCAGCGAGACGCGCGATGGGGGGGATGGTTGGATTAGGGAGGTGCGACGAACCTGGGTCTTCCATTGTGGGTGCGCTGAGGGAGGTTATGGGGACAAGACGGGCGTTTGGTGGGTGAATGCTTTGGGTTGTGCATGGCGCCGAGGTTTGACGCGGAAGGACCAGGGTGGAACGCGCTCGTGTGACGTCATTCTAGGTTTCAACAGGCTCCAACAAGCTGCTCACACTGATGCAACGAGGACATGGTGGTGGGAAGTATGTTTATTATTTGATTACTTCTGGGTCATCATGCTTCTACATGTTTCCCCTTTCCGGAGTATCTTGAGACTGACCAATCTACATCTACTGCGACCTGTACTGCTGGATCTCGGCCTCGTCAAGATGCCTCAGCTTGTTGACGTTTGGTGCCTCACCAGTCGCGATGCCCTTCGCTAGCTCAACAAGACCGCCAATCTGTGTTCGCTTCGACACGGCGTACTGTGCGGTGCTGACCTTGACGCGGATGATGCCAATGCGCGGGTCCTCTGGGCCACCGTCGTGCTTGCCGTCACCCAGGTCGCCAATCCAGGCCTTGAGCGCTGGTGAGTAGTGCTTGCGGACAACATCGCGGTCTGTCTCAATGGAGGCGTGGCCGGAGATGGATGCCCACTCGCCCGAGTTGTTGATGAAGCCGACGTTGACGGACTTGTGCTCCTTGAGGTCGTCGGTCTTGCCGGACTCGGTGTTGGTGTGGAAGAGGAGGTCGAAGCCGTGTCCCTCCTTTTCTTTGTCAGTCATGTCTTTGGTCATCAATTGGGTGTGTATTACCTTTGCAGCGACGGCCATGGCTCTTGAGGCCAAGAGATCGCTGTCTGCGGCCTGTGTGGTCAACAGGCAGAACTTGGTCTTGTCGACAAAGTTGAGCAGGTCCTCGCACTTCTCCTTAAGAGAGGGCTCCTCGAGGTTCTTCTGCGTGTAGGGGTCGGCCGTCTTGGAGCCGGTGTCGGTGTTGCTGAAGCCAGACATGGTGATGGTAGTTGTAGAGAATACGCGTTGAGCGGGGTGTTTGTTTGGTAGCTGGGGAGAAGGCGTCAGCTTCTGTAGACACAATGTTCGAGGAGACCTCCGCGCTGTTCTTGCGATACACTGAGAAAGGAAACGAGACGGAAGCATACCTTTGGATGGGTAGTTATGGGTAAACAGGTAGTGTGTGGGAGAGAAGCTGAGTATGTCGCGCGACTTTGTACGACTTTGCCGGTGATGTCATCAGTACCACCACCACGCGTTGGGAACCACATCCACCCCGCTATGTATGTGGGGTAACTCCTTTTGGCTGTCACCGGCACCGGCTCCTGTTGCGGATGCTCTAGTCTGTAGTTCAGGGCCTTGCGTCATGTCATGCTTCTTCAAGCTAGTGACCAAGTCCTACATGTTTGAGTGGCACAGGTCACTCTGATAAACGCATTGAAGATGAGATGGTGATATTAACCCTCTGGGTCTGCTACGCCTCTAAATGAGACACATCGTACTCCACTCCGTGACCCCGTCCCATGCCATGCTGGTATCTCGTAACAATAGCGGACAATGTACCGATTCCAAGATCCCAAGCTAGAAATGAAAATGTGGGCTAGATCCTACACTATGCAAATGTCCCAAATACATGACCCAGATTCCGAGAGGCGAACACCTCTAGTGACAATGTTTGACACTGCGCAACTCTATGCGTCGGCGGCAGTCTCCTTGTCCTCAATCGACGCCTTCTTGAGGTCGTCAGCAGCGTCCGCTGCCGCGTCCTTCTCCTGGGCGAGCTCAGCCTCAGCGGATGCGTCGCCGTTGACGGCCTGGTTCTTCTGGGCGGGCTTGCGAGCGGCGTCAGTGCTGCCGTTGGCTGCGTCCTCTGCGGCCTCTTCAGCCTCAAGTTTGTCAATCTCCTTCTGTGCCTTGGCGATGTTCTGAAGATTTGTTAGCAGCATCCTCGCAGTCGTATATAGAATCACTCACCTCCTTGGTCTTGCGGTCCTGGTCCTCTTTCCAGTGGGTAAGCTTGGCCTGGAGCTTCTCGACGGTGGCAGGGACTTCGTCCTGGCTTGATGGGGGGTCGACGCCGACCTTGGCCAGCTCCTCGATGATACCAATGTTGAGGTTGAACTTGCTAGCAGCAGCGCCGCCCTTCTTGCCCTTCTTACCCTTCTTTCCACCAGTACCAGCCATGTAGCTCTCCTCCTCAGTGTCTTTCTTGGATATGCGGGTACCCTTGAGGCCGGAGTCGTCGACGGTGCGCTGGGCGGAGGCGGCGAACTTGCTGGCAGCGGTGGTCTCCTTCGCGGGGAGTGCGGAGGGGTCGAAGTGGCGGATCAAGCCCTCGCAGGCAATGATCTCGTCGCCGTACGCGGGTGCGCTGGCTTCCTCGAGACGCTTGGAGGCAGTCTCCTTGCGCTTGCCGGCGACGTACTGGAGCTGCTCGAGGCGCCTCTTCTCGTTGCGGATCTTGCGAGCCTCGAACTCGTAGTTCTTGAATGCGCGGAGCTGCTGGAAGTAGTTGTCCTTGAGCTCCTTGCGGGCCTGGTACTTCTCCTGCTGCACTGCGCGCGCCTTGTCGGTCTCCTCACGGAGCGACCTCAGGTTCTTGAAGGCCTCGTCTTGCTCAGCCTTGAGTCCGTCCAGCTCAGTCTGAAGCTTGGTGTACTTCTCGGAGAGGGCCTTGTTCTCGGGGTCGTCCAGTAGCTTCTTCTGCTCGGCGATCTGGGCCTTGATATCGTCGATCTTCTTCTGCTGGCTGTCGAAGCCGGAGAAGTTCTTCTTGGCCTTGTTGAGGGCGCTGATCTCAGCCAGGGCCTTCTTCTCGTCCACGAGCTTCATCATGCCGCCGTCAACCTGCTTCTGCAGACGGGCAATCTCCTGGTCCACATCCTCGGCGGACTTGTAGTTGGACTTGCCCTTTGCCGTCTTGAGCTCGTTCAGCTGCTGCTTAAGCTGCTCGTCGAGCTTCTTGATCTTCTCGAAGATGGAGTTGCGTCCGGACTTGTTGCCCTGCTGGGTCGAGCGGATGGCGTTGAGCTCCGTCTTGAGCTCCTGCTGGCGCTTTGCGTTCGGCGAGTCCTTGTTGTTGGGCTTGGCGAGATCGAGCTTGGCCTTGCAGGCGTTCTGGTCGTCGTTAGTAATTTTCCAGGATTAGTTGATGGTGTGCGATGCAGCCACCCGTCAGCTCGTGGCCGTGCGACTGCGCGCACCACACAGGGACATGTACTCACCAGCTTTTCCTGGGCGGCGGCGTGCTCCTTCTCCAGCTTGGCGAGGTCTTCCTTGTACTTGTCCTCGTCGGGCTTGTCAGGCTTGACAACCTGCTGCTTCGCTTGAGGGGCAGCAGCGCCGTTGGTAGAGGCCTGGGCGGCGGGTGGAGTTGCGACGTCGGCCATGGTTGCTGTGCAGTCAATTGAATTGAAGGGCTGACTGGGAGTTGCAGCGGGGGGAGAGGTCTGGGAGATCTGAATAGACCGCCGAGTTGTGAGTGCTGGGCTAGGCGTGAAGGGCGGTGGGAGGACAACTATTAAATTCGAGGGTCTCGAGTGAACCACGGATGCTGGCAACTTTTCCCGATGCTTAGCGGGCGGGCTAGTGTGCCGCCCGCAGTCAGGGCTCCATCGCCCACCCTTCACTCGGGGCCTCGAACACACACCCACCAACCCACGGCTATGGCGGAACAATCGCGGGGCAAGATCCCCATCCTGCTGCTGAAGACCAAGTCAGTACCCAAAGACACGTATGAGGAGCTTTTCCTTGAACTCGACAATGGCAGCTATGCGCCCGTTTTCGTGCCCGTCCTGGAGCACAGGTTCAAGCGAGATGCCCTGCGTGAGGTGCGCCAGCATGTCACCCATCGCGGCTTCGTGCCACAAGCGCAGCAGGGTCTTGCGACATATGGTGCGCTGATCTTCACCTCGCAGCGTGCAGTTGAAGCCTTCAGTGAGGTTGTCCAAGAAATCCGTAAAGAAGGCGCCCTCGACATCGACAGTCTGCTCCCAGAGAGTCTGCCGCTGTACGTAGTAGGCCCAGCTACAGCTCGCGGACTGCGATCGCTGGGCCTTAAGTGTCCAATTCTGGGAGAGGAAACCGGCAACGGCGAGGCTCTGGCTGGCTTCATCTTGAGGCACTACAACGCCCTTCATCCAGGTGTTGCGAATCCGCCCATATTGTTCATGGTCGGCGATAAGAGGAGGGACATAATACCAAAGACCCTGCAGTCAGAAGAGCTGGACCCAAAGGAGAGGGCGAGGGTAGATGAGTTGGTTATATACGAGACCGGGGAGATGCAGTCTTTCAAGGAGGACTTCTCGACAATCTGGCGCAGAAACGCGGACCAAGGCTCGAGACGGCAATGGGTCGTTGTATTCTCTCCAAGTGGATGTCAAGCCATGCTTGAGAGCCTCGGTCTCCTGGACATGGAGACTGGGAGAGCCAGGGCTACTGCTGAGCAGAGAGACATCCTAATATGCACCATCGGCCCGACGACACGCGATTATCTGAAGCAGGAGTTTGGCTTTACTCCTGATGTATGCGCGGAGAAGCCGAGTCCGGAGGGCATCGCCGACGGTGTTCACGCCTTTCTCGAGAAGCACGAATAAGCAATGGCGGTTGTGGCTTCGTCTACGTCGACCGGGGTGCGCTCGATGGACGACGTACAATTTGAAGGCCTTGTATATCAGCGTCGATAGGTTTGCTAGATCAAGTACGTGAATGCGCGACGCTATTCCACGCACTCTCAAATCCTCGTTCATGACCGCTCGCGGCTTCCGTATGATAGTCCAGCGCTGCACGTGCCTTCCTGACGCGTCGATGTGCTAATGACTGCCATTGACGTCACCATTTCACGCGACGCGCCTGCCACAAACCACCAGCGCGCGCGCAAACAACAGCCTCCTTCATTACTTCACCCATCTTTATCCCATCCTTTCACCAATTCCTTCAACAATCTACACCTCTTCATTCAATTGACCTCACTGCATCAACAATGGCAGGAACACGCTCCTCTGCACGCGACACCGACGGTGGCTCCAGCCCAGCAAAGGGTAACGATATCGCAGCCGGTACCAAACGCAAGCCTGAGGTCGAGCCCTCTCCCAAGCGCGACCGCAAGGTGACAAAGAAGCAAGCCACTATCGAGGAGACTATGCATACAGGCAAGGAAGAAGATAGCGAGATGAAGGACGCCTCTGATGGGGGTCAAGACTCGAAAGACGCAGAGGAGGCCGAGAAGAAGGCCGCTGAAGACCTGGTTGATGCAAGCGACGCGACGGCATTGGCCACTGGCGATGATAACAAGCCTACATCAACTGACATGGAGACTGCGGACGACCAGGCGGAACAGGAGACCGACGTCGCCCCTAAAGCCGAAGAGGCTACACAGGAGGAGACGAACGAAGACAAAGCAGACACTACTAAAAAAGAGGCTGTCGCAGACGGTGAAGGCGCGATCGAGGAGTCCTCCCAGCGCGCAAAGCAAATGCCATCAAACATTCTTGAGAAGGGCGTCATTTACTTCTTTACCCGGAACCGCGTCGGTGTCGAGGAATCCGAAAGCGTCGGCGACCTTCAACGCACCTTCTTCGTCCTCCGACCAATGCCATCTGGAGCCAAGCTAGGCGACGGTGCTCTCGCCGACGACAATAACATCCGCCTCTTCGCGCTGCCCAAGAAGGTCTTCCCCAAGTCGCACAACGATCGCTTCATGGCATTTGTCGAGAAGGCGAACACTTCCATCAAAGAGCTGAAGGAGAGCTTCTTTGGTGCGGACGAGTACGAGACGAAGACACAAGGCAGTCGACGCACCGAGCCTGTGGCGCCGGTAGCGGAAGGCGTGTATGCGATTACGCGCACTGAAGACCGGACGTGCCACCTCGTCTACTCTACCACCATACCTTCCGAGCTTGGAGAGGTGCAGGAAGACCTAGGTATCAAGGATCAGGGCAGCTTCGTCATGAGTGTCAAGAACCCTGAGCGCAGCGGACCGGCTTCTGCCCAGCTTCCTCAGAAGCCCGCTTTCCCCAAGGAGTAAGTGATCTCGATGTGACTACCTGTTCACGACTGACCATTGCCAGGTTTATCGACGAGTTCCGCAGACTGGCTTGGGTCGAAGTCAAGCCGAAATACCTGGACTATGAGTACTGTCAGATCCTGCTCATCGGCGAAAAGATGGAGAGTGGTGTCGAGCCGACGACCAAGGACCAGAAGCATGACAAGGAGACTCCACAAGAGGAGATTGAGAAACTCGAACATGAGGATGAGCTGCGCGTCGAGCATCTTCACGGTATGTTGTTCAGCTGCTAGCAGATGTGGCTTGTGCTAATGAAGTCTTAGGCGACGACTCTATCTATGATGACCTCAAGATCAGCAAGAAGGAATATCCGCAGGTCGCGACGACCTGGTGAGCTTGAACTGTAGCTCACTGTCACGCGATATTAACGATCTTCTTTCGAATTTACTGTACAACATGGATCATCGGCGTTCAAGGGCGCAGGACATATCCCGGCATGGCCTCTGGTACGGATCTCGGATGAGAATGGTCAGAGGAACCGGTTATAGGGCTTGGTATCACTCATAAACTTCCTCACATCGAGTCGCAATATAATAATCAACTGTACTCCACACTTCTCAATGGGCGCGGCGCACATGCAACGCTTCAGTCTTCGGAACTCACTGACAGTGGCTCAATCGAGTAAGCCGATTGGGCAGATCCTTGGACTTCTGTTTGCGATATCATCGTTACAATTTCCGCTCATCGCTCACTGCTACCGATACCGCTAACCTCATCACCGTGATGCCAGGTATCGGTGACAGTCTCTCCCAAACTCTACTTCGTTGGTTGGTGTACTGATACCTACATCCTCTTTACACTTACGACTCGCTATTCCGCACATCGCTGCATCTTTTCCACGGTCTTCAACATTACTCATCACCATGCCTCCCTTTCCCAACCCTCCCGCCGAAGACTCAAAGTCGGTCACCTGGCCGCTGCTATCCTTCTCCATCCACAAAGAACAAAAGATAACCGGCATGGCAACCTTCTTTCTCGACCACGCAAACACAGAATTCGGCTTCATCAGATCCACCTCCTCGAACATCGCGTCTGTCTTCCGCTTCCTGGAAACAAATGAGCCCATCTACTTCCAAGCCAAGACCGCAAAGCAATCCATCGAGCTTCCAGAGTCAGCTCAAGTCGTCTCCACACTCCTCGACGAGATGTACGGTGTCTACAACCCCACCACTGGTTCCATCTTCACCAACTTTGCGCTGAGGATGGAGATTGAGAAAGAACTCATGATGAACCAGCTCTTAGATCTCTTCATCGCCGCTGACAAGGTGCCTGCTCTCACGTCATTCCTCGATCTATCACACTAATCCTATACCCAGTACAACCTCGAACCCATCAAACGCCGCGCCGCCGAAGCCATCATCGACCGCCTTCCCTTCATCACCGACCCGCTCATGATCGTCGACCTCGCTACATGCATCTACCACGAGCAGTGTCCCGAGAACGACCGAGGACTGTGCAACGCTATCATCGAGTGTGTGAGGATGCGCACGCCGGCTATACTGGAAGATGAGAGTGCGTGGGAAGAGTTCTCGGAGAACAAGAATGTGCTGAGAGCTTTTCACGTGTCGCAATGTGAGGCGGGTGAGGGTAGTGGTGTGTTCGGGGGTGGAGGCGGGGGTGGGGTTTTGACGCCGCCTGGTACGCCTAGGTAGAGTGGTGGTTTGGCGGTTTGGCTGCTGGCGTGTAGTAGGATTGAGTTACGAAGAGGTAGCTGAGGCAAATGCACTTGCGGTCGACACTCGATTGAAGGCGTTCGGTGCAAAGACCTTGCTCAGCTTTGGCTGAGCTGTCGCGCACCTCCCCATGCCGCTTTCGTACGCAATCTAGATCCCATTCACTGTGCTTGCGGTCCTTCTTGGTTGCATGGTGCAGCGGTGTAAGACAGCCTTGCGGCGGTCAGACTAGATCTCAGACGAATACACGCCGTTGCTTACGCTAAGAACATAGTGTACATTGATATACCCCGAACGTCTACCTCGATCTCTATATCGTGTACAACATAACTTCTCGACCACGATACGATACCAAGAAGCGGTCTGAACTAAAAGCGCACTCTCTTCTGTGTTGGTATGATGGAAGAGTTTGGGAGAGTTGGAGCGGCCCCATGGCGGGTAAGCCCGGAGATGTCCCCGATTCTAGTTCGTCTTAGTTCGGACTGGCACAGGTATGCTTACACGACGTGCCCTTGTGAGATAGAGTATTAACTCTTGGAATGAGGCCGTACCTTTTCTAGCCATGAGTCTATTGGCGGATACTTCATCGCGTACTGTCTCGGTGGTGTTGTCTTCAACCGGTGAGACGGACGTACACCGTGTAGAAGCCGTTAACAATAAACTTCGACTAACGATCGTTGCTTAGTACATCCTACATAGAAGGCTTTATGCTCGCCGAGAGGTACGGGAGGATGTATAAAAGTCATGACTTGACCATCTCTTCCGACTCATCGAACAGATCCAGCATCACCTTCATACACCAACATCACAAGACTCACGCCTCACAAAACAACGACACTGCCTTTCCTCTCAAACAAAACCAAAAAGTAACACTCCCCCATCTTATCCCTCCTCTTCACCACTAAACCCACCAGCCCTCACCTCAAAATGCGTTTCCTCTCCCTCACCCTCCTCGCCACAACCGCAACAGCCTGTTTCCAAACCTCCCACTGCTCCGCTCCCAACGGCCCCGACATCGCCGTGCAATCGAACGGCGTCAACGACCCCGAACACAACCAAGCCCAATTCACCGTTGCCTTCAAAGACGGGCGGTATGGACCCGAGACGTTTGTTGGCATGGTGAACCATCTCAGATGCGATATTATTGTTAAGATCAAGAGCCCCGCCGCGAATGATGCGTTGCAGTGCTGGGTTGTGCCGCCGGGGGAGCAGTGTAATTTGGATGTCAGTATTGCGGGGATTTGGTGGCATCAGAGTTGTACTTCGTAGGTTGGGGGACGGGGGGGTTTGGTGGGGTAGAGAATGGGAAGACGAGGGGTGATAGAAAGCGAATAGCGAGTATGAAATGTTCGATCAATCTCAGAATCTGTGTTCGTCTATTGGTACCGCGCATTCTTGCTTCATGTCCCAGTGAATACTCGATAATCGCTCCTAGACGGCCAAGTGGCTTCTGGTTCGGCAGCCGGCTTGGATATCCATCCACCCAACACGACATGCCCTTTGACCAAACTACTAAATCGATCAACTCCTGCTACGGAGCAACATAGTATTATTGGCACTCGCAAAAGTACCTTACTTGAAAACAAGAAGTGGATATTAGAGATGAAGTAAGGTGTTGCGCTCAGCAAAGAGCTCGAGCATAGCTTGCACATCTAGGTACTATGAGAGGTTAGAGGTATTCGAAGAGTCCGGAGTGAGATGTGGCGAGACTGCTGGGGCCAGAGTACTTGAAGACTTACACTCAATTCGAAGGTGATGATTGGGCATTACCTAAGGCTATGAGAAGCAGAAAGCCGTGACTGTTCTTAGATGCTGCGCAGACGACGAATAACAATCTGGCCTCCTCAATGAATTGCTTTTCTCACACATGGGTGTGTATAGTCCGGTATAGTGCGCAACTACTGTATTTTAGTACCATGGTTGTGTAGATCATGACAATGTTCTTCGTGGGCTCTGCAATTGAAGAAGGCGCCACCTGAAATGTTCCGTCACTATCTTAAGAGAGGCAAAGCGTTGTGTCGGCTGCGCGGAGTGCATCACTCCAAGATTGTGTATGGACGGAACTTACATTAAATAAAAATTCTCTCCGGACTACGCACGGTCGTGATCACACACACTTCGTTGCTCTCGCGTTTGCGGCTCGTGGTCATCTCGCAGGTTTCCTGAAAGGAGCTGCGGGCGTGTTGACAGTTAACTGCTTGACCGGTGCCAGCATTGCTCAGCCACGAAACCTCCCATTGGCCGGACTGGCACGCTCACAAGGAACCCCGGCTGTTAGCAGTCCCTCATCTACGGATCAGATTCAGCTATGAAGCCTCCTGTTGGCTGAAAAGGTAAACGCCCAGGGACCCCGGCTGTTAGCAGTCCCCAGATTGACCCTTGCATTGTGCTCTGCCTCATGCTTAGAGTGCCCACGAGTATTTTGGGAAAGCTAGCCAGTCCTAGCGAAATGCGTTTTGTCACCACCGCAGCCTTGGTTAACGTACACTTCTCTCATATAAAGCTGAATTGAGAGTTACAAAAGATGAGTAGCAATACTTTCATTCAGTCAGACTACGCTCTACTTCATCAAAGCAAAACGTCAACACGCCAAAGAACAAAAGGATCGTTAGGTTTTGCGGGTCCACAAAGCCAATAAACTCGCAGTCAGAATATATCAATGCAGCCGATCTTGAACCCTTAGCCTACTGTGGACAAACGGACTACATAATGGGGACTAACAGTAACTTTTCCTCTATTCAGGTTTTACGGCGATGCGCTGACAGAATCTCGATAGATACTGTATCACATAACACGGCCTCCTCATCCGGGTGGACGAAAGAAGCTATCTTCACCCTTCTCAGCGTCTTCCTCACCATAACCCTCGCCATCATCGGTTTTATCTTGCGACACTACGTGCAGAAGAGAACGCCTGGTTATCGGAGATCCAATGGAGGCAGGCGTACTGAACCAGGTCAGCAATGTATCAAACCGTAGATGCGTGATACATGCTAAACCATGTTAGATGAAGAACTACACATAGACCGATCGCCGCAACGTCCCTGCTGGGTTGATCTGGCTGAAGCTCGGCGTTACCAGCAACAAGCCTATACTTCAGTCTCGAGGCTACGAAGGGGGCCGCGGCCTTAAGGATGTTGTAGATAATGATAGCGGTGCCAACGATGGGGATAGATCCAGATCGCTGTTACCGTTTATGTAGCACTCGGAACAGGGTTGTAAGAACGGGTTGGAAATGAGAGTTGCTAGACGTCGAAGAGTGACGGGTCGTCAAACTTTGTAACAGCGAAGGGTAGCGTAGTCGGAGAGATGATGGGACTTGGAAGTCTTGACAATGATCTTGGAACATGTAGTCGTGTGAAAGCTGTCAATTCCATGCTACTATTCATGGATGCTGTAGACAATGACTTGGTGCTCTCCGTTCACGTTCGTCTTTGCTTGACCCAGAGTATTGCATGGACATGGCGGAAATGTCGAGATGATCTCGATCATCATGACGGTAATGATGACCCGATCAAGGAGGATCATGGTGGCTCCAGGCTGAGCTGGACCGGAGTTGAGTATTGTAGGTGCAATGGCGAACAGGTAGGTCATACCCAGGTGTGAACGACAGATCTCCGCCAACCACGTGCCCTCGCGTCGCGCTAACCTTTTCCGACAACCCGGCCCAAGCTCTGCACATCCAACCCCACAAGCATGTGCCGGCGGCCCCTCGACGCGTCGTCACCAGCCCAATGGCCCCCGATGTAGCCTCCATGACCTCGACGCCCTCAACGCCTGCCTTGAAGCCATCGCAGAAACCTCCCTCCGGACCCAATGTCCTCGAAGTCGTCTTCGGCTCGCTGCTCATACAGCCCTGGTACCCGTCTTTCTACCCGGAAGAGCTTGTAGGCCGACGCGTAGAGCGGCTCTATGTGTGTCAATGGTGCTTCAAGTATAGCAAAGAGTTGGTGGGGTTTATTGGGCATCTGGTAAGCTTCGGACGGATATGTGCTGCGTCTGAGGGTTGGATTGGAAAGCTGATGAGCTGTAGAAAGCATGTCCTCTGCGCAATACACCACCGCCGGGCGTGAACGTCTATACGAAGGATAACTACTCCTTATACGAGATTGACGGCGAGAAACACAAACTCTACGCACAGAACCTTTCGCTCTTCGCCAAGCTCTTCCTCGATACTAAATCCGTCTTCTACGACGTTACGACATTTCTATACTACCTGCTTGTCGCGCACAATCCCACACCTGAGATACCGAATACCAGTTTCGGCGACGATGCAGAGGCGAGCGGGATTGGTGCGCAAGGGCAGGTTGTCGGCTTCTTCAGCAAAGAGAAGATGAGCTGGGACAACAACAATCTCGCATGCATCTTGGTGTTTCCACCATGGCAAAAACAAGGGCTGGGGCAGATACTCATGGGCGCGAGCTATGAAATGAGTAGACGTGAGGAGAGGCTGGGCGGGCCTGAGAAACGTATGTTCATGTCGCCAAGCGGATGTTTCCCATGCTAATACCACTACAGCGCTGTCGGATCTCGGCCGCATCGCATACATACATTACTGGTCGCAAACGCTCGCCCGGACGATCGTAGCGTGCCCTTCCAAGAAGACACTCACCGTGCAAGATTTGCGTGAAAAGACGTACATTGTGCCCGAAGACATCATTGCGACATTACAGGCTATGGACGTGCTGGAGCAGAAGAAGAAAGGAGGCGCCGACGCTGTCATCAATAAGGCCAGGGTAAGAGCTTGGGCAGATACACACAAGGTGAATCTGAAGGCATGCCCGGTCGACCCTGATGCTTTTGTCGCGAGGGAAGTGAGCCGAAGCGTGAGTGAGGAGTCGTGAGGCTTGTAGGCTTGTAGACGTAGATGTGTGAGATACCCAGAATGTATTCGTTTCAACGAGCTCAAATGGCAATGGGGCGGCGTCTTCGTACTGCTGGGTGGGAAGGCTAAACGAACAGGAATATCGCAACTGTTCTCTCATACGCGGTATCAATCACCTGCTGCTCCATCGTATGCCAATTCTATCTTCTCAGGAATGTCGACTTCTCGTTCAACCATTGGCGCGCATCACACTCCATAGTCTGCCACTATTGTGCTTGCTTTCGGAAGTGTTTAGTCTTATGCTTGCCCTACCATACATTCAGCATGGTGATGAGTCCGAGCACGCTATAGATACACAAGTGAAACTTCTCAGATTAACATTTGTCGATCAAGATCAATAGCATACATATTTTCGTGGCGTCGAAGTCTCCCCTGCTCTTGGCAACAATGCTTGCATATAGCACTTTGGTAGATCCATCGTGCTACTATTGAACTTTATCGCAAGTCTAGCTCCTGTCAGGCAGTCAAAAATCGCGGGGTTCGTTTCAACATCAGCGGTCGTATGATCTGGACCTAGGTAAGCATGTCCGATCAGATGAACCCGAAGGAGAGCCGATTGCTATGTCTTCAAAATACGTCTTAGATAAGAGTGGCAAGGACTACTTTATTCAACGTTCTTCTACTCACATCAATATCGAATTTACACTTCCGTTGACAAAAGTTGTATACAACAAATCCGAGTCTGAATCATCTACTCAAAGAGGCGGACATGGGCATACCTGTCACGGCCTTTCCTTGGGAATCGCCATCAGTAGCTGCACATCAATTCATACACAACGTGCATCAGAAGTATTAGACAAAGTCCTCGACCCATAGCTATTTTCGTTGTCGTAACTTTGCTACAACGTTGTAAAATCGACATACTGTCGAAACGCCAAAGACGTCATGCATGAAGACTCGGTCTCCGAATCTACTCGCCTCGTAAAGTTGAAACTTGGCGTGGAGTAAGCCTGACTTCTAGAATCCCAAGCCTGATCTATGCCAGGATACCCAGCACGGGGAATGGTCTCGCGGTGAAACGCGAGAGCGAGCAAGTGGAGTGAACCAGATGTCAGAACTGCACTGCTCACCTCGACAATCCTGGTACGAGGTTGCAGTAGCTCGTTGACGTGGCAGTGACTGAGCAGCGGAGGACCATGGACTTGTTGACGAACCGCCCACGAAACAGTAGCAAAGTGCTTCACCACTGGACAGAGTTTGGCATGCAAATGCATCATCGCGATGCGGGTCGACAGATTTAGCATAAGAAGGAAGTCTGGGAGGAAGAGAGGGCACGCGGTGATGGGGCCCACATAGTGGGGTATCGTCGCTTGACGGGCTCAATGGGATGTCATTGGGTAGCAGCGCGGCACTTCCGGTGCACTCCCGGTCAGTCGCCAACGTTAACTCGCATGCATGCGCAAGGCGGTGACTGACTGGCTGCAATATTCCTCGTCGTTGCTTCTTCCAGTTCAGCATGCGTTCTCCTTTGTCTCTTCCCCATTCCAACATATCCGCGTTGCTGTGATTATGGCGCACACCAGGGTTGAGATTCAGCAGGCCTTGAGGCGTACCACGACATCCACCGTTTGCGAGCCTTGTCTTGTTCAGCCTCTAGAGTCGTACAACGTGTGCTTGTAATCGCTTCAGCATGCAAGGGATCGCACGAAAACGTCACTCACTGTCTATATTCACTTTCCCGCACACCATCACCCACCCTCCCCGCACCGCGCCATCGCCCCCAGTACCAGATCCATTGACGCAAGCGCCACCTCTCTGCTTACACAGCTGGACCCTGTAAACAATACGTAGCATGGTGGGTAGATAATATAAACACGCTCTTTGCCTGTCTGCCCTGAACTACCAGCTTGCTTTTGAAACTGACGTATATACTCCGATACTTAGTCGGATCACGCAGCAGCCTTTGAGGGCTCCGGTTCACCCCCACGGCAGCGCAGTCCTCCCACCGGCAATCCCAAATACCACTACGACGGCCTTCATGATATAGGCACGAGTTCAGCTACTAGTGCACCACACACTAGACGCCGCCCATCACGCACCAGTTCGGGCACCAAAGGTTCTCCACCTTCAGCCTCACCGCCGCGTGGAGACGACCATGACGAGAGCGAGCAGAGATCTAAACAGCCTCGCAACACTCTGAAAAAGCTTTTAAGACGCGACTCACATCATACCGAGACTGGATCGACTTCGCAAGCCAAACAGGAAGAGTTAGATGAGGAGGGCAGTACCATCGGCTACATGCCCAGGCTCGGTCAAATAAGAGAAAGCAAGAGCAAGGTCAGCACACGCTCACGACGGCGAGGGAGCTCTGCCCTTGGTACTCCGGTCGATCCGAGGGTTCTGCGCCGCCGGCATACTGGGGACGAGGCTGTGAAGCGCTCACACGCACGTGCTAAACACAGCTCTCTGCAACGGCATGCTGGAAACATGGCCAACATGTCAGACCCCTCCCTGGTCTCTAGTGTGACGCAACAGTCAGATGCTTTGGGTGGCAGTAACTCTACAGTAATGCAGAGACCGTACGGCGGTTATAGCCAAGTCGCCGAGTACCAAGAGTCTGAAGAAAGCGAAAGTCCGCCCGCACCCACGGCGATGCAGAGTCACGCCTTCAACAACATGGACGCCACCCAAGCAGGAGTGTTCCAGTTTCTACAGTCTAGCGACGACACTCCTGAAAGTCCTACGCCTACGGACCTCCAGGCTATGCCTTCATCGACCATTGCCTCATCCTCGTCTTCCTCGTCAGGTGACACTCAGCATGACGATGGACGCTCATCTGTAGCAGCAGACTCACAACATCCTGACTCCGCTATGACCTCGCCAGCCTCTACCAGAAGGTCCCTTCAGACAGCATCACACCAACCCAATCAGGAATATCGTTCCTTCAAGAAGCCATTGTACGCCAGTAGCTTTGTGCATGGCCCTGGAGATGACGTCGAAGCCAACCAAGAAGAGGGTAGTGAAGAGGAGAGTGAAAGTGGGTCAGAAAACGAGGAGGAAGTAGATCAAGGAAACCAGATACCCAACAAACGGCCGGCAGTGACGACCCCACCTCGAGCTCCATCGGCGAGCTCTCATCAAAGTGATCCGCACGCCAGACGTCTTAAGCAGCAGGAGCGCGAGCTTGCTAGCCACATCTTCCAAAGACCACAGCCGTACGGAGAGTACCAATATGGTGCAGAGCAACACCCCTACGGCTACCCACCGATGCCGATGTACAACCAACAAGGCTGTTCTGGTGCGTCTCCGGCTCCAGTGCCTGCGGCAATCAGCTCCCCACCAGGATGGGCACCTATGCCCTCATTCCCAGTTCCGCTAGCCATAGGATATGCGCCTCATCAATCCCCGGAAGCAGTGCATGCACATCCACTATCGATACGGCCAGCTGATGGCATGCTCCAGCACGTGCCGCCACCTTTCTCCCCACATCCAGGGCAGCCGCCACTCTATCAACAGCACGCGCCATTACCCAACCAGACCCGACAAACGGTGGTGGGATACGAACTCCTCGCCAACGAGCTTAGCGGATCGTCGCAGCCCAGCTCTCATGACCGGAAGAATCTCGTGCCCATGTACCGAAAGTTTGAGCATCTAAACCACCGAGTCTTGCTCCATCTGCAAGACGAAACGTGCGAACTGGAGGAAGAGCTGCGTCACCTAGACGAGTGCATTGCCCAGATGTCGCCTCGGGATGCGTCAGGATACGCGTACCCTGCGTCGCGGCGGGGTGATGCACGCTACGGAAGTGAAATGCACTTCAAGAGGACCGAACTCCTGGGGCGCATCTACCAGAAGCTAGAGCAATACAGTAAGTTGTGGCTAAGCCGGATGCAACGAGTCGGAACGCCATGTCAACATGGGGATCGTCGCTGCTACCGATCAAGAGTGTTCCGCTGACTCGGTACAGACAAGGCTTTATCTTCGTTTAGCAAGCTCTCGAAAAGTCTTAATCCTGCGTCTACGGAGGATATCCAAGCCTATCGTGAGTGGATGGATGAGCACGACCCGATCAATGAGGAGGAATCCCAATTTCTCGAGGAAGACTCGGACCTAGTGACTCTTCCGCGGAAAGTTCCTTCTTCCACATCTTTTTCTCCTCCCAGCACGGCAGCTCCGGCTGCCGGCCAAGATCAGTCAGCAATATGGTTTCCACTAACCCTGGTACTACCCCTCATGGCGTTTTCCATAGTCCCCAGCTTGCTTGGACGGCTCCTCGTTATCGTGCTTATCGTTGGTGCGGAGCTAAAGATGGTCACGTCGACCCCTCAGCTCAGGAATATGCTGTCTACACGTGAGTGGGCTGCGGCAGCTTCAGTGTAAGTCACGTCCTTTCTCTTTCTCTAATTCCCGCCCGCGATGCAAGGCCGTGACGTCGTCTACATCCTCAAACGGAAAGACGGGCGCGTGGGGCGACAAACTCTCACCACGTTCGGAAATTTCCAGGACATGCTTCCGGACGGAAACATGTCAGAAACGTCTTTTTACCCACGCATTATCCGGTGCCTTGGCCGGTTCCTGAGGCCGCGCGCGGGTGGTTGCTGCAGTTGGTGAGATGAGGAGGCTAACGCAAGCAGCTATTTCGGGGTGAATGTGCTCCTCGCAGCCGTGGTGCGCTGACGGGCGGGCTGAATGTCGCTTGACTCGCAGGGCACATGCAGGCGCGCGCCCATGCGAGGTGGAGGAGTTTGGCGGCCACGGCGCAATGATCGCCCATGGTTTTCGCGGGCGCACGGACCCATTTGCAGGCTAAGCAGGAGCGCAAGGCGCGTCAAGATGTCCAGGTACCGTATGCTCCCGCACAGCGAGTCTGACCGAGGAGATGGGCATGCAGAGTGTGGAGTCTCGGTTTCTCGGTTTCCCGTTTTTTCTTGTTGCTGCAGTTTTTTCATGGTGTTCTTCTGGCGTCGCGTACTGTACGGGATGGATGCATGTAAAGTGCTGTACTATATGGTTCGCAGGCGTTCACTCTACTGTCCGGCACGGCGCGGCGCATAATCATGAGGGCACTTGCCTCTGGGAGAAGAGGATGTGAGGTGTGCACGCAGCGCAGCTCACTAGAGATGTTGGAGTCGGCTCCATTGGCGCTCACCTTGGCCCAATATTTTCTTCGGGTGTTTTGCTTTGTGGTCATCTAATGGCAAACTGTAAACTGTAAACGGTAAACGAGGCCCGGATATGCTGTCTCCCGCCAGCAGTAGCGGCTACCAAAGTACTCTATCCAAAGCATGTGACATGAGTCGCAGCACTTGCAGGATCAGTTCAATCTCCAGTTCTGAAGGAAGCGACGCGGAGCGGGGCAATGGCGTGATGAAATTCTGCAGGTGATGGACGGCGGCGGGAATGTGACGGAGTCATTTATAGACACTGTGCAAGCAAGTGCAAGTACTGTTTGGGCAGTTGTTCCGCGGTGATCAAAGTCCTGTGGCGCATTGTATTGGTATCGCGGTATTTGATCATCGCGTCGGCGCTAGGGCGAGATGGCTATCAGCGATATTCGAGCATTACATTGCGATAGTCGTCGTTGTGCGACAATGTGCGCCACGTATGTTTCGAAACTATTTTGCAGCGGGCGGGCAAATGGCATCGATCATCGGACCGAGATGAGATGGTGATGGGTTGATCGACGAGGCAGCCGAATACAATGCTGTATGTACGGTATCTATGCAGAGTAATCATGTCTTGTAGACGGTAACCCGAAGGAGAGTCGATGGCGGCAGGTCGGACTTTGCGATGGCATGCCCATGCCCATCGACGACGGTCAGACTGCATGCTGGGCTGGGCAATTTTCCTAGTACACTTTGTACGGGCAGTAAGGCAGGCAAGCAGCAAGCGTCGAGACGGCGCGCTCTGGCCACCTCCACATCTTTCGTGCAGCCCGCCGCCACAGGCGTTGCTAAGCTGTCGGCAGCGAATGCGTCCGGTAGATGCACAAGTTATCCACGCGGGTCGATGGTACTAAACGTCGGCGCAGCAGGCCAGATGGACCATGTGATCGAGATGCAGACGGAGAGTCCAATAAGTTGGTCAAGAGAGTCGGGCTTGACGTCTGCTAGTCGGGCTTAGCCAGGAACCAGCGGCGTCGGTTGGGCGCGGACCACTTTGCTGCTTCAGGCACGTCGAGGTGGTCGGTCAGGGGAAGGCGAGCAGCTGACGACGGTTTCAGCGCATGGGGCCTGTCGCGTTGGACCCATGTCGGCTGAAGGTTCCCATGTCAGGACTCCATCGCGTTACTATCTGGTGCTCGTTGTTGTGGGAGGCCGTTTGCCCCTGCCTCGTTTGACGTCCCACCTGCGGCCTCCACATCCTTGGCCCTCTCCACCTTGGCCGACACTGAAACACCCATTCATGGTCTGAATCTGTGTCCGCTGCCGATACTCGTCCAGTACTGCAAGTCACTTTCACTCTCCTCCCGCCTGCCTGCACCCACGAGTCCCTCAGACTCTCACCCCGCCGTCGCCGTCGCCGTCGCTCCTGCCATCTGGACGCTGCCACTGGAAGTCGCGCCATCTGGAATGTCGCAGCCTGCCCATTGTCTCCCACCACTCACCGTTTGAGCTACCCCTCGCCCTCCTCGCGACCACCGGCGACCTGAGGCACCCCCTAAATTAATCCAACCAACAACCCACGCTGCACTGCGCTGCACTCTGCACCACCTCTCGCTGGACGGGCCCTCCCGCTGCAATTCCCCCGTCGCCGCCGCTGATTGCTCCAACCCGCCCAACCGCGACCGCGCACACAAAGAAACAAAGTCACCGCCTCCTGCCCGTCGCTCTCGCCGCGACACCCCCGACCAGCCATGGCGGTCTCTATGCTGCATGCCCCCTCGCGGGCCTCGACGTCGTCCTCGTCGTCGTTTGTCCCCGTCTCGCGCCAGAACACAATGTCGTCGCACGATGGCTCGCGCTCGGTGCGCCAGTCGAAGCGCTACTCCGTCACAGCCCTGTACCTGTCCATGTCCGCCAAAGACAAGGAGCTCGAGATTGAAGATGACCTGGCCCGAGGTACGCCGCCATTGCCTTGTAATGCGCCGCAGTAGACTAATCATTCGCAGCTCAGAAGATACTCCGCGAACTCAAGGCCAAGATCTCGTCGCAATCCAAGAAGAACTTCGTCCTGGAAAAGGATGTGCGCTATCTCGACTCGCGAATAGCCCTGCTGATCCAGAACCGCATGGCATTGGAAGAGGTGCGCTCATACGCTATAGAAACCCCGCGCCTGTACTGACTACCCTGCAGCAGAATGAAGTCGCCGACCACTTGGGAGACGGCCTCGAACTCCAGGAAGGTTTCTTTCCCAACGACGAGAAGACGCAGAAGTACGGCAACCTGCTCTTCCTGCTTCAATCCGAGCCACGCCATATTGCCCATCTATGCCGACTCGTCTCCATGGCCGAGATCGATGCCTTGCTACAGACTGTCATGTTCACAATCTACGGAAACCAGTACGAGAGCCGCGAAGAACACTTGCTATTGACCATGTTCCAGGTAAGTTGCGCCTCCAGCTTTGCGCATCACAACTAACCTCGCTCTAGTCTGTACTCACGTATCAATTCGACAACACCCCAGACTACAGCTCGCTCCTGCGTGCCAACACACCTGTCTCGCGCATGATGACCACATATACCCGCAGAGGACCCGGTCAGAGCTACCTCAAGGTCGTCTTGCAGGACAGGATCAACTCGCTCATCGAGCTGAAGGATCTCGACCTTGAGATTAACCCGCTCAAGGTATACGAGAAGATGGTTACTGAGCTCGAGATCCAGGGAAACCTTCCCCCAAATCTGCCCAAGGGCGTTACCGCAGAGCAGGCTGCCGAGAATGAGACAGTACAGAGCATCATCACACCGCGAGTCAACATGCTCATGGAGATTGCCAACAACTTCCTCACAACCATCATCAAAGGCCTCGAGGAGACGCCATACGGCATCCGATGGATATGCAAGCAGATTCGAAGTCTGTCGAGACGAAAGTACCCTGATGCCCAGGACCAGACCATATGCACTCTCATCGGAGGCTTCTTCTTCCTGCGCTTCATCAACCCCGCCATCGTTACACCAAGGTCATACATGCTCATTGATGTGCTGCCAGCAGAGAACCCCAAGCGGACACTAACGTATATCGCCAAGATGCTGCAGAATCTCGCAAACAAGCCGTCGTATGCCAAGGAGCCATACATGGTCAAGCTGCAGCCGTTCATCCACCAGAACAAGGAGCGAATCAACAAGTTCCTGCTGGACCTGTGCGAGGTGCAAGACTTTTACGATACTCTCGAGATGGACAACTACGTTGCTTTGTCTAAGAAGGATCTAGAGCTTTCTATTACGCTGAACGAAGTGTATGCGACGCACTCGCTATTGGAGCGACATGCGGCTGAACTAGTAAGCAACCCACACATCCATGTGCATCACTATACTAACAATCCCAGGCCAAAGAAGACAGTTCGCATCTAGGTGTCATTCTCAACGAGCTCGGCTCTGCGCCAGCACAGCTTCCCCGAAAGGAGAACAGAGCTATCAATCTCCCATTGTTCAGCAAGTGGGAAACGCCACTTGACGACCTTACCGCAGCGCTCGACATTACGCAAGAAGAGATCTTCTTCATGGAAGCCAAGTCAACATTCGTCATGATCCTCCGCTCACTCCCTTCCAATACGTCCATCACGCGACGACCATTGCGCCTCGATAGGATCGCGGAAGCAGCTGCCACGACCAAAAACGACTCTGTCATGGTCAAGAAGGGTATCCGTAGCATGGAGCTGCTCAGCCAACTGCAAGACCTTGGCGTGATTGACAAGGAAGACGGTTTCTCATTGCTCCGCGACGAAGTCGAACAAGAGCTGGTGCACTTGGGCTCCATGAAGGAAAAAGTCATTGAAGAGACACGAAAGCTCGAGGAAGTGTTCCGCACCATCCGCGACCACAATGGCTTCCTAGTCAGCCAGCTTGATACGTACAAGTCTTATCTCCACAACGTCCGCAGTCAGTCGGAAGGCAAGACAAGGAAACAGCAAAAACACCAAGTCCTCGGACCCTACAAGTTCACCCACCAGCAGCTCGAGCGAGAAGGCGTGATCCAGAAGAGCAATGTCCCGGAGAATAGGCGAGCCAACATTTACTTCAACTTCACAAGCCCACTCCCCGGCACCTTTGTCATCTCCCTCCACTACAAAGGGCGGAATCGCGGCCTTCTCGAGCTCGATCTCAAGCTGGACGATCTCCTAGAGATGCAAAAGGATAACGTAAAGCACCAGTGAGCCGGCCACCCCAGTGAGCCGGCCACTTTTTCTTGGCATCGCGAACACCATGTACGAACTACAATGCTATCTCAAAAGAAGCCTAACTTATCGTACAACGAAGGCAGAATTGATCTTGCTCTTCAGGCCTATACCTCAGGCCAATTTCAGACCCTGCGACGCGCTGCTGCTGCCTTTAGCGTACGACATCAGCGGCTCTCTGATCGGCTGCACGGAATCACAAATCGACACCAAACACGACCTGGAATCCAGAAGCTTACCTTAACAGAGGAGCAAACGATCGTACGATATATCCTTGAGCTTAATTCCCGAGGGTTTGCCCCCCGGCTGCAAGAGGTAGCAGATATCGCAGATAAATTACTAGCTGTACGTGGTGGGACACCCGTTGGCAAGAACTGGGCAGAGCGCTTTGTTCAGCGTACGGAGGAGCTTAAGATGGCCTTCAACCGAGCGAAAGATCGTCAGAGGATACTCCAAGAAGATCCAGAGATTATCGGCGCGTGGTTCACGCTCGTCCGAGAGACAGTAGCCAAGTATGGCATTGCAGACGACGACATCCACAACTTTGATGAGACAGGCTTCCAGATGGGCGTCATTGGCTCAATGAAAGTAGTCACAGGCTCAGAACGTCGTACAAGACCAAACTTGATCCAGCCAGGCGATCGCGAGTGGGTTACAGTCGTGCAGAGCATCTGCGCTGCTGGGTACGCGACCCCGCCCTTCATCATCTACAAGGGACGCGTCCATATCTCAGCATGGTACGAGGAGACTTCAATACCGTACGACTGGAAGCTCTCTGTATCAGAGAATGGCTGGACAAACAATCAGCTTGGCCTTGAGTGGTTAAAGCACTTTGATGAGCATACAAAGTCGCGTCAGGTAGGGTCGTACAGGCTGCTCGTCTTAGACGGCCATGAGAGCCACCTCAACCAGGATTTTAAGGACTACTGCCTCAAACAAAAGATCCTAACCCTCTGTATGCCTGCTCATTCATCGCACATACTTCAGCCACTTGACGTAGTGTGTTTTTCGCCATTGAAGCTGAAGTACTCTCAGCGCGTACGAGACTTGGCACGCCGACGCGTCTACCACATCAACAAAGAAGGCTTCCTTCCAGCCTTTAAAGACGCGTTTTTCGACGTATTCACGTACGAGAACTGCAAGAAGGCCTTTGAGGCAGCAGGACTAGTTCCTATCAACGCGCAGAGGGTCCTTGATCGCCTTGAGGTCCGTCTTCGTACGCCACCACCAGTCGTCCTACCAGAAACACCCTGGCAGTCTAGAACACCAAGTAATACGTACGAATTTGGGTCGCAATCAAGGCTAGTAAGGGAATCATTCGTACGATCTCCAACAAGTGCTCAAGAAGGCTTCTCAAAGCTTGTTAAAGGAGCTGAAGAGATGCTGCATGAAAATGTTCTTATCAAAGCCCGCGTACGAGAGCTTGAAGAGCAAGTAGCAGAGTTAACAAAGCGCAGAGGGCGCAAAAGGAAGCGAATTCAGACAGGCGGTACACTAGAGTTTGGTGCAGGCGCATTGCAGGTAGCTGAAAGTGCTTCTGCTGCTTGTACGAGGTCTAATAAGGGTAGTAGTAGAGGTAGTCAAAAAAGGACCCAGCCAGCTCAACGGCGCTGTGGCAACTGTGGAGAGACTGGACACAACGCTCGTACGTGTCAGAAAGATGCAGAAGAAGATTCTGAATCTAATGTAGCTACATCGTACGAAGGATCTGTAGAGGATGTAGAGTAATTTTATGTTTCGTACATGGTGTTCGCGATGCCAAGAAAAAGTGGCCGGCTCACTGGGGTGGCCGGCTCACTGGTGCTTTACGTTAACCAAGAAGATCTGGACCTTGAATATGTCCAGTTCAACGTGACCAAGGTCCTGGTCCTCCTCAACAAGCGATTCGCCCGTAAGAAGGGATGGTAGATTCGTCTCCTCCCTGCGCGCGACATTGCGTACACAACGTCACGAAAAAGATACGATACCCCCGATTATTACTACGTCTTTCCTGCTGTTTGACGCCCGACTACATCTACCTACCACTCCTTTCCGATTCCTTTCTCATTACTACCCAACACCAACGCGGAACAAAAATCCCGTCTCTACGAATCATCTAGTCATCAGCCCGGAGTATAGGCGTATATTGGGCGCATCTCCTATATTTTCGAGGATACCCCCACCCCCGGTGAAAGGACTGGTTTGGGCTGCTGCTGAGGATACGGTGGACATGTCTGATTCCGTTTTCGCAGTTGCTTCCTTTTGGTGGTTGTTCTGTGATCGTTTGTTTTTCTGGTTTCTAGCGCGCTGTTTATGGAGGTTATGCAGTCCTTTTGTTCATCTACTTTTTTTACTTTTCAAAGTCTCTCGCTACTAATACGAGTTCGTCGGCAGGCATCCGAGTTCCTACCTCGCTGTTTTGATTGGCAGTTTTCAGAGTTCTTGCGAGCGAGCGAACACACGAGCGATATCCACAGTTATTTTGTACGATACATAGGAACGCGTATGCGAGTATGCGATGGTGTTTCTGGAAGCAATCTGCGCGGTTGTGACTGACGCAGACTGCGCTGGTGTGTGGTTTATCTTGTCCCAATGGAATTGAGCGTTTGTAGCTCGTCATTTTGAAAGACCATTACCGTGATGAACAGCTCAGTGGTGCGTGGATATGCGTGCGTTGTTCCGATGTGCATGTCAGGTACGGACCGACAGGCGATAACTGCACCCTCGTCGCTACGTCACCTGTCTCGCCCAGTACCCGAATGACCTGATTCCCCCCCACATATTCGCAATCGCAATCATACCTCTAGCATGTGCAGTGATAGCTCGAACGATGAATCACTCACTCAATCCATCATAAATGGCACCGGATGCGTCGGCTTCACCACTCAATACCATCAAGATAAGGAGAGATAACAGGTATACAAGCCGCTACCAGCTTCCCCTACCTAATGCATGCATCATGCGGGATGCAACCACGCAACACACGCCTCATGCATACGCAAGACGCAAGCAAGACACCAAGGTGCCAGGTGCGGAGCGGGTGCCTGTCACACGTGCCCCACGCCGATACAGTGAGGCGTGAGCGGAATGTCCCCACTCGGCCAATCACAGCGCTACACCTTGCGTCCGCCCTTGTCGATCGGCCGCGAGTCCGGGGTGTGAGGAGTCAAGGTCAGGCAGACGCGAGGCTACAGCCTACGGGTTGCGCTGCCACCGCGGACTTGGACTGGGCGGGCTGTACCGCGGATGGGTGGCCGGGGGTATGACTGTTTGACTCCTCGTTGTTCTTCCTCTCTTCTACTTGTCTCTGGTCTTTTGGGTAATTGTATGATTGATTCATAACGGCTGTCTGCTGGTCTGGTCCTCTTGATCCTTATCTCATTACTACCCCTACATCTATCTACCCACCGATCGAGCCCGTCATGTCGTCGTCGTCCACCGCCATCGCGATACCGAAGCGTAAGGGCAAGGGCCCTGCGTCTTCTCACCACCACGACTCCTCCTCGTCTTCATCCTCGTTCGCGGCGTCCACACCCTCAACCCCGAATACCTACAACTACAACTTCACACCTTCCCCAAACCGCTTCTCCTACGGTAGCGCGGGTGGTAGCTATGGCTCCACACCTTCTTCTTCGTCGTCTGGTAGTCCACAGAGCGGCGCGAGCAGTATGCGGCGCCGGGAGAGCCTGATGAGCGAGACGTTTTCGCGGCAGGAACATACTGTTATCAATGTGGGAGAGGAGGAGGAGGGGCTTAGGCTGATCACTTGTGTCAAGGCTAGTCAGGGGTTTGATTGGAATCAAGGTATGTGTTTCCTCTTCTCTTCTCTTCTCGCTATAGAGGGTTTGGTTACGAGGCTGGATGGTATGGACCGAGGCTAACGACAGTGTGTGCTGTAGAGATGTTCCTCCCTTCCTATGTCGACTACCACTTCGACGATCTCGAGCGACGACAGGATCCCGTTCAGGATATCATTATCACGGATGAGGAGGTTAGGAATATGTTCCCGTCATAGAACATCGATGGGGCGGTGCGAAGTACCTGTGTAGAGATGCGCGGGTATGATGCAGGCGGCGGTCCTTGGATAATGGATGTGCATATGCTTTGGGATTTTTATGGATAATGCGGTATTGAGGTCATGTTTATATGGGTTGTGATAGGCGTTTAGCATGTAATCATGGGCGTTTTGGTTTGATGGCTGTATATCATGAGATTGGACTGGATGGATTATGGCGTTGCGGGATGCGTTTACTCGCTGCTCAACGGGGATCTAGGATTAGTCTGTAAGGATGTACTCCAAACCACACAATACACGTTTAACGATACATTATCCTACCTTCAACTGTGTCGACTGTGCTATTCGAGGACTCATCGCAGCGTCGAGGGACCGGCAGCCCCACACCTCGGCCCCGATAACGCGTGCTGATAAGGCTGCGAAGACGCGCGCGGTCCACGTTCCGCGTGCGCAAACAAGAACCATAACAAAGTCGACCACCACAACGACGACCCGCATTCCACGACACGAGATCCCTCCACCACTCAGAAGAGCCTCAACAACATCCCCCGCGCAAACCTTACATGTAATTAAAAGAGCGCACCCGACCCACAACCCCCACCACAGCGCACCCGCGCAACAGCAACCCCCCCAACCAAACTACACACAATGGACGCCTCCCACCGCAAAATCGAGCTCCAATCTCCCTCAGACCTCACCTTCCTCACATCCCAAATCCGCACCGCCGCGCGCCAAAAACTCGATCTGCACCTCCCGCCCGTGCCCTCGTCTGACACAAACGGCGATGCGCCAGACGAACTGCGGCGCTCGGTTGAAGATCTCGTTGAGATATTTGTTGCGAAAGTGCTGCAGGGGATAAGGCATAATGTTAGTATCAACGGGATCGATGTTGTGGAGAGTGGGAATGAGGGGGATATGATGGATGGGGTTGTGAATGGGAATGGAGGAGGAGGAGCGGAAGGAGAGTCCATGGTAGAGACTGTGGAATACGAACCCTTCGACGATAAACTGCGGAGTCAACTATCATCCACAGTAGCGAAACGCGACGCGCTCATCGCGAAGATAAGCCAGCAACGGCGTACGACACCTAAAGTTGCGGCGGAGACATGGATGAAGGGGTTTGAAGAGGAGGATAGGGTGTGGGCGGAAATTCAGGAGTCGTTGCAGAAAGATGCTGCTGCGAATGGAGATGGGGAAGTAGCGGACGTGGAGGCGCTGCAGAGGCAAGATGAGGTGGAGAGGAATTGGGAGAGGGCGGTCACCGGGTTGCAGAGGTTGAACAAGGGGTTACCGGAGACGAGGGCGAGGTTGGAGAGGGCGGGGGATGTGGTGGGGTATTTGGGGGGTGCGAAGAAGTGAGATTTGCTCTGGGGTGGGATATGTTATAGGCGTTGGGAGAAACATCTTGTATGGGCGTTTTGTCTGGAGTATACGGGAATCAGAAGGTGATTGGATACCCACGCTTATTGCTATAGCAGATATCGCTTCGGCGGAGTATTGGGTCGCTTGCTACGTATGTGGACACGGCATCGTTAGCACAAGCGTCAATTTGAACGGAATTCGTATTATGCAAGTATCTTATACATGCGCTTACTCGTCTTTACTCGAAAAGACTGAGACTGAGTAGACACCGATTTCATTTCTACATCGCCCAACAGCCCAAAGGAAAGCTCGCATCTCATACCTTACATGCCACCACGACACCCCCTAAAACCTCGAAACATCCCTCCCAAATATCCAATTAACCACCCAATAAACCGGCACTAAGACCTTATTCCGCCAACTCACCGTCCGCGTCAAATACGCTCCCCGCCAAATAATCCACGCTACATACCCTTGGAGCCTCCCACCCCATTTCCCGCCTCCTTGGAACAACGCATTCCAGTTACCGATGTAAGCTAGTGTTCCGAGGTCGCGGTATGTGAAGCCTGCAGAGGTGAAGAAACGAAGTTAGTGTAGGTCTTACAGGTACTTTGTATGGTTATAACTTACCTTTAGAGGAGGAGGGAGAAATGTCGCCTTTGTTGAGGCGTTTTGCCAACCAGAAAGCTTTTTGGGACGCGACTTGCGCGGTGGCGGGGTAGGTTGTTGATTCGATTATCCCGCAGTCGCCAAGGGCGAAGACGGAGGGGTGGATTGCTTCTTGCGTCGACTCCTCTGACTGTTCTGAGGTTGATGGGATGAGTTTGACGCGCAAGTGGTCGTCTGTTATGATGGACCCGGACTTAGGGTCTTTCTTTACTATCCATTTTACGTCTTTGCCTGGGGTACTGGATTGGATAGATGATGGGGAGGAGGAGGGGAGGTAGAGATCTGTGGGTGCTTCGCGGACGGAGGAGAGGGCGTGGTCGACGAAGGGGTTTTGCATTAGTCCTGTGCCTGTGGTGGGGTTAGTATTGTTGTCTCATACTTCTGGGTGAAGCGTGAGGATTTAAAAGAGAAGGGAAACGTACTCCATACACACATTCCCACCCCAATCTCGCCCTCTTCCTTCACCTTGAGCGTATACAAATGGTAATCATCCACATCATCCGAAAAGCTCCTTTCCGCAGGAGCCCCCGGCCTCAACTCTTCAACGTGATGACTCGTCTTGATATCAATCCCCTTACGCTTGAACTTTTGCATCGCATACCCCGCGAGTTTCTGATCAAACATCGGAAGTACCTTCTCCGCGACATCGTAAACAGTAATCTTGTGGTACTGAACAAGTTCCGGGTACAGTTTCTTCATATCCTCGTTGATCAGGTCGTGCAGTTCCGCGCTGAATTCGATACCGGTGGGTCCACCGCCCACAACGGCGAAGTTGAGTAGCTGCTTCTTCATCTCGATAGACGTAGTGGGTAGAGCGGCGCCTTCAAAGCATGCTAAGATGCGATTCCGGATCCTGCGCGCATCGCCTACATCTTTGAGGAAGAAGGCGTGTTCTTTCACACCCGGCGTACTGAATGTCTGACTATAACATCCCACCGTGACAATCAACTTGTCGTACTCCACGTCAAACAGCTTCCCTACTTTCGCTTCCTTCTTTTTCTCTGCCTCCCTCTCTTCCGCCGTTTCTCCAGCGTGGCGGTCCGTGGTTAGTGCGACACCTTGCTTCGGGTCGTCAACCGCCTCTTCAATCGTAATCGTCCTGTTCTTGAAATCTACGTCGTCGGCCCATCCTTGAAAGAAATCGACTTTGGTTCGCCGGCTCCGCACGGGTTCGAGCGCGGTGCGGAATTCCAAGGTGCCTACTGCGGTGGAGGCAAGGAGAGGGGTGAAAGCAAAGTAGGACCGCGGCGATACGACGAGGGTTTGAAATTTGGATGAGTCAAGACTGCGTGCGACTGTGAAGCCGGCCCAACCGGATCCCAGAATGACTACGCGCTCACGGTCTGTGATGGGGTTGTTAGTAGCTGAGGTTTTGTACCAGGGGAAGTAGGCTGAGCAAGGAGAATAACGTACTATCTCTCCTCTTATCCAATTGCTCGATGGTGATCATCCTCTTTTGTTCCAAGCTCTTCCCATAGTTCCCGCTTAGCAAAGCTCCTGTCCGACATAGCGATGCCGTGCGCGACCTCATCGTGGGTGCAGACACCAATTCCCTAATACCACCCGGCAACAGCGACATACGAGTCGGCGACAGCATTGTTCAGTCTTGACTACCAAAGTGGCACTCGCAATCCTTGAAAATTGAACCAAAAGAGTGTTTATCAAAACCAAAGTTTTATTTACCGACACCCACCCACTCGCCGGGTGCTTGCGGGTCGACCAACGGAAGTCGGCGTTGACGCCATGACGTATGGCTTTTGCAAGCTTGACGCGCCGAATGTTGCCGAACTAGCTCCTACATGTGATTGTAAGAGAGACTAGAGGTTTGATTGCGCGAACCATGAGCGACTTGGTCAATTGAACATAATGCGACAATGTGCTAGGAGGTGTGGTCAAGTTGAGTGCAGGGTTGATGGGTGTGGTCGGCACCAACGAAAAGGGCCGTGAAATCGCGTTAGTGCTGTGATGCGACCGACCAACATAGCTATTCCATACAAAAGTCTGGGTCAAAGGCACCTATATTCCTTGTTCAGTTCAGTGTCATATCCGCAGTACTCGTAGGAAGGAACTTGTGTTTGTTCTAGTGGTTAGTGCTATGTCGAATGTGGGCTAGGGCGTGACGCCTTGAGGAAAGCTACTTCCCGACCCCATTCGTGACGAGCAACACCATAACATTTCCGCAACAGATCTTCAGCTACAAGTATGATCTCATCTTGTCTGGATATCAGTCTATGCAAGCTAGTGCTGCGCAATAGTTCCAGCAGCGACAGAATTTCCGCGCACCTATCGACCCAGAAGAGTCTGCGCAGGTACGATCAACAACACAAGCTGGATCGCGACACAGCCGCTTTGAGCAGTCGACTAGCTTGCGGCTCAGTAAGAGTGTTTCAGGTGAGAACTTTTGCGCAGTTTCCAGCCTAGAAAGAGGTTTTGTAATACACACGATGGCGAAGCTGCATGTTACGGTCCCGGAGGTTGAGTGTTGTGGCGCATCTCGCTTCGATCTGTTCGACGACGAATAGATGCAGGGTAGCTGCAGGAGCCGACCTGCACGATTGGGAGCGGTACCTACTACCCCTCTCATCCTTCGTCTCACATAGACGCTGCCCTGCCTCGCCACTCGTTCTATTGCTGCCGCAAAACTATGATGACTTCCATTGTTGCTCGCGGATGAGGTACGCAGTTTACGCTCATTGCCACAATTCTTTACGCTTTTCACGACGCCGATTCATACGGGCCTTGCGCATATAGCGATTTCTCGCTGGACGAACTCGTCAAATGGCACAGCAGGGCTTCGAAGAAGACCTCTTACGAAGATGGTTCCCTCGCAACGCTGAAGACACTTTGACGCCCTTCACGGAGAACGACATTCGCGAGATCGCAGATGTGTTGACTCGCTGTGCACGGGAGCGCTGGAGCCGGGTTCCAAGGCTTTATAGCATTCTCAGGAAGATTGGCCAGCTAGACACGATTGACTTATTTATTGACAGCGACATTACAGATGTCTATTTCCCATTCACCAAGAGCACGCTACCGGAGGAGCTGCGCGAGCATTCTGCACGACTCAGATTCCTCGAGTTGCAACACCTCGTCTACAACCGGGAAGCACTAAATCTTGAGCGAGATGCGCCTCATGGACACTTCAGCGAATCTGAAGAGGTACCTCTCAAGAAGGTTGGAGAGCTGGGCAAAGGTGGATTCGGATACGTCGATCGCGTCGTCAGCACCATAAGTCATAAGGAGTATGCACGCAAGCTCATACTGAGAGGAAAGACCTTTAAGAAGGATAAACAAGTCTTGAAAGAGTTCACGAAAGAGCTATGTAATCTCAAGAAGCTATCCCACAAGCACCTCGTTGAGTTGGTCGGCAGTTATACGGACAAGAAATACGTAGCCATCGTCATGCTCCCGGTAGCCGATGCGAATCTGCAGACGTTTCTGGAGAAAACAGATTTTGACGAGAACTCCCGATCCTTCTTAAGACCTTTCTTCGGCTGTCTGTCTTCCGCGCTATGCTATCTACACGACAATCGTATCCGACACAAAGACATCAAGCCGTCAAACGTACTTATCAAGGGCGACCAGGTCTACTTCACTGACTTCGGGACAGCACTCGATTGGTCCAGCAGTGGCAGTAGCGTCACAGCGACCGCAGCGCCTACGACTCCCCGTTATTGCGCTCCTGAAGTCATGGCCTACACCGAACGTAGCTCATCGTCTGATATCTGGTCCTTTGGCTGCGTATTCTTGGAAATGTGGACCGTCCTGAAATCGCGCACGCTCGAAGACTTAGGAGCACACATGAATGCGCATGGTTCTGGCGCGAAGGCGTATCACTCCAACGTCGAAGCCGTCACCATGTGGATAGAAATTCTTCGACACTCCTCAGGACCACCAAGTGACCACATTCCCTCCAATTGGATTGTAAACATGCTACAAGATAAACCGGCAAACCGTTGGAATATCCACACTCTCGACGATCAAATCCAGGAAGCGAGCATAGACCCATCATCAGAGCATGCGTTCAAGGGTTTATGCTGCCTTGAGCCAGATGACGATACTACCGATGAAACAGGATCCTTCGATGAGTGTTTCGAAGCCGAGTCTCTTGCACAGCCGCTACATACTGTCGAACGAGGAGGTTCAGGGCAGCTCGTAGGGCCTGCACCATTGAATGAGCACCGGCCTGAGGAAACAGTGGAAATTGAAGCCACCAGTTCTGCCGATCTATCATCGCTATCCCAAGCCGATGCATCTGTTCCCCGAACATTGGTGAACGACTGCTCTGTTCCCCCTGAGACCTTCGTAAAAGATAGGAGTGATTCTTTAGCACGTGAGCTATATGACCCTTTGGTACCAACTAGATCTACGGACGACACAGAAGAAGCTGGTCCAAAAACCGACGGTATCGTGCATTCCGCCACGGACCACACTTTCAGTGGCTCGGACGATAAAACTCTTCAGGACGACGGGACGAAGCAGGCACAACCGCCACTGTCTTCGACTTATGTTGCTATGCCACCCTCCATCACAGCATTTCCCTCGATATTTACAAAATTGCAGCCAACTCTTTATTGTCCAGAGTCTGGGAAAATGTTCTATAACCCAGACACTACGCAGCGCTATTGTTTCGTTTTGTGTAATATCTGCAATTCCCAGATAACACATGTAAACGCAGGTGCGGTCAGACTTCCCTGTGATCATTGGATCCACAGGACATGCTATGCTAAGGGCAGAGTAGGCCTCGTGAGTGCCTGTCCAGCATGTATCTTGGCGAGCAGGAAACCGGCTGGCCAAGCGAATCGCCGCCGTTGGGGATCTTATGGTCGCGCCCAAGAACGCAACGAAGCTCAAGACGGCTCGAGAAATGCTGGAGCCAACAAGGCATCGCGCGACAATCCTAGAGGATTTTCACCTATTGTCCCGGCGGTGATAACCAGGCCTGACGACGTGGAACTTACATATGAACTGCCTAGGATACCTTATTCGCAACGCCATATGCTTCCGATGGACTCCCCTCTTTTAAAACGTACTGGACGGCCGATTTCGGGCTCAGATCCAGACTCGATGCTGCAAGAGCATGGTGCGCCTAGCGGAAGGAGACCCAAGAAGCGCGAGTCCAGAAGCGAGAGCACTGATGCCAAAGCGACATTTAAGGGTGGCCGTTCAATATTCACCCCACTGCAAACCTTATTTGCAGAGAAATTTTCAAAAAAGCAATTGCAAACGGAGGTGGAAGAACCCAGAGGGCGGCTCTCTTGATGAAGAAATATGCCACGTTGAGAGTGAATTATCGGATTGCAAATGCCCCGGCAAAAAATACAACATGTACGGATTTTTGTATGGCAGCAAACTATTGCGACACGTAATGCGGGCATTCTGTGAACTTGCGTCATTGACTGTCTAAAGATACCGTCTATATTTGCCCTGACCAAATGTCTCTAGAACCCCATCCGTCATAGAAAATTACAACAGGGTATCGCCAAGCGCGCAACGAACGATGGAAACACCAGCACGGACAGTGTCACCAGCACCCTCAGCATCAAGGCTAGGGTTAACCTCCACAAGATCCAGCGCAATAAGCTGCCCAGTCGCAGCAACGCACTCAGCGATGAAGTCACCCTCGCGCAGCGTCAAACCACCGCGAACGGGCGTGCCAGTGCTAGGTGCCCACATGGGATCCAGAGCATCGACGTCGAAGGAGAGGTGAATGGGCGTGTCGCTTCCGATCCAGCCCAGTGCCATGTCCATGACTTTGCCGATACCATGCCTATCGTCCTGTTAGCAACCCTCTCCGGGCTTCCAAAAACCGCCTAACATACCTGTCAATTTCATGCATACTAAACGCCTTGATGCCCCACCTCCTCAAGATATCCTTCTCCCCCTTATCGATATCCCTCAACCCGATATAAACCAACTTCTTCGGACTGATCAAGTGATCCTTCGTAAGCCACCCAAACACATCCTCCCTCTCCTTCTCCTCCGCAATCCCCGTCAGAAAGCTAACCGGCATACCATGAATATTGCCACTTTCGCTCGACTCAGGCGTGTTGATATCCGCATGCGCATCCACCCAAATCACCGCAATATCCTTACCCAGCCTCTCTCTTACCGCCTTCGCAGTCCCAGAAACAGTGCCGATGGCGATGGAGTGGTCGCCGCCGAGAGTCAGAACCAGTTTCCCTGCTTTGGCGTGGGCGTAGACTTGGTCGCTGACTTGCTTCGTCACAGCCGAGACGAATTTGGGGCGCTTCATTTTGCGGTGGGGTGGGTCGTCGGCGGGTTGTAGTTCGGAGTAGTTGTGGACTTGGCCGTCGTAGCTGACTTTGAATTCTAGGTCTTCTTCTAGTTGCTTGATGAGGCCGTTTTCGATGAGGGCCATGGGCGCGGCGTCGACGCCGGCTTTGGGCTAGGGGGGTGTTGTTGGTTATTTTGAGCTGGGGAAGAGAGGTGATGGTGGATGGGCTTACCTGGCCGCCGCTGAAGCCGACTGCGACGATGCCTAGGTCATGCTTGTTGGGCAGGAACTTGGGCTGTATTGTGGGTGCGGAAGTCATGTTGCTGGGAGTTGTGTTAGTCATGCGATTTGCTGTGTGTCGTGGGCAGAACTGTGGGAAAGATGGGATTGTTTGCGGGTTGGTCGTCGCAGAAGTGCGACTTCTAGATAACAAACCACCACGTCGCAACACGTCATCAAAAGCAATTGCTGTGATTCCTTACCTTTTGTTATGAGTGTCTTTACCAATAATAAAATGGCTTTCAATCTATCAAGCAGAAAAATGCTAATATCGCAATGCGTACAACAACACTCTTATTCCAACTCACGAAGAGGAAATGCAAAATAATTAAAAACTACAAACTCGAGCGAGGGGGGGCAGCCTTTTATCTGCGCCTGATCGCGCACAATCTCTTACCTAATTACGTGTTGCTGAATTTTCCCTCCATCGTGTGCACCTGTACTTAAGGGAAGCTCTGATGAGGCTCTCGTCAAATTTATCACTTAGGGGAAGTAGTCTTTATCTTAGGACCGGTAACGCGTTAGGTACCGTAAGAAAGCCCCCACTACCGCCCCGGTTGCCGCCAGCACGCTTTAGGGAGGTGGCACGGCATGGGTGGTGTCAACGTGGCTTTTGCGCATGCTGTGGAACGGAGGAGATGTGTGTGCATTTGGTGAGTAGGGCTGTGTAGAGGGCTCTTCTTGCTGGTAGGAGCGCTTGGGGGTGTTTGGCAAGCCGCTGGGAAAGCGATTGGTTGGGTGGTGTGTGGTCTAATCCTGGTGTGGAATGGGCGGTTGCGATCGGCTTTGCCGGTTCAGCCGCATGCGGAGGCTTGCACGCGAAGCCAGCTGACCTTTCTTGCACCGTTCATCGCAGTCACATGCGCCAACGCGGTCAATGTCCGGTCCCGCGATACGTTTTGTGGCTTCCAAGTCCGCAAAGAACTGCACAGGAGTCATTCAATTGCTGTGTCATGTCAAGCCTGGGGTTAGTGCGCACCGCGAAGGCATCGCAGCGGTCTCTGATGACCGCATTGAGATATGCGTTGCCGCTCAACCGAAAGAAGGACAGGCGAACAGGGCGGTGAGGGAAGTCATTGCTGATGCGCTTCGAGTTGCCAAGTCTGATGTTCAAGTTATCAAAGGCATGAAGAGTAGGGAAAAGACTGTAGCTGTTTGGACAAGCACAAAAGGCACAGCTGAAGAGGAAGTCAATCGCATCAGAGCAGTATTGGAAGGCAAAGAATAAAAGTCGAAGAATCGTGTCAAGGCATTACTATTATATTACTTTTGTGCCCGGGTCATTAAGGAGCGTCATATGTACAGCATGGGTATCTCCATCTACCACTTCATGTTCATTATCCAACAGACATTAAAGATCCCACTATCACCATTTCCAGGTGCTAGAGAGAGATCTAGTATTGCCAGGCACCAGCATCGTCGGTGGCAACTAGAAAATCGTTAGCAAAAATCCAACATGTCAGAAGAAGCAGAGAACTTACCAGCAAGAGCGGTGAAGCCAAGGCAGTCATCGCCGAATTCACCATCCTCAACGGCGCCGAAGACCTGGTATCCTTCACCCTCGCCAGCCGGGCAGGCAACAAAGCCAGTCTCGTAGTCGAGGTATCCGTAGACGTTGCCGTTGGCAGGCGCAGTGCGGCTGAAGCCAGTGACGTCGGAGCCCTCGGGCTTGGAGACGGAGTGGGCAACAGTGTACTGCAGAGCACCGCCGGGCGCAACGTAGACCTCCTGGCCACCGGGGACGACAACGCCCAGAGCAAGAGTTCCCTGACCGCCAGCCAGAACGGTGGTGTTACCGGCAGGGCAGGCTTCGGCGGGGATGTTGGGAGGGCAGTAGGACGAGGGGGGACCGCCGCCGAGGTAGAACTTTCCGCCGCGTGCGGTGAGGGACTGGAGGTGGATGGGCGAGGCGCTGCGGGAGGAGATGACACCGAAGTAGCCGGTGGGGAGGGCCTCGCCTGAGGCGGTCGACGAGGGCGCGCTGCCGGTGGCGGTGGCGGTGGCAGAGGGCTTGGGGCAGTCGGAGGAGATGGCAGTAGCCATTGCGCTGGCGACGAGCGTGGTGATGGCGACGGTGTACTTCATCTTGGCGAGTTGTGTGTGGTGTGGAAGAACTTCAAAAGCGAGTGTTGTAAAGGGAGTTATAAACTGGGTACTGTGTGAATTGCTTTTGAAAGTTTGCTGAGGATGATGACCCTTTGTGCAGCGCCGTTCGCGGAACTCTTTATAGCCCACGGACGATGGTCAGGGTGTGAGGGGTTTGTTCTGTTCTACCGTCTTCCAACCTGGCGACTAAACAAAGTAACATTGACCCTCCACCTATTTCCCCACCGTCATTCCTCGTATCCATGCAGATGCAGCGCTGCACTGTCCCTGCAGGCTTGAACCATGCCCGTAGCAGTAATGTCCCGGCCGTTTAAGCTCACCCTAAGCATGCTTCAGGCACTGATCGGCCAGTCAATATCGCTGGAAACATGACGAAAACGGGTGAGCTAGCCTGCGCGTTGCATCCACGCATTGAAGCTTCCGACACAGGGACGTCATATCTCGTCCCTGACGTACCGTACCGTATACGCATGTTGTCGACGTGGTTGATCACCTCGTGTTTCAATGTCACCAGACTGAGGTTGGGCAGTCGGCTGGTTGTGTGACCTAATACAGCGGTCGCATCGGACGAGAGTTTTACCACCTCTCCAGGCGATAACGGCGGTATGCAAAAGTGCCGGTGGATGCGGTGGCATTGAATATTTCCGCATCCCGCATCTCGGTATCGCTAGCCGTCGCTATTTGGATTTGAACATCAACCTTCCAAAACACCTCGATAGCTCCTCTCCACCTCGCATTCCCATTACACAACCTTTTCCACATCGGAGGTTGTCCGTGTGGTCATCACGCCATCCTCCGTGTCCCTCGTACGACATCAACGAACAGGTACCGTGGTAACATGTCTCGCGGCACAGTCAGAAAAAACGAGGCTGGCAGAAGGACACGATCCCCGCTGGTGCCACACCCGCTACCTTAGTGCTCCTACCCACCCATCGCCACTTCTGGAAATAGAAACCCACCAAACCTCGTATTTGCAGCCAACGCTACCTTTCAAAGTAGCAGGCAGGTAGCAAATACGAACCGGTTATATGGAGATCGTGAAGGAACAGCGCGGAAGGTGGTAAGCGGGCGGAAGGCGTCGGCACCTTGTCGTTGCGATAAGAGAAGACATGATCATGAATTCTTCCTGCTTACGCCGGAGAAATGTCCGTCAAAGGTTCTATTCTTAACGACAAAGTGCGGTACTGGACATGTCTGTCTCCTCCGACTGCAGACAGCGGACAGCGTAGTCCAGCTTATGGCAAGCACGCGAGTACCGTTCTGTCAAGTCCATGTTCGCGCATGAAAGACCGGGCCGTCCCCTGTCGCATACTATGGAGATACTGCTGCATTCGGCCGATTGGAAAAACAAACCACGGTACGCAAATACCTAGGTATGTACCGAAAGCGATAGACCGCATACATGCACGCGTTTGTAAATTCGATAATCGCGATTGCTCTAAACTTGTTCAGTATGAGGATTCATGCATGAACTATTTAATTCCGCTTTTGGAGAGGTAGAGCGGTGTGAACGGTCGTAGATGCGGAGAATTGAGAAAGATCGTGAGTATGCTGGATGTTTCTCTGCGAAAGACCGACGTTTGGCGTTGTCAGAACATTCGAGAGCTTTCACGTTCATCCTGCCCACCAGAACAGAGCTTCAACGACGGGCGCAAGTGCATCCAACGATGCCAATGAACCAACGGCGACGGGGATACTTCGCCTTAGGTATCTAAACGATGTGTTCCTTACACCCATTCAAAACGCTATTGCGATCGTCCTGCCCGCCAAGGAACACCTCGATAGCCAGCAAGACAAACCCATATACCGTCTATCCTTATGTAAAGACGACCATATCGAACGCAACCCGACAAGCGACCTCGTCCTCGACTATGGAAGCTAGTGTTTAAGCAAGTATGTGTGTCCTCTGGTAGTCCAAATCCGGTATAGCCCTGTACTATTAGGAGCAACCTTGGAAAGGTCGTAGGACTATCGTGGGGATAGAACTAGACAGGCATTCGAAAGAAGACACCGGGTACATGACCAAAGCTACTGCAATGGGATTTCCAGAGCGAGGATACGAAGTTTGCGAAGATGATGAAGATAACTGGTATGCGCGCAATCGGAAATGTCTTCCTCACACCCATGCAATGAAGTTGTTGCAACCGTTCTACCCATCCAGATACAACTTCAATGGCGCGAGAGACGGTCGGACAAGAATGTGCTGAACGCGCAAGCTCCTTTTCGCGGTGTACGTGTACGTTTACGAAGCAATGCAGCTTATGTAGTAAGAAGTCCAGATATCCAGGGACACTAGTCGCGCCGGACTGTAAAGATCAGAGGAAGTGTACATTGTCCCTGTATCGACAGCGCACTCTAACCTAGCGTTCTGCCCATCGAAGCACAGAACTAACAAGAAGTGCTAGAGCTTACACGGCAGTCTGAGGTTCAGACAATGGCCCTACTTCGCCTTGGGTATCCAAACAATTTCCTCACGCTGATCCCAAAAGCTATTACAATCGTTACAGCAAAGACACGATCGAGCTTACGCACCACGCTCCCCCAAATCCGTCTACCATCGTACATCCCCCATCCTCATCTTACATCCACAAACACAGCTTCCCACTTGCAGTACCAGCGGCCACCCAATCAACTGTCGGATGAAACTTCGCAACCGCCGGCACAGCCGTAATCCCCTCGCCCCCCAGCTGCGCCAACTGCTGGCCCTTTGCCGTGTAGATATCGACGAAACGATTCATATTGCCGATGCAGAAGCGCTGTACGTTGTCTTGGGGGAATTGCTGCCATTGTGCTCGGAGACTGTTGGGGTTGTTAGCGTAACATCCGTATAGTTAGAAGTAAGGAGGTAAGGGGGAAGGGGGAAGAACTCACATAGTGACCCAGCGGCCTGTCTGGTTGTTATGCGGCACCACAGCACTCGGTTCCATGGCCTCTTCTTCCAACGTCGTACCAACTTTCCACTCCGCACAGTTTCCAAAGTCATGTATCTTGATCGTATCATCGTACGACGCAGTTGCTACCTGCCCTGCACTATTCCACGCAGCATGCGACACGGACAGTTTACTCGTGTGTTCTCCAACTAGCGCGGGGGCCCTACTTTCTCCTTTACCGGTAATTTTGCGTAGGTCCCAAATCTTCAACGTGCGGTCAAGGGAGGCAGTGGCAACGAGATGCGGATGTAGCGGGTGTAAAGTAAACCCTCCGATTTTCTTATCGCTCAGCTGGAAGATTTGCAGTCCCGCTGCTTTCTCGCTCGGAGTGCGCATATCGTAGATGCCAAATTGGCCGTCGAGGGTAGAGAAATACAAGGTATTAGGGTCATCTTTTGAGATTTCCAGACCGGAAAGGGGTGCTTCTTCGTCCTTGTCGCTCGGGGCGTAGACTTCGACTGCAACACCCTTTGCCAAATCGAGTTTACGCACGGAGGAGTCGTAGGAGGCTGTGTAGAGCGCGTTTGCGTCGTGAGGGCTGAATTGGAAGGTGTGGATTGTGCGGGTGTGCGGTTTGAGGGTTGTGATGGTGGGCCCTTCCCTGTCTGCGTCTTCGTCGTCTTCGATTTTTACTTCTGCTACTTTTTGTGATGCGTCGCAGATACCTAGGTTGCCGAGCTTGTCGCCGGCAAATACTAATGGTTTGTCGGTTGTGGGATGTAGACCCATGGAGTATATGCGCTCTGGCGTGATCTTGATTTCATTCGGCTCAAAGTCTTCCCATAGTGCCAGGCCGCTCATGCGCTCTCGGAGTGCTCTCAACTCCTTGTCGGTAGTCTCCTTCACGTCATTGTAATCGAATGTGCGCGCGTACGGATCCGCTGGGCCAACAGAGAGGAAGTTCCCACTCCTGTTCCAGTCTTTGCCTGCTACGACTATGTCACTGAAATTGAAGGCATCACTAACGCGTTGTCGCTTCGCGCGATCAGCCTCACGTATCGCGACGTATTCGTCCTCTGCTTTGCGCTTTGCAACCTCACTGTCTGCCACAATGCCCTTTAAGCGTGATGATGTTCTACGTGGCGCTACTTCTTCTTGCTTAATCTTCTTGGGCGCGGGCTTTTTCGCTTTTGGTCGCGATGGCACGGATGCCTTTGCCTTGCCTGTGGGTCCTAGACCGGCTTCTGCAGCCTCCATCTCAAGGTTGCGCAAGAGCGCCTGCGTCTTTGCAATGTTCTCCTGCCGTTTCCGCTCATACTCGCTGACCTCGACATTTTTGCCGCGCGCCATGTTCAGAATGCAGATCCAATTCTTCCTTGTATACCGAGGCAGTCTCGATTCTACGCGGGGTGTCGGCGGGGACGTGTAGGCTGCGATGCGCGTGCGGGCGTGGTGTGGTCAAGATCGCGTTTCGATTCGTTTAGATGTCGCCTCTGAGATTTGCGGGGTATCCGATGGGTTCCTGAAGATCGGATGGCAATTGTCTGCTGGATGCCAGGGGAATTGTGGACTACATGCGTGCAGGCAGATGCTGGATCTCAGAAGTATTGCCACTAGCGCAGACGCGTCGGACGCGTCGGTCACGTGGCGATGTGTTAGACAAGATCTCAAGATACAGGCGTATGAGGATCTCCAGCCTCGTGTAAAATTTGGAATGGTGTCTAATCGCCACGTGGTAAATCAGTTTCGCCTTCAGCCTCCAAGATCGATATGCAGACGACGTTGAGATCGATTCTCAGATTCAACGTCGAAATTGATCGACAGCTCTACGACGTCACAGGGTTAGCGTCAGATCTGATCGATTGCGGTCTTGGCAGATTTGCGGAGAAGGCAGCAAATGTCCGCATCGGCTGATCTCTACATCTTCAATTGCATCCACCATGCCACCATCACGACTAGCCAGCTCGCTACTCGGGAGTGTCCGAGCAGCCTCAACTCGCGCAGCACCCGCTTCGAGACAACGATGCCTATACCATTCGTATGATTACGCCCAACCGCCGCCATTCCCTCCCGCCGAGTCTGCCATTCTCTCCTCCGCATACGCACACGTACCCAGCCATGGGTTTACTATGGACGCACTGAAGCTTGGTGCTCGCGACGCCGGGTACCTTGATGTTTCTACGAATCTGCTTCCGCGAGGCGTCTTTGATCTGATCAATTACCATCTTGTCACGCAGCGCTTGGCAATACAGAACAATGTACAATTCCCAGACCAGGGAGAGCAAGGGAAGAAAGTGGGCGTTGGCGCAAAAGTGAGGACCTTGACGTTGGCGCGGTTGCGGGCGAACGAACCCGTCGTACATCGGTGGCAGGAGGTAGGACAGTGCATACACAACAGCAAAGGTCAGCGTGCTGATGGTTGATAGGCACTCGCCATCATGGCCCAGCCCACGTACGTCCCGGCATCTATCGCCGAACTTGCGAGACTCGCAGACGAGATATGGTTCCTATCAGGGGACCAAAGTGTAGACAGCAGCTGGTACACCAAGCGAGCGACACTCTCCGCCATCTACTCTTCGACCGAGTTATACATGACACAGGACAAGTCGGCCAACTTTGTAGAGACGGAGCAGTTTCTAGATAACAGACTACAAGACTTGATGAAAGTTGGCGGCTTCATGGGCGGACTGGGCGAGTGGCTCAACTACACGGGACATTCAGCCGTCAACGTGCTGAGGAGTAAGGGTGCGCGCATCTGAGTTTGTTTATGCATCGGTGGGCGTTGACTTGTTTCATGGCATGTTAAGCCGAGGCCATGATGTACTCTGTGTCTCTACTTTTTTCCCGTTACACTAGCGAAGAGGTCACGGCACATGCGATCTCGATGAGATGTTGAGTGTGACCATTCCCTGTACGAAACCCCCTCGGGTTTTCGACAGTTCCAAACACCATCGCACGATGATTATGAGCCTAATTCCAGCATCGCCGATGGCGACGTGCATCCTAACGAGTTACGAAACAAGATTGGTTGCGATTCGGTGATTTGGCCGGGGCGTCCCCCCGGCGCGCTCTGCCCTGCAGTGTTGTAACGAGTAATCTGCGATCCGAGCTCAATCGGTGATCTGAGGTTGAAAGTGGCATCACCCCACCGTGAGAGTGAAAAATGTTGGAGCAAGCAGTCATGGTCAGCCGTCGTCCCAGGTCGAAGCCCCTGAGGATCCAGGCGTGATAAGACCCTTTGGGTATGCGTGTCAGAGGAGATCAGTTGCATGCCTGCCGTGAGATGCATTAACGAGTGTTCCAGCTGGACCCTTTATTGCGATGGCCCTCTCGATGGCGATGCTGGCAGCGATGAGGGCGGCACATTGGGGCTCGGGCGCCGGCCAATTAGGGTGGCAGGGTGGGTAGGCCGAACAACCAAGGACAGATCAGGGTCCAGGAAATCGATTGCGCTTCTCAGGCGGTTGCAAGAGTGACCTCATCCAGCGAGGGGACACGAGGGCGTGCGCGTCAGGAGAGACCGGGCTAGTATTTGCAATCTCGATGGATGCTGTGGTCGTGTTTGAGTGAGTGATGAGTGTCTGGTGTGGCTGGTGAAGCTCTAGCGGCAGCGCGTCAACGGTTCGTGCCGCCACGGTTCTGTTGTGATGGGAAGCCATTGTGTGAAATGGGGCCTGGACCATCCATCCTGCCGTGCAGCAACTGTCAGACGCGGATCTAGACGGTGGTGGCAAGCTCATGTGCGGGCGATTGCACGTTGTTCACGCAGCTGGCAGTGCGGCAGTGCGGCAGTGCGGTAGTGCTGGCTAGAAGACTTTGTGTTCTCCGGAGAAGCAGCATGGAGTCGATGGCCATCAGAGATATGGAGAGGCATCGAGCGCGCAGGGCCAACGGGCGGGACACAAGGGCGATGGGAGCCTGTCTGGGCGATGGTGGGTTGGAGAGCAAGGCCCATCGTCGATTGCCGGTAGTCGCTCGCTAGCCCGGAACGCCACAGCTGCCTCTTCGCGGCCAGGTACCCTCGATCTCCAGCTGCAGTCTTGGCAAGTTGGAAATCGAGAGCATCGACATGCTTACCCACATCAAGATCGATGCCCATCATGGCTCATCTTCTCAAACCAGCGCCGAGAGAGCCCACAACTCTCTTCAGCCAGCTTTGCACGTTTCAACTGCACGCCCACCGCCCCGACAACGCCGCTACCAGCATCTCTGCCATTCGAACCACCGCCGCGGAAGCGTCTGATCTTTTCGAGCCTGGCACACAACATAGCCGCTGCCCGTACTCGACAGCCTCTCCCAGTCTACAATATACGCACACGGCCTGGACATTCACCATCATATCCACATGGGGAGCATCCTGCCTGTCTAGCCTGCCAACTCTCCACCCGCCCTCATGAACGACCGCCCGGGAACCATTCCCATGGCTGCGCGCTCCCACCCACGCCGCCCGCCAGCCCACCAATCCGTCTCTCTCCGCCATAGCCCACCGCCCCAGCCCCAGCCTTCAAGACGCGAGGCCAAGAAGGCGCCGACTGCAGAGACGTCGCCCACCCTTGCCAGCGACAAGGCCAACCCGCCCTCGAGCGTGTCCCCTCAGCTTCTCTCCCACAAGACCAGCTCCGGCGAGAGCAGCGACGCCGGACAATGGTTTGAAAAGACCAACAACACGGCCAGCCAGGGAAAGTCGTCCTTCGTCGACAGTGAGTGTCGCCCAGGACATGGTAGAGGAGAGAGTAGGACTGACCACCGCTCTAGATGAACCGCCCTTCTTTCTCCGCAACTCGTCTTCGTCCGAGACACCGCCCGATAACTCGCACTCCACTCAGGCACGTGCCACCATGCCATATCGCCCCCTCGGCCACATTGGCACAGATGGCAGCAGCACCGAAGACTTCCGAAGCGTCATTGACGACTTGACCGTCGCCAACAAGAAGCTCAAGCAGCGGCTGAGGAAGTACGAGAAGCTCTACGATGCCCATCTGCAAGAAGAGAAGTTGTTCGAAGTGAGGTTCCATGGCTTGCCAGACCACAAGAAGAAGGAACTCGAGGAGACTCTGCGCAAGTTTGCATCAGAACTCGACGAAGGCACCGCCAACGACTACGCCGATATCTCAGCCTACACCCCGGCACTCCAAACCCACAATACCGCTTCCTCCACATCGCGCTTCGCCGAGTCGGGCTACGCTTCCCTATCTGCATCCGGCCCCAATTCGTCGGGACAATCCAATCAAGACAACGACAGCCGCAAGATGACCAAATCCGCCTACAGCCGGCAACAGCAAAACATCCAGTCGTACCTCCACGATATCCCCATGGGCCTACTACCGAACAACAAGACCGCCCCCATGACCGACAAGTCCAGGAAGAAGATGGTCGTGCGCCGTTTGGAGCAGATCTTTGCTGGCAAGCGCTCTGTGCCCGGGTCCCACCCACACCCAATGCAGCAACAGGAGGTATCCCAGTCAGCAGCTACAGCTGATCGTGTCCAACGAGAAGCGACAGGCCAAAACCAGAAGCCCGAGGGTCAGCGTGAAGCTCGCATCAGGAACGACCGCGGTGCCAATGCTGGTCAAGAGAGCCATAGAGACCAGGACGAAGCTCTACAGGGCTTCCGCCCTAGCCTGCATATCGAGGAACAGGACTTCGCGGGCTCAGGCCTGTCTCCCGACCAACGGCCCACACGACCGCTAGACCTGGACCCTTACCGTGCACAGGTGCCTACAGAGAACATGGACTACATCCGCCATCTTGGCTTCACCCCACCAGACATGGACTCTGGAGAAGCACCCCTCGGTCACGGCTGGATATACCTCAACCTGCTTATCAACATGGCCCAACTACACACTCTCAACGTCACGCCTGAGTTCGTCAAGGACGCCTTGCATGAGTACAGCAATCATCTCGAAATATCTCGCGATGGTCGCAAAATCCGATGGAAGGGCGGCCTCAACATCACCAAGCACAGCGGCGACAGCTCGTCGGAGCATTGGAGTGGCGCCTCACCGAATGAGTCCGGCTCCCAGTCGCCTTTCAAGGGTATGAAGACTGGCAACAGCGGTGTCGGCAGCGACATGGTCGATGAATTCACGATCGCCAGAAGGCAAGCTCGTGCCCAGCGTGAGAAGGAGCAGAACAAGTTTGCGTACAAGCCCATGTTCTTCCGCAAGGATGAGTCGGAGAACGAAGATGAGTTTTACGCCTTCGATGCCGACTCTTCAGCAAACTACTCTTACCAACCACAGCCCACGGGAAACTCCTCGAGTTTCAGCAGTTCCATCATGCAGAGCTCCTCATCAAAGCCTCGCAGGCGCGATGACGGACCCATGATCTTCTACACCAAGGCCAAGTTTTGCACTGATCTGAGCGGCGATCGTAACGGCGCCTTCCTTACCATGCCCGGCAATTATCAGCCAATCACGAACCAGCCTCTCGGTGTCAAACAGGGCACATCATCCCCGACCAAGAGGACGTCGCTGGACCTGGCCGAGCCTCGGGGTTCTTTGGACACCACGCCGATGGATGTCGACAGCGGATCACGCACTGTCTCGAGTGGAGATGACCTTGGCTTCTCGCCAGAGGCCTTGAGGAATGATAGCGGCAATACCAGCCCAGAACTAATGGACTTTGAGGCTTCGGGTTTGGGTGGTGTGCAGCCAGAGGACAACTTCTCCATCCACGTACGACGATCACAAGTGCCCACCGCGCCGTCCCATGTCGCCGCTCGCCGCTGGTCAACCTTGTATCCCAAGGCCATCCAGGATGCACTCAACTGCAGGCAGTCATCTCCTGAAGTTGAGTCTCCTAGATCAAGTCCTCAGCGTGTAATTGAGGAGAGGATTCTTTCTGCGTCACGGAAAAACCTTCCCAGCTCAACTCTCCCCCCTGCCTCTTTCCTTCCACTGGATTCTTGCTCTTCTGGCGATGTCGACTCGGACCTTGCCTCCGACGCCTCATCCGAGCCCGACAGCGACAGCGACAGCGACAGCGACTCCGGCGGTCCCACGACCGCTATGCAAATCCTTAACATTGCGCCCATCGCCTCCGATGTCTCTGAAGGATCCGAGTCTGACTATGAAGACAGCGACGACGGCAGCGTTGACATGCTCGCTACAGCCCGCCAACAGGACCCTAGTGCCGTCCGTGCTAGCGAGCGCGAATACGACGCTGCTCTTGCCGATCGTCTTGCCGAAGAGATTCCTGCTGGAAGTTCGGCTGCAACCGCCGGAGGCGGAAGTGGGTTTAACAGCCCTGCCGGTGGTATTCGCATTCGCGAGGCCGCCAAGTTGGCCAAGCGTGCCAGCCAGGCCAGCAGTGGAAGCAGTAGGGCTGGACCACCACCGGCGAATCTTAAACGCGCCCGCACTAGCGATTCATTCAATCACCCCCCGAAGAAGAGTCCAAAGATGCGGAACCTGGGGGAGTGATTGATGGTCATTTCTGTTCCAGTAAATTTATATTGAGCGTTCACGTTACGATCCATGAGGCGTTTGGATCGCTCTTTCTTTCCTTTACGGATGGATGGGCGGCGAGGGTTTTTTTCACATGGATGTTTGAGCCATTTTGATACCCCCCTTTTACGATCATCGTTGATTGTTTTTGAAGTAGAAAGTACATGGGAATTGGTAGTACATATCAATCTATGAAAGTATCAACATAAGCTTTGTTTGATAAAACATGTGATGTGCCACCTCAATGCTCAAAGACTGAAGCGCGATACATCCGAGAACATATTCGCATCGAGTACTACCAGAGTCTAGGTGTAACAATTTATTCAAGAGAAAAGTCACAACGAAATTCCTAAGTTTGCTCAAAAACCACTTATTCATAATCTCATCATCACATAAACCCATCTAATCTACCCACTCCTTTAGAATTCTAAACCTCAATAAACCTCGCCATCCACGTCTCGGTGATCTTCTTCGCCTCATCCACAAGCCCCATATCCAACAACAATTGAACAGTCCCCCTCGTCGCACTCTCCAACGCACTAAAAATCCACGTATGAGTAAACGTCGCCGCCTCCCCAATAAACACGGTATTGAATTCCGTCTGGTAGAACGCCGGAAGATACAAGTGCTGCTGTCCGAAAATCTGCATCGTGAAGGCACCGGCTTGGTGCTCGTCTTGCTCCCAGCATTGACGCTCGTAGTTGCCAGTCCAGTTCTCCTCTACCACTTCCTTGCCATGCATCTCGATAAACGCGCGTTTGATATACGCCATGTGTTCAGCTTCGGGCATCGCACATGCGACTGTGGCTTCGTAGTCGGAGAGGTAGGAGGCTAGCATTGTTCCTGGGCCGGTAGCATTTACTTGCCAGCTAGGGTAGCAGATTTGACCCAAGTTGGGTTGGTAGAGGCGTGTACATCCGCCGATAATGGGCTTCTCGAGGTGTTCCCAGAAACGCGTTTTGAATTGCACGGCTACTTTACACGCGTTGGCGAAGAGGGTGCGGTCGATTGCGCGTTTGAGGAGGCTGGAGTACCGCGGGAGGTGCCAGAATTTCATGAGGTTGAGGGGCACGCTGTTGAGTACGTAGTCGAAGTTTTCGATGTTGTCTGGGGTTGAGTATGGCTCGGAGCCGGTGGGCTTCCAGGATACAGACATCGTCTTGTTGTTCTCGTTCCAGTAGAGCCCGTTGATTTTGGCGCCGTATTGGACGCGGTCTTTGACGAGGGGCTCGAAGGCGGCGGGCATTCTGGAAAGTCCGCCTTTGATTGTTACCCATTTGGACGCAAGGAAGTAGACGGTTTCGTACTCCCACATGGGCCAATAGATGTGTGATTGGCCAACCTCGTCAGTGGTGTTGAGATCAAACTTGAGCTTGTTGCGGAGGTACGCAACTTCGGAGTAATCGAACATGCCGTCGTCCTTGGCTTGCTTGTAAGCTTTGAAGATGTTGGTGGCGTACATCTTGATGCGCTCAGTGTCCAGACCCTTGAACTCATCGAGAGCGGCGTTGGCCTCCTCAACAGCAGTGGCATTGCCGTATGCGATAGTGTTCTTGTACGCAGGGTCGGTCGCTATTTCGGTTTTGCTAGGAATTGTTCCATCAGGACGACGGAAGGGACTGTCGGCTGGGGTGTTGGGAGATGACTGAATCCATTCGATGAACTTGACATGAAGCTCCTCCTTGTCGGCGTTGAGCTCGTTAAGAACGTCAGCCAGTTGGAAGATCATGCGCTGGTCGTTGAAGGGGAAGGTCTCGTTGGTCTCAGAGTCTGTGATCTCATACGGGAAACGCATGGGCCCAAGCTCGTGGTATTGACCTTCATCGGGAGAAGTGCCGTTGAGGTAGGCTGTGCGAATGCGACCACCAATACGCTGAGATGACTCGATGATCTTCCAGTTGTGAATGCCAACAGAATCCAGCATCAACTATGGGACATTTCGTTAGCACGGAGTTGATCTCATAACTGATGGGATTACGTACTGAGGTAGCAAGTCCAGAGATACCTCCACCTAGAATACCGAAAGACTTATTCTTGGCTGAGGCGACAAAGACTTCGTCTGGCTGCTTTTGCTGCAAATAAGCAACGCCGTCAAACCAGTTGCTGTCAGTTCCCGCGACATCAACAAACGACTTCCTTTCCTGGCGGCGAGCATAGCGTTTGGTGACAACAAGCTCGTCGGACTTTCCGATGAGCTCTCCATCGAGAAAGGCATGAAGACAGCCCCCAGACATCTCAGCTGGAGTCAACCAGACGAATTTGTTTGGCCGCCTGTTCTCATGTTCCTCGTGGCGTCTCGCCAAAGGATGAGCGCCGACATGTGTCTGGCCTATACGTTGCTTTGCGGAAACGATGGAAGCGGCAGCATCGTCACATGCCGCGTACGTGATTGTAAGCTCACCATCGACATCTCCGTAATAGTCGACAACGATGTTTTGCGCACTTGCGGGAGCAGTGCTTTTTAGAGGAGCAAAGACGATTGATGGCTGGCTCAAAGGCTTGGATTCCGAGAGCGAGGCAATACTTGCCAGAAACGGCAGCAACTTGGTGAAGGACGGCATGCCGAAGGCTGATGTAGGAAGAATTCGGCAGTCAACGACCTCATGATATCGCTCTTCTATATGTCCGTTCCTGAATCTTCGGAGGAATTCCTTGGCAATACCAAGCATCGCTGGTATCTACCTTGATGTCCATGATACCCACTGTTGAGTATTCATCAGTCATTGCGCGATCTTATCGTACCCAGCCGCAGGCTTTTCTTCAGGTGTAAGCTCACCGAGGAGCCGCCGGCCCTCCTCCGGAATCATGGTTGCTGTATAATATCAATATCCTTCCACGAAAGCCTCGATCAATAATTTCTGCACATTTCCATCGGCCTCGAAAGACCTTGATCTTCCAATGTGCAAAGGTGTTGTGTCCATGGCTAGCAGCTTATCGTCGGCATTCACCCACGTAACCCCAGGGTCTGGATACTGGGCTTCGGCGCATCTAAACCCGATCAATGATTGGAGCGGGCAATACTCTGCATCCTTGGCTGATGGAAGTAGATAAGTGTAGGCGATCAAATGGTTCCGTCGACTGGGCGCTATCATGCCAAGAGCAGAGAAGGGAAGATGCCAAGTACGCCTGGGTACGATTAGGTAGCTTTTCCGCTCCGAACAGCGGGCTGGTCCACCCGACTACATTACACGGCTTTTATGCTGTTATACTTTGCTGTCATCGTTGACAAGGCGCCGGGCATGTATGGTACAGCATTTCTACTTCTACCATTGGTGTACAGCTCAACTAGAAGTCTCTGCTATCCGTTTTTCAAGATGTCGCACAGAGCAATACATTCTGCTGCGATTATCGCCGTCCCAAACACTCTTTGGGATCCTTCAACCACTAAGTTCGATTACTCCGCTCTCTGGAAACTGCCTCTCCTCCGACTCGGCCCCTCAAGAACACCCATCTTCTCATCATTGATGCTCCGCCGTTCACCTCTTTCCGCCTCTTCACTCTCCTGGAGGACCTGTTCGTTCGGGTCCGGTTCTACAACCTGCCCATGGTTACCGCCCACAGATTCCATGGTAAACGGACTAGCAGTCGGCGCATCAAGAACATTCAACTCTTCTTGCGTGAAGAAGTTGGGCATCAAGAACGTCCGCATGGGGATGTACAGAAAGATAAAGACTGGGAATCCAATGGCGGCGATTGTCTGAGTGATCGCAAAAGTAGCACCAAAGCCAATGAGTTCGAGACCGACGAACGCCCAGATGACCCAGCGACGCTTGATCTGTGCTAAGGGGTCGGATCGTGATGTGAGATGCCTGTCCTTCGCAAGGAAGATGAGCTTCAGTGTGATGCCGTTTGCTTCGAGTGCCTGGATTCCCATGACGAAGAATAAGCCGGCTAGTACAGCTTGGGGGATGAGATGCAGGACGATGAGAAGTGGTCCGGTCATTGTGCCCAGGGTAAGGAGGCCTTGTGCAAGGTTCGATACGCGTTGCTCTACCACGTGGTCGACAACCCGTTTGCCGTGGCCTTTGTTGTCTTCGTCGTCCGAATCAGCGACAGTGCGCGCCACGCAAAGCGATGTAGTATGGAACGGTGCCTGTGGGATGAGGCCATTCGGGAACGGGATACCTAGTAGGCCCGCAACTCCAGTCGTGATGCCCAGGAGAAAGATATCCCAATGGAAGCCTGCCGGTTTGCGCAGCGGAAATTCCGTGCCCTGCGCGATCAAACTAGAAACGTTGTGGTCGAACCAGAATAGGATAGTCAAAAGCACGGCGAACGGGATAGCCAGGAACACATCGCCGACACTTATGTCCCAGAAATGGATGAACCATCCACGATCTGTAGTGGGAAAGAACGCCTTCGAAGTGGGTAGCTTGAGCAACTCAATGCCAGCCATCTTTCCGATGTGCACGAAACCAGTGAAGAAGATGACGGTAAGCGGAGTACCATAGTCCTCGACAAACTTTCGAACGTGACGCTGCAGTAGCGACGACTGTCCCACAATGCCGCAGATGTATGCAACCGCAGTGACTAGCAAAGCGATCACAATCGAGAGGTATGCCGAAGCGTCGCTCACAGCCCATTGCCTCGTCAACACCTGTATCCCCTTTTGTAGATATATGAACGCGACGTAAAACCCGAATATGTCGCAGGAGAAGCGCGTAACGTATCGTAAGCCGTTGCAGGAGTTTGTAATCGCGAGGATCCAGTGGAAGATCAAGGACCATATGCCTATCCAGCACATGAAGGCGAAGTAGTTGGTGCCCCGTGGGGTGATAATATCGTATACGGTGTAGTTGAAGACGGTAATTGGTCCAGTGACACCCACGATGACGAGAGGCTGCGCTGCTGCGAGCGAAAAGACGACCGAGGCCAGCACTGAAGCAAGAAGAACCTCGTTGACGCCAAAGCTCTCATTGGTCTTTTCGAACATGTCGAGCGAGAAGGCGAGTGCTGGCAGGATGTTCGCAAAGTACATGTAGACTGTCGCAGGCACGACGCGGTAGTCCCACGCATCTTTCCAGTCGCTCAAATAGAATGGTGCTCGCCGCCGTATGTCGTTTATCATGCCGCTGAACAAGCGTGTCTTCCACCAAGCATCCTTGCGCGAGGCTGCCGTTCCATGCGATTGGCGCGTGGCTTCCCGAGTCATCGCATCGTCGTTCGGTGTGGCATTGCGCTTCGAAGGACGGAGTACACGCGATTTCCACGATCTATTCGCGTATTCTGAAGACATGGTTGGACAATGGCGGAGGCGTAGCTCTGGGCTGGTACGCTAGGGTATTTGCTCGCGGAGGTATTATATCGAAGATGTCGTCATGACAGGGCGGGCTCCAGATCGAGAAAGTTACCCAGGCGAAGAAGGCGCGGGGTATTGCAGATATACCAGCTGAAGATACCCTAAAAGATATGCTTCAACAAAGCTGGACGAACGGATGGAGCTTGCCGCCATGGTAAAGGTTGGTGAGCTTGTTATGTATGGCGAGGGGAGGAAAAGTCGTCTCCACACCGCTGCCCGGGCAGACTCCGGGTCGGATTTACGGCCGGCAATAAACCTAGCGCAATCCCCGGACCCTGATGGCGACAACGAATTGCCATCGCCTTGTGACACCTGGAAACCATCTGAACTCACCTCAGCTACAAGACATCCGAGAGCGCAGTCGCACATATGTGCTATGTTCTTTGATACTGGGCTGGCATTTGACGACGTAGTTCAGAGACCCAAAGTCCATCACCATGCTGTGACGACATTCGCATTATGCAAGCCGGCGGACGAACTCCATGCTAGAAAGTTTGCGGAGATGCTGAGCGACGATCATGGCGAACATGCCCTCATGTAGATGGCGCGCGTTGTCGCGCATGTTAAGCAGAGCCTACTTGGAGAGAGAGCTCGGAGAAGCGGACCGCTGTCTAAACATGATCAAGGGTGCAACTGCTTCGAGGATGGATTGGGCGTTGTACAACAATGCGGCTGCAATAATTTCTAGCGCGGAGTTCGGCAGACGCTGACGTCGCCATCGCCAAATGAGACGGCCTTTCTTCACCCACACTACACTACCAGCGCTAAACATACATGCAAACTTGGAATAGTTTGGTCTTCTTCGCGCATCGCTCAAGCTGCTTTATGCCGAACATCCTCAATGCCGCCTCCTCCGCCCCAGCGAAGACGCCTTCGACACCTCACTCCTATCGTCCTCACCAAACACCACCGAAGCCATATGTCTCAGCGAAAACCGCGACTGCCTCTCTCGCTGGGGGCCATCCTCGTAATCAGAAACTTCTGATAAGGGAGACGGGGCTTGCACGCTCGGTGCACTCGCTTCTGAAGACAAGCCTGGAGACGGTGTATTGGGAGGGCGCTCCAGAACAGGCAGATTGAGAGAAGATGGCATTGGATTCAAAAAGGGCTGTCGTCGCTGCGTCTCTGCGTAGCTGGGTCGCGACGGGCCTTGGTATGAAGTGCCTCTGGATCTAGGCGGCGGCATCGGCTGTGCTTGATTGGTCCTGTTCGAAGTTTGTGCTTCGCCGGGAATGGGAGGTCGTCTAGTTGTTCGCATACTTGACTGATCGCTCATTCGTCTGGTGTCTGGGACGCGAGTAGTGTTGCTTGCTGGTTGAGTATCTGAGACGTGTCGTGGAGCGCGTCCTTGGGGAAGTCGTATATACGCAGTCTCCGATGTTCTATGCGGACCTCGAGATTGCTGCGAGTCGTGCGTCTGCAAAATTCCAGATGGACCTGTAGATGTGGTAGCGACATGAGATGCAGCCTCTCTTGTTTTTGGCTGCTGCGATGGTTTGTTGAGTGCATGCGTATTATTGCTAGGTATTTCTGCTGGCCTTACACTGCTAGAAGGTCCAGCTGGTCGATACAGTGTGAATGATTGAGGCATACGAGTGCTTCTCACATGTTCTGCTGATGGCTCGCCTGCTGGCTGTCGTCGCCTGGCTTGACGACTGGTCACGGTATCGATCGACCTCGGCCTCGTCCTTCTGTAAGTCGATAACCTCTCAGCGCTATCTGAGGTAGTCTGTTCTGAGACGCTTCTGAAAGGAATTGCAGGTCGTGGTGGTGGGGCCTCCAGCTCGGACATTTCGCTCGAAGTCGGTAACTCGTGATGCTCGCGAGGCGAGTCCCTTCTTACACTCGGCAAAATTGTGCTACCAGAAGCTTGACAATATCAGCGCCCTGCTAATAGCCGCAGTATTGCTGCTACTCACACTTCGGCTGATTGTCATTCATGACCGCACGCGGGAAACCACTTATGTGGTGTTTGGCGGGTGCCAAATTGCGGCTTCGAATGTGCAGTGAGATATTAATCTTTGAGTCTTTCCTCCTTGCACGTATCGTAATGACCGGCAATTGAAACGATACCAGTTGCCGCATCTCCGAAACAACCTGCAGCGACAAAGGGATCTTGAAAGGTTAGCTTAGGGATTAGTGTCATCACCGATAGGCCTACCTGATGGGTATGAAGACGGTCGAGATCAGACTCTATCTCGAAAAAAGTTAGGAAGTTACTTGTCTGCCGTTTTGCGAAGAAGTCGCCTAGGCCCGAGAGGTAAGGCGAGTCGTTCTCGAATCTACAGCAGATTTGGCCTGGCACAACGGTTAGATGCATCTCACATTGTTATTCGTAACGATAGCTTACCTTCGCACGAGAAAGTTCCGTCATCATTCGACACAGGCCCGTTGAGCAGTTCGAAGTAGAACGAGCTAGCCACGAGTATGTGCATAGTTCTTGCAATCTGAGCACGGCTTTCTGGGGTTTTCAAGGACCTGCGAACGTCGCGGATTAGTTCTCCGATTTCGTTTACCTCGTCCAGATTCGGTGGACGACGTCCAATATTCGGATTGATGCGCACGTAGCGCGAAGCATTGTTGCTCGTTGCACACATGTCAGAGCGAAACTTGTCCCATGCTTTCTCCGCGTCGAGAATACTGTCCATGAGGTTTCGCTGCCGATTTCATCAGCAAAGTTCTCAGAAGTCTTCGCCTCGCAATTGAAGCAAATCTTGGAAAGACGTACCATTGTAGAAACGATCTGAGGCATCATGTGAAAGGTGGGTTGTCGGGCACTTTCTTCATCAGTACATTCCCCTTAATTATTTGTTGAAGCACATGTTGAGAACCAGGAAGACTTCGGCATGTAACGTTTAATATGCGTACCTTGAATCGGAAGCCGTTGCTGTCGAGTCGGGTTCGCCGGCTTGCACGTCCGCCTGGTTTTGACTTGTGCCTATCGACAGGAAGAGATCGGGGTCTTGACTGGCGACATCCGGCCAGAGCAGCTTTCTCTCATGGTTCATAAGCCGGACGGGATTGTTGTGGTAAAGCGCACCGTCTAGGTATGTGCGATAGGTATGAGCGTGCTCGAACGGTTTGAAAAAGCTGGGTGCAGCCGACGTGGCAGCTGCCGCGTCTGCGATCGAGAAGCCGAACTTTGGTCCATCCGGTCGCAGAAACTCATACTCTGCAGGGCGCAGTCTTTTCTTATCGCCCTCCGGCCGGCTGTAGTTCGCAATAACGATCGCTTTAGACCAGGTTTTATCCGTGGCGGTCACGGCGACTTTAGTGTTCAGATACGAGCTCCGTTCTCCATAGTTGCCGAAAAGATGTTCTTTCCCAAATTCTTGTGTCAACGTCTCTCTAAGAGGGCCAGTCGAATACTTGGAAGCAAGCCTCAGTGTTATCAGGTGTCTCAAGAAAGGGATGTTGTGCAACATCCGCGGTGTGAAAGCGGTACTGCACAGCTTTCTGAACTTATCGGAGCAGCGCCTAAGGCTCCAAGCTTTGGCAACCATTGCTAGCGCAATAATGCCACCAGTACTGCGAGATGTGAGTCTTGTGGTATTTATGAATGATTGGAACTTACCTCGTTCCCATAATCAGATCGAAAAATGCCTGAATAGGAATTCGGTCACCGATTTGGTTTTGGAGGGCTCTTAGCACTTCGAGTTCAACGATTCCGCGGATGCCACCTCTTTATATACGTCAGCGTCTCCAATGGAATGAAGCAATTAAAAGAGAATTTGGAGGTAAAGATCGGTGAATATGGGTATACGAGGCCATTGCTCGATTCACCTGGAGCTGAGGGGCTATGAAGAGCTCTCAATCGAAGTTAGCATTGACTCACCCATCAAGACATAGGAGTCGAACTCCCGCGTGTTCAGGCTTGAACCTGATGAGGCATGGCACTTCCCAATCCGTTTTCTCAGGGTGTAAAGGACAGCAGTCTAGTTTGACAACAGACCTCGTGCTAGTATTGTCATGCAGATGCTGTCCGTGGGCTCGCACACACTGCGTGCAGAGTACGTGACCACAACGAAGAGCGTGCTCAGGTGACTGCATAAGACAGCAGAAGCATGTGGCGTAACTCAAAATTCCACCAGCTGAGCCCAAGGAAGCATCATAACAGCTCACCATGTCGTCGCGATGGATTTGCATCATGTACGCCTCCTTGGAATAGCTTGGGGCTCGTTGTGAGGCATTCTCTAGTTCGCGGTCAATGTTGTGCATCTGCGACCGAATCTCTTTCCTCCAAGAACGTAGATAGCTTTCTGGATTGAAAGTGGACTCAAATTCGCCTGGTTTTATCTTGCCTCTGGCGTCTTGGTGCCCTTTCGGGTTATGATTGGCAGCGACATTGACGCATCGATACGAACCGTTACGGAACTCACAGGTAAGATGTTGACTCCAGAACGTCTCCACTGAGAACTGGCAGTAGTTCATGTAATGAACGAAGTGGTCCAGAGGAGAGCCTGTCATGTGTCAGAAGCAGCAGAGATGAATGATTGGGAAATAGGAGAAACGACTGGCGGCGAGAAGTCCAGCAGCACCTGCCGGAGAAGGTAGTAATCAGAGACCAGGCTCAGAGCTACAGTAATACTATATTGGCCATAGTATTTTCTTCAACATCCTCAAGTCGGCCATGCACTCAGGCTGAGCATTATGTACGTCGACTCTTAAAGCAAAACCATGCAAAGAAACTGCCACGTACCTTTTCGATGACGGACGCAATCAAGAGAGATACTAGAAGCCACAAGTCTAGCCATGCGATCAAAGATGAATGTAGCCTTGCGCGTCTTCTCAAGAGCAGGTGTAGTAAGCGCGGTTCTCTTGTCGTGAGCCTCTATGGCCAGCGCGAGTTGAAGCATGTGGCCACCAAAATCGTTAGGTATCGGATTGCTACGCAGAGACATGGCAACGAAGTCGAAAGGCATGGTGAGTGTCCGTGAAAAATGACTGAACACTGCCTGGAAATGCATATCCAGCTCAGAAGATTTGAAGAGCATGTTCGCTCGTTTCCGGGAATCGAAGGACCTTTCGCAGGAGGTCGTGATTACTTGGTGAAGGCTATTGATCTGATCGTGCAATAGCCGGTATCGACCTCCGCGTGGTATGCGTATGACTTGAAATGTGGAGTAGTAGCATTGTATAAGTTCAAGAATGGATCTAATGCTTCGTCCTCTTTCTTTCCAGGTTCTGACGAGACTTATAAAGAAGGGGTGTCCATTGGGATCGATGCAGTGTTTGTTGGCCGCTAACAAGCTGTCTGTTGCCGACTTGTTGTCCCATTCATTTGGATTGGCGCTCGGCCCACATTGGTTCAAAGCAATGATGGCGTGTGGAAGTGTTGGTTGATTCACTGATGTCTCCAATGATGCTTCTGCCCATTGCAATAGAGGTTGCAGAGTTGTGACTTCGAATGTTCTAAGACGTTGTAAGCAAATAGAGCCCAATAGGAGTCCTTACACATACTTGGAATTTGTGCCATGCATAACAAAGACCACAACATCTGAGAGAGTGTAGAGAATGCGCGGGTAAAGCTCCTTCACGATGTATCTTCTTCTTGCCCTCTCAGTATCTGCAGTAGCCCATGCCAATGATCGCATACGGCCTTCACCCAGTTGCGCATGGATCCGTTCTGGGTCCGACCGCGACCTGCGGTTCTCATGGGCACCGATCGGCGGATTCTCTCCGCCTTCTAAGCCCTCACAGTCTGCGTACAGTAGAGGTGTTCGGGAATCCATGCTCATTGGGTCTGCGTACAGATGTACATCGGCCGATGTTGGAGTGTGCTCCACTGGATCATTACCGAGCCTCTCGTGTCCGGATTGCGGCTCTAGATGCTTCAAGCCAACAACAGGAGAAGGATTTCGTTCCTTCAAGCCGGTCCCTCGTAACTGAATGAGCATCTTGATCAACGTACTTTTTCCAGCATCTGGTGCGCCGTCAGTTTCGAAGCGTTAACGGGAGAATGGATTGATGGGTTCGTTACTGGTTTGGCCGATGAAAGATACCAGTTGCGGGTATTTTTCTTTTCCGCTTTTGAGCGGGTTACGCAATAAGGCTGAGTACACATCATAGTCGAAAAATTGTTGACGGTCTGACTGGTCGCCTCTGCTATGGAAGCTGTCGTACCGTTCTGAATCGTCGTCTCTTTTTATCCCTTAGACGAGGTCAGTCGTTGTAAGAGCTCTTGTTCTGGAACAAATCGTACCAAACCAGGTAGTGGCCAGGTCATCCTCGTGGAGTTCTTCCACCTGGTCTTCGTTGTATTGTGGATCCAATATGCTCTTGAGTCTCGCATACACACGATACTCTACCTTCTCATGCGATCCATCTCTTCCTTCTTTCCCGCCACGATGCGCCAAAAAGTGTTGCCAACACGGGTCGCAGAACTCACAGGCACAGTCCACACAGTACCAGACCTTGGCAAGATTGCGGGTACAACCTACACCGCGGCTCTCGCAGTCGTTCAGTGGCCGTTGCATGGTCTCCGGAAGTCCTTAGGCGATTGTGAAAGAGATAAGATCGTTAGAGAGTTGCGGGGAAGTCATTGCGGCAAAGATTACCTATGCCAATGTTCAGCCTCATGCGGGCGCAGTGCTGAGCTGCATATCCATTCAGTAGAGACTATCGCGGTAAGTGCACCTAGGAAGCTTGCTACTGCATGTGTAATCGAAATCAGGCGAATCGAAGTGCATACCGCCAGCCACACAATTGTTCATTACCGGCAACTCCGCCACTTGTATTGACCGGTCGCTAGAGTGAAGCGACCCGATGGCGAGCAGGCGAACCGTGTCGCGTGCGTCACTGAATCATCGCGATACGACGAGTACTGATCGCCAGCCTAATATCTCATTGCAAGGTTGTAGGGTTGTTCGAAACGGGTAGCATGTAAGCATCGTGGTGGATGGAGCTGGACGGCCCTGGCACATTCAAGGCAACTGCGCACAGACCATATGTGCCCGCCTGCCCAACATGATCGATGCAGAACGTCACTGCGTCTACTCTTTCGTCTTCCAAGGCTACCCAGATACAACCTCGTATTAGCAAAAGCTAGCGAAATGAGCGAAGACTACAGCATGACTGGCCAACCGATACCCCCATTGTAGGCGCGGTCTTTGTTGCGCGTTGTAAGTAAAGAGTCGCGCAGACAAGACAGCCTTGCAAACAATCCCGCCATCTAACGCATCATGCGACATGCAGGCGTTTAGGTAGCGGATGCAATATGTGAATAAAGCTCAGCGCAAAGAAACTTGATGCTGTTGGTGGCGATGCGCCGAAGAGAGGAAGAAGAAAGTTGAGGTGGGGGCGCGCCAGCTCCGCAAGCGGCAGAGGAGCTTGGAGGCGGTCTGCTTCCACCATGCAGAGACTAAGGCCTCTGAACGTTGTCGTACAGTCTCTTCACACACTGAAACTCAACTACCAAAGCCCGACTCAGCACAGAGACAGACATCATGTCCTCCATGGCGAGCTCCATCCACCCCGACTTCCGCGACGATGTCACCTCAGCGGAAGCCCATGCAGTGGACCGGGAAACAGAACGTCTAATCCATCAACAAATGGCTGCAGACAACGCAAGTGGTCGTGAACGATACATTCAACTCGCAAAAGATATGTTGCGAATCAGATTGCGCGCCTACAAACCCGAGTCACCACCAATCGGCGGAGCTTGGTGCCTGATTGGGTCAGCACATCTCAAGGCCTCTCAGCTGCAAGAGGCGAAAGAAGCCACGGAGAAGAGTCTCGAAATTTACGCGAAAGGCGACGATAAGGATGCCGCAGCATTGGCGAGGGAGCAGTTGGCTTTGGTCTTTGAAGCCTTGGACCAGCTCCCCGATGCTAAGAGAACCCGCTTGCAGGGTGCGAGTGAAGGGACAATGGTGTGTTCGAGTCCACGGGTATGTCGATCGTAGTGCAACATAAAGTGATTTTTCTAATAAGCTTGATGTAGTGTCCGTATGCGCATTACGCGTTTCGCACGCAGAACGAGGGCCGCCCCGGGCTCTTCAAGTTGGTTGAACTGAATGCGTGTGCTGCATGCAGTTCGGCATTCTACTGCGGTCAGGTATGTCAAAAGGATGACTGGAAGAGACATAAAGTTCCTTGTAAGAGATACACGGCTGCTCAAGTAGATTAGGATGGCACATTGCTCTGCCTTTAATAAAACCTAGTGACTCCATCTTCTCCAAAGCCATCGCCTTTTTATGCACTTGAGGTATACAACGACGTCGTAGCTGGAGTTGCAGAAAGCAAGGTCTAGATGTCTTTGTCAAACCGGAAATGAGGTGTGAGATGAGATGAGCAGCGCGCTTGGTGATGTCTTTGATCGCAGCTGGTTGAGAGGGTGAGCAAAAATACCTCCGTTCGCACCACTCCCTCTCATCACTGGGAGTGGCCCCAAGCCTAACCGCGGGGAGGTGGAGGACAATGCCCTCAAGATATTCCCTGGTAAAAGATGTTGATGGGTATACATGATAGAAGAAAACATGCTAGATAAGAAAGACAGAGGAAAAACAAAGGAAGACGTGTAAATATGATGAAAGGGAAAAACTGTTGTGGAAATGCACCTCATGAGCATACATCGTATGTAGCAGCAGCCAAAATTTCTTCTTGCGTACCCTTAGGGTATACGTTGTCCTGGTTATCCTCCATGTACTTGGGCGAAACATAGCAGATACTTCCAGGGTGAGGTGTTGCATCGAGATAATCCACTGAGGCGTTAAACGTATTCCTCATGAACCGCGTAGCTGTTCCATTGCTGTTTCTCTCGACCTCTCCGTTGTCTTGTCCCCTACCATCACCGCGAAACTGCTCACCAACGTTGTTCTTGCTCTCAGTACCCTGCTCTTGTTTCTCGGCCGACCGGTCATTGAGGTGAGACTGAAAACGTGGTAGAGGAATGTTGTGCGTCTGCCGAGAGTGCGCTGGTAGAAGCAAGGTTCAGGGTCGCCTCGTTCAGCACAGAGTGGGCCAGTACCAAAAAAACCCGTTTGACGACGACAATAGCCGTGAGGAGGAAGTTCTCTCAACAATCTTGATGGTTGGAGACGACATGCCGAACCTGAATTGCCCGAGGTGAGGGTGAGGAGGGGGAGGATCTAGCGCTTCGAGCTCCAGATGGGGTGTTTTCCGTCGACTATCTCGTCGTCACTATTGTCGCCGTCGCCGAGTTGGTCCTCAAAACCATAAGGTCAGAGTCAATCGCACCATCCGTATCTTCTCCTATCTTGACATTATCGTCACCGATCGAGGCTTTGCTGAGTATTGGAGGCAGCTGATCATATATGCGAGCAATGTCGTAGAGAAGCGAAGTAGTAATTGACGCTCGCGCTTTGAGCGTCGTATCATGAGCGTCGTATCATGAGCGTCGTATCATGAGCGTCGTATCATGAGCGTCGTATCATGAGCGTCGTACCATCACTGTACACACCCAATGTTAAATCTAGGCCGTCTAGGTCGCTTCCAGATATCCTATCTTCCGCCATCAGACATGTCGCAAAAAGAGCACCAAGACATACCATCAGTCCCGCCACCTGAGTATACAGACACTGCGGTAAGCGAAAGCGACAGCAAGTACCACGCTCCATGGCAAGCTCAACCACCAGAGTGCAAGACCGAGCAAGTGTGTCGGTGGCTCATCGAGATCTTCGCAATAACCTTCAACGCGAACTTCGACGAGCTGAATGCAGCTCTCTTGGACATTCCCGTACCAGAGCACACAAATACAATCCTTTCCCATGATCGGGTGGTACGCCAAAGAAGAGCGCCGGCCATCTGATACACGCTGGGCAACCACTATCCCCGCACTCTGGGCGGCAGATAGACGGTATAGTCCTTACGGCCGTCGAGAGCAGCTGGCAACCAACATGCGAGCGTGGCGTAATGTTCTAGAAGACGCTGCACCAAACAACAAGGTGCGCGACGTGCTACGGGAAGCGTGGGACGATTATCGGAGACGGCTCGGGCTGGGTGAGTTAAGCAGAAATGTTATATGTTGGCCGCTAAGGGAAGGATATTGTAGCATGGGGGACGCGTTGTGGAGCATGGGGCATTGGGTTGTTGTCGATGAGTCGTCAGTCACGGGATAGGGTATCTCATGTGTCGTTCACACCATAGTCTCTACGAACGGCATACAAAACAATGAACACCTTCGTTAGTACCAGACATGTCTCGCCATCAATCTGCGACTGCCGAGTTCCGGAGGAGTGTTGCGGTGTGGAGAGTTTGGTAACGGTGGATCACGGGAGGCGATCGACTCACTAGGAGCGCGCTTGGCACAGCCCCCAGCACAATGACATCATGCTGGCTGTACCTGCAGCAACCAACACCACCAATTTGACCGCAAACCTGCTGTCTAGCCCCGTGCGAAACGCGGCAAGCGTGTTTCCACTGTTGCCATCTTGCCATCTTTCCCGGCCCATTCCCCTCTTCTCTTCTTCTCAGTCCTCGTGCATTTCTTTGTATTCCCTTCAGTCTGTCGCTTCGACCCTAATTTCCCTATACGCGACCAGCACGCGAGCGCCCCTTGGTCTTCGGCCCCTGCCACCACCACAACACCACCAAGATGGTGCACCAACGCGCATCCCAGCGGGCTCTCCTGCTGAGCGCGACACTCGGTCTCGCCAATGCATTCGCTCTTCCAGAGCCGACAGCTGTCCCCGCCAAGGTCGAAGTGCGCGCGCCTGTTGTGACTCCCGCGCCGATCCGGTTCGTAGGGCGGCATAGCTACGTGGAGAAGAGGAACATCATCGACGATATCAAGAGCGGCGTGGACAACTACGCAGCCTCGATAGGCAGCGTGCTGGGAACTGACCTGCCCAGCTTCTTCACAGAGGGTAAGCAAACGCCTGCATGGCAAGCCTCGCACTAGCAAGGCTTGTGCTGACTCTGTTTCTCTAGGCATCCCCGGCTGGTTCGAAGGCCTCCCCACCGGCAAAGAAGTCTTGTCAAGCCTCGGCATTGGTGATGACGACTTGGCTGCGAAGCCCACCGAAGTCCTCAACATCCCTCCCTATGCCAACTGGACCGACCAGGGCTGGAACGTGCGCTTCCACGGCAATGTCTACAAGTTCCCGGATATCAGCCAGGACAAGGTCGACGACTTGGCCAACGTCTTCCTCATCGACACCAGCGTTGCCGACCTGCCCGATAACCAGAAGGAGCAGGCACGCAACCTGACACGATCCATTTTCATTGTCCAGCAAGGCGACGTCAATGTCTCCATGTCGCTCGAGCCCGCGCCCATGCAGGGTGGTGACGGCGAGCCCGGCGGCGGCAACTCCATCGAGGCTCCCGGCGGCGTCCAGAACCTCACTCTCCCCTACGAGACTACCGATCAAGGCGACTTTGACGTCTTCGTGCCGATCCAGTCCAATGGCCTCCTTCCCGGTAACGAGACTAACAACGTCCAGCGCCTGAACGTCTACACCAACGGCACCATGAGCGGCAATGCTACTGCCTTCCTTGTGCCTTCCGAGGGCATCACCTTCATCTCTGACATAGACGACATCCTACGTGTCACTAAGATCTACGACCCCAAGGAAGGCCTCCTCAACTCCTTCGCCCGCCCCTTCACCCCCTGGATGAACATGCCCGACATCTACGCAAACTGGTCCCGCACCCTCCCCAACAACACTCACTTCCACTACCTGACCACAACCCCTGAGCAAGCGACCCGCCTCTACATGGACTTCATCTACAAAACCTACCCCGGCGGCTCCTTCGACACGCGCCCGTTGAACTTCTCAGACGTATCCGCCACCCTCTCCATCCGCAAATTCCTCCTCACCAAAGTCTTCGAGACTTTCCCCACTCGCAAATTCGTCCTCGTCGCCGATACTTCAAACAGCGATGTCATGAAGGCTTACCCCGAGCTCGCTCACGACTACCCCAATCAAGTCCAATGTATTTTCCTCCGCAACACATCCGCTACCGATAGCGACATGTGGTTCCCGTACAACACCGAGGGCTTCAAGGGCCTCAACAACAGGAGCTACATGTTCTTCCGCGAGCCGAATGATCTGACTGGTTTGGATATCGTCAACGGACAGTGTCTGAACGAGTCGATACCCCAAAACGTTACCTTTTCAAGGCAAGCAGAGATTCTGGGAATTCATGGCGATAGTGCGGGTGGGAAGCTGCAGAGCGGTGCGACAATTAGCTTTGTTGTTGCGTTGTTCGCTGCTGTTGCGTTGTCTTTGTAGGAGACAATGGATAATTGAAGGGCATGAGTACATACGAAGCATGGTGTTGTTGGATTTGAATTCAAATAATTTGGGTTTTGGCATAGCGGCATGGTCCGCGTTGTTTTGGATTTCCTTGTGCATAGTATTTTTTTTCTGTTCATACAATTATAAGATTGTTACGATTGATACTTGTCTTTTTGTGCATGTGTAAGCGAATGTGATACTGGAACTCAAGGACTGGAAACAAACATGCCCATGATTGACCACCTGCAGATACCCTCAGCTTTTGAGTCCGCCTACATTTCTCACTCCTGCGATCCACATTCTGCCTATGAAACCAGCACATATGTCTGGCCAAATCATCCCGGGGGTGATTTAGCCTCCGGCGAGTAGCAAGCCTACACCTCGGTAGCCTAGGGGCTCTCTGAGCTACCTGGTTCCCTTCCTGCCATATCTTGAGAAGATTGGGACGGTAGGGTTCGTTCTTTTTCGCGTTGAGCTTTCCTTGACCACCGTCGTGGGTGTGCAGGAGGTCCAAGAGGTCGTTGTCGTCGGCAGCCAGATCTGGTGCTTCGATGGCGTATGGGATGAAGGGGTCTTCGTTTGTATCTTCGTCTACGTCGTCGTGTTCGTCCACGTCGCTGGGAAAGCGGAAGAGTACAGAAGCGTGTCGGTTCAGGCAGTGTAGGCGGAGTACAGGCTGAGGGTACTCATCGGGCATCTGTTTGCCTTTGTAATCGGATGGGTGGAGGTCGGAGGGCTGGTTCGAATCGTCAGCTGGCTTTGTGAGCTTGCAACTGTGTGTAGCCAGTACCTTGAAGAATGTGGAAGGCATTGTTGAGTCGTCGTGGAAGATACGTTGAGTGATGGGTCTGGTTTCCGCAATCTATTGGGTATCGCTGGATGTATTTTATTGTCTAGCAAACGCCTTTTCAAAGATGTTGGTTTGACAAGAATGCATGCATTGATGCATTGCGAATCATTTCTCCAGAAGTCTTGGAGCTTCTCCTTGAGCGTTGTGAGATACAAGTGCCACATGGAAGCGAGACATTCGCGTATAGCTATATTGTCTTACTCTGAGTACTCCGAGCGTCACGAACACGTCGCATGCGAAAGCTCCACGCCATGTGCCCTGTCTCTATCTGAGAATAACCCCCAGAATAGCCATCTCACTTCATGCCTTCCTCCTCAAACCGCCTCGCAATCTCCAACATCTCAGCATCCAACCTCGAGCCCCCCAAAAACGTCACACTAAACGGCAACATCCCCTCATCCCCCTCTTTCCCGCTCAACTCCTTGATAGGATAAGTCCCCGCCGGCACCGCTACACCACAAAGATCCAACACATTTCCGCAATGCGTAAACTCGCCCAGTATACTGTTCTTCTTAATCGGATCAGCGAGCACCTCGTCTATGCGCCAGTGCGTCGGCGTTGTTGGTACAACGACGACGTCAACACCGGAGGCTGAATACGCGAAGACTTTCTCCGCTTGTCGCGTGTAGAGAGCTTGGGCCTGGAGGTCGCGGTACGCGTCTACGGCTGAGCTCTTCCGCGCGACGACGGCGTCCATGAGTTGTGCGGTCACGGGGTGCAGTGCTGCGCGGTTCTTCTCGAGGAAGTCATCTGGAAGCGAGGCGAGGCGTTCAGAAACGAATGTACCGTCGTAGAGTAGTTGGCCGGCTTTTTGGAAAGGCGACCAGTCTATTGGTGTGAGGACACCACCGATTGCTTGTAGTTTCGATACCGTTTCGTTGAACATGCGACGAGCGGGTGCTGAACAGATAGCAAGCGCTTTGGGAGGTGGGATGCCGAATTTGAAAGTGCGCGATCGGGGGCCGATGCTGTTGATGTGGCGTTCGAAGGCCATCTCAGGTTTCGCGTATGGGTCGAGAGGGTCGTGGCCTTCTAGTATTTGCCATAGGGTTCGCGCGTCGGAGACGCTTTTTGTGGAGAGCGCGATACAGTCCAGCGACAGGCATGCTGGTGTTATGCCTCTGAAAGAGATGGTGCCTCGTGTAGGCTTGTATCCGACAATGCCGTTGAAGCCAGCAGGTACTCTGCCTGATCCTGCTGTGTCGGTTGCAAGCGAGAAGGAGACTAGATCCGCTCCTACTGACACTGTGCTGCCGCTGCTTGATCCGCCGCTGATGTAGTCTTTGTGGTATACTGAGTGTGGGATTCCGTATGGGCTGCGGCATCCTACGAGACCGGTAGCAAGTTGATCCAAGTTGGCCTTTCCTATGAACAAAGCACCTTCGGAGATGACTTTGTCGTATACAGGAGCGGAGGTTGAGGGCACGTGCGCAAGTGGTGGACATGCGGTTGTGGTGGGAAGACCAGCGATGTCGATACTGTCTTTGACGCTGAAGGGGACGCCAAACAGGGGTGGAAGTGCATTTCGGTCGGGGTAAGTCGATACCAGCTTTCTTGCGGCGTCTAGAGCTGCTTCGCGTGGCTGTGAGTGTATCCAGACTGCTGGGTCAATATCCTTGTATGCTTCAATCTTTTCGTAGATCGTCTCAACAACGGTTACCGGTGACAGCCCCCTCTTGTACGCTCGCTGTAAAGCAGATATCGTGAGATCGCCATCAAACATCGGCGGTGTCTGAGGAGGCGTCGAATTGGCGACCGGCCCCTTACTTAACAATGGTGATAGGGCGTCTAGTAAAGGCTGCAAGCTACCAATGTATCCAAAAAGGCCCTGCGACCAATGTATCATATCTAGCGTTGACTTCTTGAAGCAAGCATCGTTATATCCACTGGTAGCTTCCTCGATACCACAGCATTCAAATCCTCGGTCATTCGCTTCCCGAATAGTAGTAGCAAAGCAACACTCTGTGGTGACACCAGAGACGATAAGATGCGTAATAGCTCTCGCTTTGAGCTGATGTAGGATAGTCGTGTTCCAGAACGAGCCCTTGCCGGGTTTATCGATGACAACCTCGCCAGGAAGCGGCTTCAACTCGTCGATGATATCGTGTCCGTATTCTCCTCGGGTAAGTAGGCGACCAAGCTCTCCTTTGTCACCTATGACTAGTTTGTGCTGGGTGTTGCCTGGCGCAGCTTCTTGCCTGATCAATTTTGATGATGGGCAGTCGGAGAGATCTGGTTTGTGGCCTTCGCGGGTGTGGAAGACAGTCATGCCAGCACCCCGACACGCTTCCAATAGATTTCTCGTTGGGGCGATCGATGCTTGGACCGCGTCTAAGTTTCCGCCTTGGATTTCGCCGAAACCTTTGGTGAGTAGGAAGTCGCGTTGCATATCGATTATGAGTAACGCGGTATGCTCCAGAGGGAAAGAGAATGCGTATGGCTTCGCGTCAAAAGAGAGCATCGTGCCATTGGGTGAGGTGTTTGCCATCATTCGTGGTGATGTGGTCATTCAAAGGTTCGGCAGTTGGGAGGTTGTGTATGGGCAGACACGCTCATGTAGGAGAACAACATATACAGGAATTCGTCAGAGAACGACGACGCGCCATATCTACGTTCGATATCGACTCCATCGGATGAACGTGGGGACTCCAACACGGGCCGCGAACGGAGTATGCAGCTGGCCTACGGGCCTACGGGCGGGATTTGGAGGTGTCTTATCGGTATCGGGTGGCGCTAGCACCAGATCGGTCTAGCCCGACTCTCCGATGAGCAATCTCCATCATGCCCAGCGCCCAACGCTCTTTCCTGCCTGTCCAGACATCGGGACTATTGTAGTACCTTGCTTGATCAATATGCCGACCCGTCTTCACCTCCGCATGGACCCCGCTGTATCATCAACGGCTATCTCTAGGTCGAAAGCTGATATGGTTATCAAGCTAGAGGCGATCTTGATACGGAGATGCGTGTAGCTGCCACAGCTCGGAGACCAAGAACTCTGGACCTTGATAAAGAATGAACGTAGTTCTGTTGCATTCGTGTTTTCCTACTTCATCTTGCCATCCTAAACCATGTCTGTGCTCAAAGCAAGGCTTGCACCTCATCTTCATCTGAGGGTACCCTTCGAAAGCGGCAAATATGGGTCGCGCTGGTCGAATAAAGGTATGCATTCGGGAGGCATCCATGTGTAATGAAATTAAGCTAATCGTCGCGTGAACACCAGATCTTGACCCGGTGCCACCGGAACAGCGTACCTGGGGTGGTCTTGACTACTGGGCGTACTGGTGCTCTGACATGCTTGCACCTCCTTTGGCGTCTACTGTGAGCAGTGTCATGGCTCTGGGGTTTACAGCTAGAGAGACAATCCCGATCGTCTTTTTTGGCTTCGCCATCTGCAGCGTTGTCATCACGCTCACTGGAAAGATGGGTGCCACATACAATGTGTCCTTCCCGGTTATCGTTCGAAGCGTCTTCGGCATGTATGGCTCGTTCCCGGCCATCTGCATTCGAGCTTTCGTTGCCATGATGTGGGCTGCGATTCTTACCGTTCAGGCGAGCAACTTCTTGCAACGCTGCCTTGAGGCGATCTGGCCAAGCTTCATCACATTTCCGAATCATCTACCGGAGAGCGCTGGGATAGACTGTGAGACCCATCTTGTTAAGACTATTCCGGAGCATTGCTAATGGTCTTGTAGCGGCTGGACTGCTTTGCTTGTTCTTGTACTGGTTCCTCCAAACTGCACTCGCCCTCATGCCCATCTCAAAATTGCGCGTTCTCTTCTGGATCAAGGGTATCGTCGTGCCGCCAACGTTCTTCGCCCTCTTTCTTTGGGCCGTCATAGTGACGAAAGGGTGAGTGATCTCTTGATAGTCTGTAGCGATGAACGATGCTAATTCAACATCCAGTGGCGGTCCGCTCATCAAAGGAAAGGTGGAGATTACTTCCACTTACATGAACACCACCTACTCGGTGCTCACCGGTCTCAACGCCGTGGTCGGACTTTTCTCCTCTTTGGCCGTCAACATGCCCGATTTTGGCAGATTCTCCAAGAACCAGCTCGCTGGCTACCATCAATTCCTCGCCCTCCCCATCATTGGAACATTGGGAGCACTGACGCCAATCTTCGTCACCGATGCCCACTCTTACCTGTGGGGCGAGTTTGAATGGTACATGCCAACCGTCATTGCGAAGTTCGACTCTCGAGCTGCAAAGTTCTTCGTATCCGCCAGCTTTCTCCTTGCGACAATCGGCAATCAGATCGCAGCAGACACTTACCCGTTTGCGAACGATGTAGCGGGCATGCTACCGAAGTACATCAACATCTTCCGAGCTACGATCATCATTTCCGTCTTTTGCATCGTATCCACGCCATGGAACATCATCAAGAACGCGTCTGGTCTGCTCTCGTTCTTGAGTGGCTACTCATGCCTCATGGGTCCTCTTGCAGGTACAATGGTCAGCGACTATTATCTCGTCAAGAAATGTAAACTTGATGTGGATCAGCTCTACACAAATCGCGGCATCTACTGGTACAACGGAGGCTGGAACTGGAGGGCATATGTGTCCTTCATTGTAGGGTTCGCTCCCCTTCTCCCCGGTTTTGCTAAGAGCATCGACAATGCTCTAGACATCGGTGGCGCTTGGAAAGTATACACGTTTGCGTGGATCTTTGGGTTCTTCCTTTCGCTGTTTACGCACTACGTTATATGTACATACATTTCGCCGGCAACAGGATCGCTGGTAGAATGCGCGGTCTATCCGCCGCAAAAGGGAGAGATAGTCGTGCCGATTCTTGAGGGTGAGGAACTCTCGAACAAGGAAACTCTTGTGGCGAAGGAGAAGGAGATGGCTAATATGGCCTAATCAATATTGCGCCAAGTACTTCGATCATGACCAATAATCTTTTCTTCTGCCTTCTACAGATGATGTCGCGAACGAGATGTGAAGCTCTCGTGTTCTTTTAGTGATGCCGCTGATTAATTTCCGCGTGGTCTGTGCTTCCACAAGCTGGGCCTCGGCTTTCTCTCGTCCAATGTGCTCCTTATCCCCCAACCTCCCTGCCGGTGGATCAACTCAACGCACATGAAACCCACGTCATCAGCCACATCAATGAGCAAGTAGCTATGTCCGACACCCGCCAAGCAGGAATGGCAATCTGATGCTGTGCATTCATGGAAAAAGCACTATCCTCGGCCATCTCGCGAAATCGTCACGCGGACGTATCGCGATTCCATCAACAACATACCGGGGTTATCCGTCTGCTACCAAGACGGACACATACTGCGTGCTGAAATGCAAGCATGAACTTTATGCCTGCTGAGAACTCGCCGCCAAACTACCACTTCCCGCGTGTAGCCAATGTCCACACTACGAAGCCAAAGTCGCGACGTCCATGCGATCCCTGTCGACGACGGAAGTCACGTTGCGAAATATCAGACAGCGGACCACCATGCGTCCTTTGTCAATTCCATGATCAAGAATGCACCTTCAATGAAAATCCACTACCACGGAAACGCCGTGCCGTGGCTATCGACGAGGTCTCTGAGCCTACCGAAACGAGCCGTGGTCAACTACCTCTTGCAAAAGACTACAGGAGTAGCATTGCCCCATCTACATCACCTCAGGATACTACAGCCATAATCCGGCAGGATCCGCCAATCGATGACTATGCAAACTTACACGGCCCTTCGCTCTTGAAGAAGACGCTGGGCTTGCAAACTAGCCGGCACAGTCGTCTTGTCGGCTCCACTTCGGAGTACGAACGTCTTTTATTGGCACTTGAGCCAGTTCAACTCGCTGGCAGTGCTGATACTTTGGCTGGCCATCCAAAGTTACGAAAAGTAGATGATGCTCATGCAACGACATTCGTCTCATCACCCGATGCCGGCACACTCAATAGTCAAGGCGACATTCCGGATCTCGACGCCATCGAGATAGCCGTTGCACCACATGGCGCTGCGTTGATACGTCTCTTCTTTCGGATTGTACATCCTAGCTTCCCGATTCTGCATAAGAAAGTGTTCCTTGAGAAGTACGAGCGGACTCATCGAGAATTCTCGCCGCCGCTATTAGCTGCAGTTTATCTCCTAGCCCTCAACTGGTGGTCCTATTCCAGCGAACTAGCACTGCAACCAAAGCCAGACGTCTCGCATCTAGAGTCACTAACGATGAGATCTTTCAGCAACATCATTCATAGGCCTAAGCTTTCGACTATACAGGCAGGACTGCTGCTTCTTCAGCGACCAGAGGGCAACAGCTGGGCGTTGACATGTCAACTGGTCGGGCTAGCGCAGGATATGGGACTTCAGCTTGACTGTACAACATGGCACATCCCCATTTGGGAGTGCGGCCTTCGTAAACGTTTGGCTTGGGCTGTATTCATGCAGGATAAATGGGGTGCACTGGTGCACGGTCGCCCCTCGCACATTACGCCGATGGATTGGGATGTACAACCTCTGACTGTAGATGACTTCCCAGAGAGTGCTGCTGATGAGGATGACGAAGACGGGAGTACTGAAGTGGAGAAAGGTCGAGTCTTGTTCTGCTATATGGTAGAGCTTACACAGATCTTGGCGCAGATCCTATCGACTTTCTACACACTAAAGGCAGAACGTGACTTCGCCAGCAGTGCGCACGAGAGCGTTCGATCGTTGCTCAATGCAGCGAAGCCTTTGCAGCTCACACTACGCCAATGGTATGCCAACATGCCAGCTGCGCTAAAAGTGCAGGACATAGCTGCAAGGAAGCTCTCCAGCGTCGGCTATCTCCATCTTGGCTACTACGCAGTCGAAATGACGCTTCACCGACGCATTATCCGCTCATTATCTCCAGCAGACGACCCCGAACTCCACACCATATGCCGACAAGCAGCGCAGATTCGGCTCACATCTGCCATGAGCTTCGTGCAATCTCTCCGACCCGAACACTTCCAATCCTTTTGGTATTCCTCGTCCACCTACAACTTCATACTTATTGGGTCTTTCATCTCGCTTCTCTGGGTGACATCTCCCGATAGGGAAGAGACAGCCAGCTACCGGGGGCATCTTGATCAGTATAGATGGATCATACGCCTCTCAAGCAAGTCAGCAGACTTCCTCGAAAGAGCCCTCATGTCACTGGATGTGTCAACTAGTGCGCTAATGAAATCCATTCCTGACGATATCGGCTCGGGTAGTACAATGATTGGTCGTCAGTCCAACATGGGATCAAGTCGCGATGACGGTGCGCTTGTCCTTGAGGGCAACAGGTCCGTGCCTGTTTCCTTAACTCCTTCCGCTACCCAACCCGATGGAGGAACACATCATACATCACTGGAAGAGATCGACAACGCTGATCACTCGTGGTTTGATGCGGCAGACGAGAGCAGCTTCGATGGTGGGTACAACATCCATGACGTAACTTTGTTTGGGCGGTCGGATGTGTCATGAGACGCGATCAACTACAGCATTGATGGATCTATCATATCATTGCAAAAGCTCCCGACGAGCTAGATATATGCAGATCATGGCTAATGTTTGTGAGTTCAAGTGGCGCAGAATGTTGTAGAGCAAGAAAGTCGACCTTCATCCTCTTCTTCGGCGAGACGTTCTTACTAAACTGAGCACCTTCGTTTGGAGTAATCTTTTGACCTGTCAGACGCGCCTGTAATTGGTCTTGGCTCTAAGCCCTGCAAGTCAGCATATACGAAGCCAAAGGACAGGCATTAGCTGTGGGTGTCAGACCAACAATCCAACCCCGCCAACCACAAAAAAACTTTCTCAACTTCTTCTATGCTTGTTGGCCACTTTGCAGATGGGCTTCCTTTCTAGCTTTACTCTGGACTATGTATCATTGTTAACGAAAAGTCCGTCACTTCACTGTTGCGAGCATAGCTTATAGCTCGTAAGGACTCTTTCTACATCACATCAAGCGACATGGAAGCACTGTTTGGCATTCAGTTCACTCCCAGTGTAATGCTCACTGAGACAAAAGGGCCAAGTGAGCTAGCAACGAGCCATATCCCTTCGGAGCGGTTATTACGCCAGGAAGTAGGAGCCGACGGCCCGACCACTAGACATGGAGGCTCTCGACGCACGTTGAGTGGATGCCAATAGAAGTCAGATCACTCCTACATCGCGTCGAAACCCTGCATACAAGCGGCTCGGCCCATGATCTGGGGTATACACCGACCGGATCTTGATCTCTCGCATCCGCCTGGATTTACGCCCGGGTTTACGCCCGGCAGAACTTGTACAGATACAGTCGTTTGAATTCATCCGAAGGCGTATTCACGACTATGCAGTTGCAATATGTTTACTGTTAGCCAAGAAGAGGTCGGCCAATGGCTCATCGAATGAATGAGCTGCTACACATCCACGACGCTGCTTCTACGCCCACAATGGTGGAGATCTCACTGGGGGCGGGTCCTTTGTGACCATCAATGCTGAACTCCTCAAGAAATTTCGATGGAACTTGACCAAACATCGCCGACCCAAGATGAGGGGAAAAGAAGCGGTGGCATAATTATCTTGCTGCTGTTCTCGTCTGGTCAATGTATAAGAAGGGTTTTGTGCTCGCCGTTAGCACCCATCAAGCTACCAGCCAGCCAAAATCTCTTCTCTACTCTCTACATAGGACACTACTACTTTGCATTTCCGCCACCGCACCCCATTCCGACGCAATCATGACTCTCTTCAAAACCATCACCTTCGGTCTCGCTGCCCTCCTTGCTGTCCCAGCAGTTACCGCTGCCGGCGGCTTCGACACCTGCACTTCCGTGTCCTTTGACACCTTCCAGGCCACCAGCGTGCCGGGAAAAGACCCCCAGTTTGGTCCGAAGGGTCTGTACTCCTCTTCCACCACTGGGGAGTGCATCTACGTTGATGCGGCTGCGAACGGTGATTTCGCCACGACTCACCCCGCCGATTACCAGGGTTTCATCGCAAACACACACATACTTCTCAGCAAGATCCCCGAAGCTGCAGCTGACTTTGAGTACTTGTCCGCTGCGCCTGTGCAGGAGCGCCAAGCTGTGACGCCGCGCAGCGCTAAGATGATGGCTCGCCAGACTGTGGGTTGCGGCGAGGTCTGTAATTCCACGCAGGTAAGTGGTGGCCGAGCATGTAGTCGGCAAAGTTTGCTAATGCTCATTGCTAGGGTCCTTATAAGATCTGTAACTGCGGTTCGTGCCAGTATTCTACGTCCATCTGCTTCCAAGGAGGGTTTTGCACCTCTTACTACAGATGCAAGTAGATATCACGTGAACACCGATGAAGATATCTTTGTGAAATGTTGGATGTTGGATGTAGGGATAGGTTATGATTTTGCTGACGGCACATTTTCCCCACATCAGTGGGAGTACACTCGTTTATTGATGCATGGTAAAACATTTTCAGGAGGCTTCTGTCTCTCCTCGCCACTTCCTCCTCAATGAGAAAGTTCATTGATGAGCATGGCTGCCAGCCCTAGTTTCAGATAGTGTATTACGTTGCAGCGCGAATCAGTGGTGGATCGTTCGCTATGTCAATACAACATTTTCATCGTATTGAGCTGCCTGGTCCCAAATATCCTGCCGGAAAGTTGCTATACCAATTCTTTCAACCACGCCGGGGCGGTCGGCCAGGGGTTTGATACACAATGTATTGACGTATGCGATACCAACATCATCACGAAGCCAGTACAAGCCAAAGAAGTCGAAGGTGGATTTTGTGCCCTGTATCAACTTTGACGGATAGTTGTCGAACATACCCTTGCCTACGATAGTGTTGTCCCCCTCTTGCGTAGTATTCGAATACACCACGAATTCTCGTTCGTCTTCGGTATGCTGTACAACGTCGAACTGCCTTCGCTGAGCTCGTATATGTAGGTATGGATCCACGCTCTCTGGATCGATCCGCTCTAGAGGGGGATCATTGTTGCATCTCTCCTCAGTCATCTCATGCGTCTGTAGACACGTACTGCATTGCGCGTATATTACTGTAGGTTTGTGCAGATCTATGAGTGTAGATCCAGGGTCATTTAAAGGATACCACCACAATTCTGTTTCATCATGATGTTGCCAAGCCATCCATGGCCAGCTTAGAATTGCAAGTGAGCCATCTTGACGTAAAGGAAGATTCCTCCTCTTCGAAGCAAATCTGTCCGACACCCAAAAAGGGCGATCTCGTAAGGAAACGGACCGGATGCCCATAAAGTAGCTGGGTGTCAAAAGCATTGCCGTCGGGATCAGGCCTCGTGTAGAAGCTTATGACCCCTAGAAATGCCTTCATAACATCTCTATCGTGCGAGAATGTACGAGAGCTGAAGTGTGCGGCCACTGTCGCGTACCTAGTCCATCTTTGGCTGTTCGGGAATTCCGGATCCCCTTCCTGTAGACTCTCAATCATTGACGATTGACAGAGAAAATTCTTAACATCTCTCATTTCTGGTGAGAGATCGTCAGTTCTCTCAAATCCAAAATCCATACCGTCTTCTTCTGCTTCCATCTCCGGACACATGAGATAGATCCGATCGCTTATTACTAACGTTCGTCGGGAAAAGAAGCCTTCTTGGAGTGTCCAGCCTCGTGAACTCCAAGGGAGTCGGAGATGATCAGTATATTCAGTCATAAAGCCAAGGACATAGTTTGGGTAACTGATCAAGTTGCCCGGTAATGCGCGGCTGGTTGAACCGGTTTCGCAGCCGTTGATACCACCATCTGCATTGTCCTTGTTCGCCACTATGATAGTCATATACGCAGTGTTGTAGATGAGATGCATTCGATCCAGATAAAGTCCGATCTTGGGGTCATCTTGGACGAGACAGAGACAGTCTACCCGTAGGTAGCGTATGTCCAGGTCGGCAGTTAGGCGCATCGCATCTCTGATAGTCCGCGGAACCGTGGCGACATTTAACTCGGAAGCTAGACTTCGGGGTCTTTGGAGAGCTTCCATATTACTGAAAGTCAATTTCGTAAACTCTACATTGCCCCAGACGTAACTCAGAGCCAAGTAGCGCACTCCCGATTCGGGAATAGAGGTTATACATCTCTCGACTACATCGATAAGATAGAGCGGAACATCCAGTCTGTTAAAAGGATCCAGCCGACATTGTTCATGTTCGTGCTCGCGAAACTGCAGCCAGGGCTTTATTAGCCCCATAGGGAGATTGTTGGCCTTGGTGGAGGTGAGAGACTCGGTTCGAAGCCTTGTGGGATATAATGAGCGCGAGAGCAAGTAACAACAATATCCGGGCTCACCGGCATCAGATATGTTCGTCATGGCAACTTTCGCACGTAGCAAAGATACACCAGCGGAGTTCGACCATAACCAAAGGACAAGGTTGATGGATTTCCTTGTTGATGCATTCGTACCAGGTGTCTTGAAGAAGCTTTTGCATGAAGGGCACGTTGCATCTTGCTTGATACTGCCTAGGTCCGATTTCAACGGTATGACCAATCTTGTGCGTCTCTCGTCCTTCATCGGACTCCACGTGTCTGGAATATCGTCGAGGAGTCGGTCCACGCGTAGACACTCTGCGCAGTACGACCCATCCGCATCTAGTGATCTGAGAGACTTTTCTACTGTACTTCCGATAGTTTCGTTCATATTCACCGGAGAAGCACCTTGCGCGGGAGATATCATGATAGGAGGTCAGTTTCGGGAACAGAGTGGTGGTCATGGAGCAGTCTGAAGTCTCATGCTGGAATCTGACATTCGGGAAAACCCGGAAACGTGAGAGTCGGATTCATCCCGCGAAGTGCAGTCGAAAAAGTCACTAACGGAGGGTGACATGCTGCGCCGCAATGCTGCAGACGGCAATTGCGGGGCTCTTAAGGAAAGCAGATCGTGCATCGCCGGCCTGATTACGGAACAACTGTCCATCCCAATCGAGTTTGTCGTGATACAACGGAATCCAGGCGGGGAGCTGAGCCCAAACTAAGGAAATGAGCGCAAGTAACGATCACTACTAGATCAAATCTATTGTCAGATCTCCTGAGCATGCAAAACTCACGTGGCCGATCGCTCCTACCACTTCAGCCCACTCCATAACTGCGCAACCCCCAGACTCCCTCAAGTATGCCTCCGGCTCCAGAACGTTCTGTCAAACTCATTTCATACCACACCACATCACACCACCGCACCATCAAATCACGTCTAGACCCTTACAGCTGCGACAGCCCCGCATCCAGACCGCACCCCGAACAGCTCCCTCACAAAAATGAGGGGTAAACAGTCCAAGTAAAGCTGTCGCAAGCCTGCTGCTGCACCGCCGATCACATACTGCATGCATACAGACCGATAAAGCATCTGCACGCTTTCTAGAGCGAGATCGAACCGCCATCCATTCGATGCCTGATTCTGTTGGCAAGTATGAACGGCTTTGAACCACCCTTTAGGTGTTTGTAGAGCGACGATACGCGTTTTGGTGGGTGCGTCGCGTGTGCTGTTGCTTATTGCGTTTGTGGGGGAAAGTGTCGGGTGACGTCATAAGCACGTTGTTTGGTGGAATGGGAATGTGGTTGAGGTGATGCATCCACGTTGACGCGAACGTATCGTTATCGCTATCTAGACATCATGCGAAGTGGGATGGAAGCAGAAGCAACGTACGAACCCCGCTCTGAAGCGTCGGAAAGACGCGGTTTTGAAGTCATTGTGACAGTCGAGTTCAGTAATCGCGTTCTGTGCGGAGAGAAAACATACGGAAAAGCACGCTGCGCGGAAGAACCGTGGGATGCAGGGACCGCGCGCCAGTTTGCCGCCTAAACTTCCAATTGGGTAGGAGACACTTTACCGGCCAAACGCCCCGGTACGCTTACGAAGGTTTATTTCGGGATGATAAAACAAAGTGCACAAGGAGCATTGCGTGAACGGCAAATCTTACGTCGTCAAAACACGCGACACGGGACGGGACAACAACAGCAATGACACTAACGATGCGTGACAAAGTGATCATGATTTCATAAACTAACTATACAGAGATCTTGTCGGGAACCTAGCAGTTCCATCGACTTGATGCGTTGCTTGCATCAAAGGGGGGGTATCTGTTTTCTGATTTGAGCACTTCATTTCAGAACCATTGCGCCAATTGCCAGTCCAAAAAAGCAAACGCCGCTTGCAAACACAAGAGCAAAATCAGTCGTGATCCTCGTAATCCTCACGTCATCGCATCATGAGAAACCTTACATGGTGCGGACGTGCGTCAAAGCTTAGGCTTAAGCCCAAGTCTTAGAAGTGTTGAGACCGAGCTCGAGATGCTGTGCGATGGCGTCGGCGAAGTCACCGCCAGCATTGGACGAGTGACGGCGGCGCTCGCGACGTATTTGGTGTTCGGCTTCCATGAGGCGGCCTTGCACCCAGGCGCGCTGCTTCTCGTCGTTGCGAATGCATTCTGTGTTCATGAGCTCGGTGAGGGTAGCGACGATTTGCTGGTTGATCACGGCGAGCTTGTGGGATTCTTCCGTGTGCATGTCGTCGATGCTGTTGCGCGGGGTGGAGCTTGTCCGGGAGCTGACGGGGACAGGGTCACTGGCTGCAGGGAAGGGCGTGGTGTACTTTGGCGAAGATTCAGGTGAAGAGGAGAGAGACTGAAACTCTGGCGACGATGCTGCCATAGGCGCGTTGAACGGAATTTCCATAGCCATGCGGCGCTGGAGAGCTTCCTTTTGGGCGGAGAGAAGCATGTACTTCTGCATCGACTCGTTCTGGATAACCATGTTAGTCTGTGTAAAGGGAGGAAGTACTTCGGAGGAACTCACTCTACATAAAGTGGGTCTAGACAAGGAAGACATGGTGTACTCTGGTATGGTGTTGTATGGTGCTCGTATCGTTTGACGTGGAGGGAGATTTGATTGCTGTTGATGTGGGGTTGTCGGGGTTCTGATAGAAATACCAGTTGACAATGCCAAGAGCGTTGGTCCTAGGAGATCGGCGGTGCCCCAGAAGTGTGGGTACGAAAAAGTTCTTGGTGGTGGATTAGAGTGGAGTGACGATAATAAAGGTAATGCTGCCGCGAAGACTTGATGATGGCTGACGCGTAGGTGTCAAGGCTGGTGATGTGACAGAAGATTCCAGAGTGTGATATTTTTGCAAATGCAATCTCCTGAGTCTGGGGATTTGTTCGCAACTTAAACAGCTTGTGATGGGGCCGCGCATTCATATTCCCGGAATAGGCCATGACGTGCGATTAACATACCTGCGCCGAAACACAGCGCGGCTGAATCCGTCTTTCCGCGGTCACTGTGTCGAGACGCCTTTGAGTAACGGGGCCCGTTTCGCAGAACCCTGTTGGGATAGCCAGGGGTTGGGTCCAAATGCAGCTGTGATTGGCGGATTCAGCCCCCCTTCTGATCCTCACGTTCTCCGAAAGGTAAACTAAGCGACATAACGTCACTGGTAAGAACCTGAATGTGAGGCCATGGCGCAGGATCGTGATCCAGTAACAAGATCGCTCATATTTGGTCTGAGAGGAGGTGATGGCACATGGTACCTGCATTCTCGTGAGTAATTTTGCCTGCAGACTCTTGCCCTTCACTGTGGGTATCTTGTGGGTAATGCGAATTTTCTGCCCTCCATCACAATCCCATCATGCTGCCGAAAATGCCATGGTGACACAGCATGACGTTCCGCTGGATCCAAAATTATTTCTGAGTCAATTCGGCGCAGGCCGAGGCGGCGCGGAGACATCCTGCGACGTCACCTTTGCATGGTGCTGACATCTGGGCAACTTTCTGCTCGGGCGGCTTCACAGTGCAGCACATCACAGATGTGGCTTTTTGGAGACATCCCAAATAATGATTAGGCGCCGCGTTTGACTGCTTTCGATTACCATCGACGTGTCTAGAGGCCGAAAGTCAGGCTTAGCACGAAAAATCAGGTTTCGACGCCACATTAGTGGCTCAGTCCCACGTGTATCCGCTTGTGTGTGACGTCCCTGTGCAAGCCTCAAACCCCACACATGGGCATAACAGGGCTGTTCGAAATTCGATCGTCGTTTCTAGCGTATCAGGACCCCGTAAAGGTTCCACGACAAGGCTTCCAGAACGGACCCTTGATCCTTCACGCCGCAGGGAAGTGTCACGCTGGAGTGCCACGTTGGTGACAGAAGACTCGTGGGATTCGCGTTCATTGTGGACGATAGCGCCTAATCATGGACAGTAGGAACAAGACCTTGGCTTGTCGTTGCCCTGACGCGCCGCGACTACGCCCAGCTTTCAGGTATTCGCATATCCTCGAGTAAGCGTCATGTCGGAGCGACATCCTCCGCATGATACGTGTACGACACAAACATCTCACTGCCTGGTCGGGGTTGGTCTTAGGGAATCGAGGGCCTGACCGCGCTGATCATACGGCGTCGCCAATCGGCGCCCAGTCGTTCCAGAAGGAATTGACCGAAAGGCAAACGTGTACCGGCATTCGGCGGATGTACATGAAAGTGATGCGACATGTTGCGAGACATGAGAGCGGTGTGGTACAGGCGTGTCACTCTTCAGTAGAGTGTCGATCTGACCAGAAACCTTTGCCGTAGCTGACAAGGATCTCTTGTCCACGTCCGATGCCCTTTGCTCTCTTTCCACTTTTGCCAGCGCTGAGCACGAAGACTCCGACCCTCTTTTCCACCTTCCCGTTCCCAATGTCTACAAGTATATCGCGGAACTCGGCGCTCGGTGCGGCAGAGACGCCCCGGTAGTCGTTGATGAAGCGTGCTTCGTTGCCCATCTTTGATGCATCAACGCCGATGCCTAGTTCGCGGTCGAGTGAGAGGTCGTAGTCTGATGCTTCATCAATGTCAGTCTGATCGTGCACATAGCCCAAGTACGGCAGAATGAACGAGTCTGGTAGCAGATGCTGGTTAGCATAAAGCGCATGCTGTCCGTGTGCAGGATGCGCAGAGTCCGTGACGGGTGTGATCTTGACGTTTGAGTACGGCCCGTTCGGCTTGTAAACCTGTGTATCGGATGGTAGATCGGACTTTTGCAATATAAGTGCGCTAACTTTGTCTCTACAAAGCTTCTTGGAATATGAAGGAGCGTGAAGGTAGATGGTTTGCACATCCCACCCCTTCGGCACAGCGCCTGATGATTTTGGCATCTTGCTATCGGATCTGATAGAGTTGCGCAGCCTTCATCTAAGCCAGTCAGGCAGTCGTTCCTTCGCGTGCACCGAGATGGCAAACTTGGTTCCTCGGAAAAGTGCGACAAACTCGCGACAAAGACGTGAAATCTCTATCTATTGTGCTCTCCGGCAATGCATAGTACGGGCTTGTGCGGCGAGGTGGTGATGTGAAGTTGTTTTGTCGAGTTGGTAATGTCATGGGCAGTGTTGCGCTGTCGAGGGGCTCTTACCTGACCGGCAACACTTCGGCGGGACGGGCTAGAAGCGACAAGAACACCCACTCTCGCTCACCGTAGCACCCTCACTAACACCACACTATGCCTCGCCCTTTATCGACGCGACGCTCTCTAGCTCTGCGCGGAAATAATCACCATTTGTGGGATATGATAATGCGGAAGGATCGGGATTCTTCGTGTTGAGCGGCGCGTCATTCGTTCTCCGACGAAACACCTGCGCCCAAGTAGGTGCCGCGCTTAATGCGTGACATGAGACTACCAGTGTGGCGCTCACTAAGCTCATGCGCCTCTCCTGAGGAATGCCGGATGCGAGATTGCGCTTCCAATCTTACAAGGAACACTGTGGGCGGATGGCTCTCGCGAGAAGAGCCCCCGTGTGACAAGAGCTGAGACAGAGCTGGAAGCTGTTCAGCCATCAAGATCACAGCAGCTCCGGCAACAGCTTTCCGCGACATCGCGATGGCTACAATAAATCGCAACACTGGACGGGCTGTCGGCCCTTCGCTGGATTTAGTCGAGGTCTAGATGCAAGGGCAATGCAGGAACCCGCACGTCCCTAGTCCATCGTGAACCAACGACCTCGCCAGCAACAGACCGCTCCAATCTGGCCCTTCTCCTATCAGCACACGAAGCTATTTTTGCTCGGACGCGGGGATTGCTCCAGATGCTGTCAGGATTACCCATCTCCACTATGATCGGGATTCCAGTGCCAATGTACCAAGGAGCCCCTAATCATCGCTCTGTTCAGGTGTTCTTTGTCACAGTCAGCGGCTCGACACCCATGCCAGCTGCCAGCTTGTCTTACATCTCGATACAGTCGCGCGGCTTCTTCTCTGCTCAGAGCTGACGTGCAGGTGCGGATCACGAACCGGAGATAAGTACCTACCGGGCGATTGAACATGTTCCGTGTGCACAAATCGAACGCTTGCGGCAAAAGCAGTTAGGATGACGGGCGATGTGTTGGGGCGGCAAGGCCCCTTGGCAGGGGAAATCGTCAACCTCATTTCGTTTCTGCGCGGCATCCACCTTTTGATTGGCCCGCTCGACTTCCATCAATAAACAGCTCACAACGGCCCATGTCGAAGCTTTCCACAGGTTCCCCTATTTCGTACTATGCCAGGCACAGTCCACCAAACGGCGCCACCGGCACGCCAGAGCCCTCGCGATACTGCTAGGCGAATGCAACTACGCCAAAGCGCCCCTGTTCATAGACGCTGGCGTTCTTGGTAAGGCCAGCTCGTGTATAGTTCTATATAATGTCTTCGCCAGCTGCTCCTCAGTTGATTCCCTACCACACACTCACTACACTCACTAATACACGGTTATCACCGATCACACTCGTTTTCAACGACCTCCAACGCCTTACAACTTAATACCTTCCGTATTTTAATACCACCCCCCAAACCAAACATCAAGATGCGTTCCTTCGCCGTCATTGCTGGCTTCGCTGCCGTTGCCCTTGCCGCTCCCCAGGCTTACGAGGCTTACCCTGCTGCCCCGGCCTCTTCCTCCGCCGCTGCTGAGTACCCCGCCTACCCTGCTGAGACCCCCGAGGCCTCCAGCTCCATGCCCGCCTACGAGGCCGCTACCTCCTCCGCTGCTGAGTACCCGTCTTACCCCGCTGAGACCCCCTCCGCTTCCATGGAGGCTTCCAAGCCCGCCTACGAGGCCAGCTCCATGGCTCCCGTCTACTCTGCCTCCAAGCCCGCCTACACCACCACCGAGGTTGTCCACGCCACCAGCTACGTCTGCCCTGAGCCCACCACCATCACCTACGGTGTCTCCACCTACACCATCTCCTCCAGCACCACCCTCAGCATCCCTGAGTACACTGCTACCTACGTCCACACCCCCACCCCCGAGGTCCCGGCTGTCCCCATGCCCACTGTCACCTCTGCTTCCGTCCCGGCTGCTGAGCACACTGCGCCTGCCTACACCCCGGTTGCTCCCATCTACCCCTCCTCCAACGGCACCGTTCCCCAGGTCCCTGCCGGAACTGCTGCTCCTACTGGCACCGGTGCTATGCCCAGCGCCTCCAAGCCCGCTGAGTTCACCGGTGCCGCCGGCAAGGTCTCCGTTGGCTTCTTCGCCATCGCTGGTGCCCTCGCTGCTTTCTTGTAAGCGGTTCGCTCTTGAGTGATTCGTCGGGACGCGGTTCTCCACGTCCTTGCTAGTCTCTTCTCGAGTTTTGGAAAGAGGAGGAAATAAAACATGGCTTCACGGGTTACGACTTCGACTCTTGCATCACGATTCAGTCTAGGATTGGGAGCGCGGTGTTGGTGGTACGAGCCCTTTGCTTCCTTGCGCAATCAAGTCGCAGCGGCATTTCGATGGATCTATATACTTGGTATTGTAATACACCTTGGTTGGAATGCTTACTGGCCCTATGGAGGGAGTCGTGTGGTCCCCGGTGGTCTTTTTTGTTCCTAGACTCTTTGCCTGTTCTGAGAAGAGTTGGCTATTAATGACATGATTTCCACCTTTACTTTACGACTTGACTGTCTACCTCATACCCTTCTGTACATATCTTACCATCAATGCAATTTGATCGTAACTTTACATCTTTCCCCTGTGCAAACAATGTCGTCGCACTTGTTACCATCACCGTCGCCAAAATATCTCATCTGATGTCGTCTGTCCAACCTTTCCTTCTGCCACTCTGATCATCGCACACGAACCATCGTTCAAGTCGGGTCGCCCCTGAGACCCTGCACCGGGAAATTACACAGGCCGCCTTACCCTGCAGCAACTCGTGCCTGGCATGTGGCCCACCACCCATTCGTCCGCCCGTGCATTCCCCAAGAACGCCAAAAACCGAACGCGTCACCTTTTGTCCAACCTAACAATAAATTGACGGCATCTCGGCTCTTACGACCCTTTGTTTAGTCACGGCGCGTACATCCATTCCTCTTGTCGCTTGCGGGACTTGGGTAGGCGAGCGAATATATTGCTTTTGGCTTGGAGAGAGGGTTGACGCGTGGCTCGCGCGACGTGTGCCATGCTGTTCTCGAAGGTAGGATCGATGGCGACACTCTGGGATAGGCTTCCTTCACAAAAACGACATGCCGAGAGCCACAATACTGCAGACTCATTTGGGCTCACCGATGTCGCGTGCGTGCGCATTTGCACCGGCCACTTCTTCCAGACCAGCATCTTATACCTGGGGTTAGCCTGTCATCATCCGGTCACCCAACCATGATCCAAAGAGAACTCCCTCGCGTGCTATGAGGGGCTATCCGATGCCAAGTAGACGTCTTGTGTCGGCCATATATACCTAAGATGGCAGAGGAAGATTTATCGGGGGGTAAGCTGAAGCTGAGTCAAAGAAGCATACCGGCATCATCAACATCCTGGAACTATTGTTTATATACGCACGTGCATCGCGAGAGCTTCGAAGAGCTGGAATTGAGATTAGGGCTCTTGGAAGGGACGCTTTCCACCGCAGATGCCTCCCTTTGTCACGAGGGTATGGTGCGAAGATACTGCATTCATGACATTCGATACAATCGCGCACTAAATCAATAGAACGCTGAACTACTACAACAGACCGCGATGATGATCCCTACTATCTCTAGCATCGACGTAGTTGACCTAGATACATATCGCATTCTCGAAGACTGCCGCCGATGTCTTTGTAGCCGCCTCGTTGGTGTTCAGTTCTGCCACACCCACTTCCACATTGGCAGGTGCACGTGTCCTCGTGGAACCAAGTAGCGAGCCTTGCATGCAACGCAAGAGGGGCTTCGCGCCTTTGACACGATGTGGGACGGGATCGCGTGGCCGGAGACGCTACCTGACCGGCTGCCAGGATATCACCACAAAGATACTTTCCGCGCAGGTCGAGCACATCCCTACTGGAGGGCAAGACGGTGCGGGCACAGCCGATAGACAGCAACATCTTCCCGACGCGAAGCCCTTACAACCCTCGTCTCTTCCCCCATCGCCCGCGCCGCCGCGAAAGCGCCAGCGAATGGGGACCGTCAACGCGCCTATTCTTCTCTCATCAGACGTCCAGAACGAAGACCACATCGACCCAGAGCAGAGGGATGACGAATGCATCAAAGTCGTCTGCGCGTCGAAGCTGCACAACGACATGCCCTTCCCGCAGAAGGTCACCAAGGACACATACATCTTCTTAAGGCAGATGCGACCCGACCTCAAGCCTTGGGACGCCAGCGTATGGGATACCAATGACCCTCGTGGCGGTACATTGCTCGGCGGCTGTATGTTCGCTCAAGTCGATCCGGCAAAATCGTACAAACAAAAGAAGCTCGTGGAAGCGCTGGATGAACTTTGGAGTATGAGATATACGTTGGCTTTGGAGGTTGCATACTAGTGCGCGAACGTCTCGAGGTACGGCATATGTTGAGATAGGAATGAATGTAGTAGATATGAGTAAAAGCAGGGCGACTACTATCATCGCTACGAGACTATTCGAAACTATGACAGACACATATGCCAAATACATCCGCGTCAAACATGTCAGTGGGGATTGTAGTGGATAGTTGTCGCAGTCCGTACTGCCCACTAGAAGCTTACAACTGCTGACCTGAAACCCGGAAGTGTTCTTACTAACGAACGCACCTTTCGCCGATGAAAGAGCGCGGTATCATGTACGAATACCAACCCTTCCTACGCTATTTAGCTCACGAAGCACTGAGTAAACTCGACAATCGCACTCTGCATCTGGCGACTACAGTCTCAAGCAAATATTCTTCGGCATCTCTTTCGATCGGCGAGGCAACTGCAAATACTCTGGTAGCCTATATGTAACAGGTTGTACGCCAGTGTAGGTCTTAAACGTGTTCAAGGACTTGCTGAAGCGAGCTCCTTGTTCTTCTCGTCTCCAACTCGAGTAAGATAAAGATCACAGTGGTCTCCCAGACAGGTCCATCTATTCGGCACTCGAATCGCAGAAAACTTCACACGTTAGTTATCTGGCTGTTTTAAGACTGATCCGATTATCTACCTGTACATATGCGACGATAAAGCCAACCGCAACGAGTGAGGTTATAGGCAACCGGAGCAACACCATTACACTAGGGGAAATGCGGACAAAATTAGAGCGCATGTAACTATTCAAGAGGACGTAAACCTTCTTGGAGCAAACTGTGACACTCTTTACGCTGCTCGACTCATGTCTATCGAGGTAGAGTTACTTCTAGAAGGCTCTTTTTACCACTGCGGCACGAAATATAGTAGGGTAAAGCTTCCACACCAGAACAAACCATTCCGCTGGCCAGGAAGCCGATACATTATACGCTAGCATCTAATTTGGTTCGAATGTCATGTACAGCATGGTATACTTAACTGAAGCCAGCATGATGCGCGCCCTTGTGGACGTAACGTTATGTGATATGCTGTCGCACCCCCGTTGGAGAAGGCCGGCTTCTATAAGAATGAAATTTCGTTTTGTTTGATATTCTATCTCATTATACAGGAGCATGACTACTACTATCCACTTCGTTTGAGCATATTACAACATGGTGACCTTGTTATAAAACCACGTCAGGTACACGTTGGTTAGCTACTCTACGTTCTTGAATTTTGAGGAACACCAAAGGTGTTGCAACCTGGTACAGCTTTTTACTGCGACGGCCAGGGTCGCTTCACATCGTTCTATCATGCCGCTTCATCACTTCACATCATCCTATCATGTCGCTTATTGGGTTATCTAAGAGGCTGCACAAGTATACGTAAAGATCACTTACAACTATCTTTCGGTGATGTATGGGTGGCAGGAGATGGCATAATATAACGCGATTAATAGTGTTTACATTTTGTACTTTTCATCCCAAGTAAGCAGAGATAACATCAGGAGATGATGTTCAGATGGCGTCTGAAAGGTCTTCGCTGCATCAAAATACTTCAATCCAGCAACATGATAAATCCAAAGGTGCCCACAGCGTCTTACTTCGCTAGTATACATACTGTATTCCATTCCCGAAGAAGTGCGAGGTAGACGTAATATGCTTGTTTGTACTCTGAGTCGCTTCCGAACAATATTAGTCGTCACACAAGGAATATTTCGAACCGAAAATGTTGCGATGCATGTGAACATTCCGTGAGCATACTAGTTAGTGCAAAAGCCTATGACACTTCACCGCACCGATATGTAGAGCAAGGTCAACTTGGACCGCGTGATCACCAATGTCAGTACAACGGCTGGAAGCATTTGACCACACTGGTGTGTAGACATAGTATAGCCTTTGGTACATAGTCATGAGAAGAATCGAATCACATCATCGCATCAAGGTATAGATATTGTTGCACTTGAAGTCTTGAATGCATTATGCTACGCTAAAAGCCGAAGACACCTGACCGAAACAAAGAGGAAATTGGGTATCATATCGAATACACTGATCCAGCCTATTCCTTCCAAAACGCCTATCACTCGATTGGGAAAACCACACCTCGTCCGTACATCGAGGCATTGTGCCTCAAACATCTTCGCTCTCTAGATACCGCTGCGTAATAAAACCCAGGAATACTTGAGAATGACGCTACGCGAAAATGATGCGGCTGAAGATGAGATATGATGAAACAAAGGCCGCCTGTGAGCCTACATACCCACTCTCTCACTATCGCACTTCCATAACCATCCGGGAGCTCTTGTCTGAACCTGCATTCAGCGATCAACACCCACCTTCCCAACACCCTTGCCCATCTTCTTGCCGACGTCCAGATCGTCAAGCTGTCCCTTCTTAAAGAAGTGAGGAGCTAGTTCGTTGAGCCATGACGCTTCGATTGGAGCGACAGTACGCATCCACGATTTTGAAGTCTCCACCTGCTCGAAGTAACATACCAAACGCGGCCGCTTGTCTCTCAAACAGGAGGATGGATGGATCCAGACTTGGTTGCGCGAGGAAAGGCAGCGATAGCTCATGCCATCCTTGTTCAGCCGGGCTGTATTGGCGAAGTATGCCGAAGTCCAACTCTTCATGATCTTGACGTGATCGGTTATTCCACAGCTACTCCTCTCTATCTCAACCTTGTCACAAAGTCTGAACAGCTGATCTCGAACATCGATCACGCGACTGAGCGACCGATACTGGACGAAATTATCTTGACACCAACTTTTACTGAAGCCTGTCTCCTCAAACTCGTTCCAAAGGTTCAGGAGTGAAATCATGTCCCCATGCTCTGATGCGAACCTCTGGCGTGCAAGGTCTGCTGCAGCTTTCTTGTCTTTTGGGCTGAAGAAAATCGTACTCCCCTCGCTGACTAGAGCAGCCAAAGTGACCATCTCATCGACGCAGCCGAAACTATCAGCAGCTAGCAGAACTTTCGCTAGCTTTGGATCCAATGGCAGCTCGCTAGCCCTTCGACCGAGCTTCGAGACCTGTCCTTCGCTGGTCAGGAATTGGAGTGCGTAGAGGTTCTCTAAAGATGCGATCATCGCTTCACCACTTGGTTGCGAGGGCAGATCGAAGTTCAGAATGTCGTTTATGCCCATCGACTTCAAGATGAGTATAAGGCTGTCGAGGGCAGAGCGGAGTATCTCTGGTTCCGTCTGAGCCGGCAATTCGTTGTAGAACGCGTATCGTGTGTACAGATGAAATGAAAGTCCCGGTCCAGTACGTCCAGCTCTCCCTGCGCGTTGAAGTACACTAGCCCTTGAAGTTGGCACTACAGATAGTGTCTCTGTGCCTAATCTGGCATCATATCGTTTTTGCTTGACCAACCCCGAGTCGATTACATAAACGATGCCGTCAATGGTCAGACTCGTTTCTGCAATATTGGTAGCACAGACGACTTTACGCGTACCGTCGTTAGGCACTGGATCGAAGATCAAGCTCTGGAGATGGCTCGGTAGACTACCATAGACTGGCGCAACTACGACAGGCGCCATTGTGTTTCCGAGCTTCTTGGCAGTAGCCTCGATAGATTCCACAGCCTGTATGATCTCGTCCTCTCCTGTGAAAAAAATTAACACATCTCCTTTTGGCTGTGACGCATGAATTTGCCAAAACGTGGTCAGGGCCGCGCTCAGGTAGTTGGCTTCCGGTTGCTCCGTGAAAAATTTCGTAATTGGGAATGAGCGACCAGGGCAAGAGAGTATTGGACTGTTGTCGAAGTATTCAGAGAAGAACTGTGCGTTGAGAGTAGCCGAAGCGATGACAAGACGAAAATCTGGTCTGCAACGAGTAATCTCCCGTGTCAGGACCATCAGCACGTCGGTAGCGATGGTCCTTTCGTGCGCTTCGTCCAATATGATGACCGAGTACTCTTCCAGTAAGGGTGACGTAAGAGCCTGTCTTAGAAGAAGACCATCCGTAAGGTAAACAATCTTAGTTGCATCTTTGTCAAACTTCTCCTCGAATCTCACTTGAAAGCCGACCTCTTTGCCCAACCGAACGCCAGCCTCTTCTGCCACACGTTTAGCAACGCTCATAGCCGCTACACGTCGGGGTTGGGTGCAACCGATGCGCCCCTTCGCAGCGAATCCAGCCTCAAAAAGGAACTGGGTCAACTGGGTCGTCTTTCCTGAACCCGTCTCACCGACAAAGACGAGTATCTGTTCAGTCTGTAGAGCCTTGATGAACTCATCCTTGTATTGGTAGACCGGTAAAGAACGGCGAACTTCCTCGATCGAGGCGGCATGCTTCTCTGCTTCGTCCACGAGCATCTCGAGCCTCTGCTTCTCCAGGTCAACCATAGGTCCATCATATACCACGTTCTGTGATGGGTCGAATACTAGCTCGTAATCCTGCTCTTGGACATCGGCAGACTTGGGTTGACTTTTTATCTTAGATAATTGTTCTTGCTCCCAGAGCTGGTATTCGCTCTTGTAGTCAACTTCTGTATCCTTGTGTCTGCGAGTGAGGGCTTCGTTTTTGTTCGAGTACTCGGCGTCGGGAATTTGGAAGCCAGAACCAGAATCGTCAATCGCATTCCGCGCCTCGGCCAACTCTAGGGTCTGACGATTCTTCTTGAACTCGGCTCTTTCTTTCTCGCTCAGCTTGTTGCCCAGTCTCTCCTCCTCTTCTGCTTCTTCGGCGACCTGGCGGCGAAGTAGGGCGAGTTGTTGGGCTTCACGTTCGGCAAGGTATTTCTGGCGCGACGCCAACCTCAAGGCGCTGACATCCTGGTCGCCGGTCTTGCGGCGTTTGGAATCCATGATGTGCGGTAGTTCGAGTGTGTTGGCGGTCGCGCGATTCGGCGGGAGCGTAGTGTCGAGTCGAGGGTATGGTGTGCGTATGCGTGCGAGGTTTGTGTGCGTGGAGGGTTCACTCGGATGGTGGAGCTGGACTACGAAATGTTGGAGCTCGGACCAGGTGGCGCTAGCTTGCTAGCGGGATGGAAGCTTCGATTGGAGACTACAACGAGGCTTGTCCGCAACAGGACGGATACAAAACTTGAGTCTGAAGCATGCACCGTCTTTCGTTTCATTCGTCTGTTGATGCAAGAGTCCGTGAAAACTTGTAGGACAGGCGCTTTTCAGGTGTAGATCTGGACGGATGAGCGTATTCGTGGACTGGATTCCGTTGTCTGGCACCGAAGGCTGGAGGTACTCGCATACGAAAATCACACTGATCGTCGCATAATAGTACAGCCGGGAGGCATTCGTGGGCAGGAAATCTGTGCTGACGCCGAGTCCTTCGCTAGGACTGCAAGGAAGTATGTCGCGGCTTCCGATGTTGGCAGGTGACGACTTGATGAGGAAGGCGCAGTGGTTGCGAGTGTTGGAGTGGAAGTGCGTGCATAGACAGGCATAGTACAGTAGTGTTGGCAGTCAAGACCGGATGCTGGGCTTCACACAGTGCGCTGATGAAGTTGAGCAGAAGAAGAGTGTAGGATGAAGGAAGGAAGACGGGAAGGGGGGCTAGCTATATGGCGTCTCAGGCACTAGCTTAGACAGCAGCCTAATACCTAGGTAAAAGATGGTTGTACCGAGACGGATCCATGGATGGGAGGTGAGTTGGCTGAAGCATGCAAAAGAGTTACAAGAGTGGGGCTACGTCATAGGCAGCCACCGTGAAGAGAAGAAACGGTAAAAGTAAAAGTGGAGACGAGAGAAGAACGAAGAGATGGGGATAGGTGAGTATTCGCATGAATGGTACGGATGGTAGCCATGGACTGGAACTCTTGCGTACGGTGAGATTCTGGCATGTATCAAGATGAAAGTGATCGCAGACTTTGGGACATTGCCTAGTATGAATGGAGCAAATACCATAGGTTTGCTACAGATACTGCACTCGGTCTATAAGCCTCGGAGAAATGCGCCATATCAGCTAACGATATCATGGTCATGGTACTGAACCGTACTTCGGCACATCATGCTATATGCTCTCGAGCTTACCACGTCACCTTCGACATCCTTTGTTGTTTATGTTGTTCCATAAATGTCGGCTGCTTCTTTGTTTGGGTCGCAGATGACGGTGCACTTCAACAAACACCAACCCTTCGCCGTTTTGCTCCGTACCCAATACCTGCCGTCCAACCCCAATCCCAAACCGCAACTTCCCTCATAACCAAAGGTCGCATCATGTCGAAGACCGCGGATTACAAAACAACATCCATGGTTGGCTGCGCCAACAACACAAAAAATTCATCCCATATGACTCCGTTATTATTTCGAACAGCGTGACGCACCGCGTTCTCGCGAATGAGGCAACAACGAATATTTGGCACGTTCATTTTAGGAGTATGGGCATCCCAAGATGGGTACTGATGTGCGTCATAATCATAGCGTGGCAAGTATATTTTGGCAACCGCGATGCTTCCTTACGAAGTCCATATGCGAAATATCAACATAGACGTCATTAAATGAACAAGTGCAGTGGCCAAGTCTTGCCAACGTAACAATATCATATTTCATTATCATAACCCACTACCTAACGCCGCCCATCTTAACACCACGCTTTATGAACGCTAGAAACTTTGAAAGACTATGCAAGCAACATCCACCACTCACTCAATGACTAATATACTGAAACACAGCACTAACATCCTTCAACCCATCGCTCGTCTCCTGCCTAAGCAAAAGATCCTGAATCTTGCCCAAGGGCCCCGTCTCGCCATCATTGACAAAGTGGTTCCACGTACTCGTATCACCATACAGCATCGCAGGGGCTTTCGCCACTTGCCTTCCATCTTCCTTCCTACAGCGCTTACACTTGAATGTGTCGTGTGTATCACTCGTGGTATTGTCGCGGTACTGGAACAACTCGCGGAGAGAGTCAAGTGAGAAATGGCGTTCAACATCCTCAGCGCTGTCGACGACACAAGACGATAGAGACTGTTTATGGGACTGGCGCTGGAAGACTTTCTCTTCGATAGTACCAGTGGTGATGAAGCGGTACACGAAACAATCTTTCTTCTGCCCGTCACGCCATACACGCGCAAGGGCTTGTTGATCGGCAGCGGGGTTCCAATCAGGATCGAAGAGGACGAGGCGATTCGCGCCAATGAGGTTGAGACCGCAACCACCAGCTTTGGAGGAAAGGAGGAAGACGAATTCGGGGCTTTCGGGGTCATTGAATTTGTCGACGAGCTTCTGGCGCTTGCTCACGTTCATCGTGCCGTCGAGCCGGAAGCAGCCGTAGCCGCGTGAGCGACATAGCATAGCGAAGATGTCGAGGGTTTGCGTGTAGTTAGAGATGAGGACGATTTTGTCGTTGGTTTCGGCGCGGATGCGGGCGAGCATGCGGTCTAGGACGGCCATCTTGCCGGAGTACCATGTCTTGACTTCGCGATCTCTGCCTCGCGCGTCCTTTTGCACAAAATCTTCTGGTAGCTTGTCTTCGCAGCCTGGCAAGTCTTCTGGTAGGTTGAGTAGGTCGGGATGGTTGCACAGCTTCTTGAGCATGCCAATGACCTTGAGCGGCTGCGAGCCTTTGCCGCGGAGCAGACTCTGGACATCGGGTGACTTGATGAAGTGGTTGTATAGGTCCTTCTGGAAAGGCGCCAGGTTGCAGAAGACGACGTGCTCGTACTTGACTGGCAGGTACTTGGAGAGAATGTCGTTGGTTCGCCGGATGATGAACTTGTTGACCAGGCCGAGAAGCTCGGTGAGCCGCTCCGTACCCTTCTTGACATCCTCATCCGTTCCGTTCGCATCGCGACCTTTCAGAATGGGAATCTCGTAATGCTTGCGGAACTCCATGCGTGTACCAAGGTAGTTGGGGTTGGCGAAGTTAAGCAGCGCGAAGTACTCTGATAGATCGTTCTGAATGGGTGTACCAGAAAGAATAACTCTCCTCTGCACGTTCAGGTTGTTGAGCGCGGTAAACGTCAAACTATCACCGTTCTTCAGGCGATGTCCCTCGTCGCAAAGCATCAAGCCGATGGGTGTCTGTCCGAACTCGTCGGCGTAGAGTCGTAGCGTTTCGTACGACACAATGAGGACAGGTCTGACAACTGCGCGCCCGGATGCGATCGACCATTGCCGTATTTGCTGGATGAGCTCCTCCTTCGATGCCTTGCCGTCGATTGCGAAGGGTGTAACAGCGTCCTTCCCGAGCCACTTGATAAGCTCGTTCGCCCAATTCCTCACCAAACTCGAAGGGCAAGCGATGACGCACTTCTGTATCGTTGACTTGCCGGCATCGGGTGACTGCTTGAGTAGTGTCCACATGAGCGCGATACACTGCAGCGTCTTTCCAAGACCCATCTCATCTGCCATGATGCACCCGTTCGCCTTGGGATCGATCATACCCGTCGTAGCTCTATACAAGAACTTGACACCTTCGACCTGATGCGGTCGCAGAACCTTCGCAAGTCTTGGATCTATGACGACTGGCACGCGCGGTCGGTCATTATCCACCTTCTTCTTCAACCCCAGTATCTCCGCCAAACTCTTGTGTACCAGCGGCGCCTCCATCTCCTTCTTCTCCGTCTGACTCAGCTTCGGTTCCGCCTCTTCCTTCGGTATCGGCTTATCATCAACCGTAGGATCGTACAGTACTATCGCGAACTCTCCACTAGGGTCGTGCAGTGGTCGCGCAATAAAGACGGTTCCGGTTCGCATACCCAGCAGCGGCGCCGGTCGATTCGGATTGTAGGCTCCAACATCCTTGTTGACTAAAGGAACGATGAACTTGGTTCTGAACGCGGTATCTTTGTCTTTGGGCTTGAAAACGGGAAATCGGTTTGCATCTCGTGTGGCGAGGGCTAACCGGTCTTCATTCGAGTATGGCTTATCGCTCTCTCCATCTTCGCCTCCAGCACCAGAATAATCGACCTTCCTCCTCTTCCTTGCAGGCTTCGTGGAGACACTGGATACTGTTGCTGAGCCGGGACATCGGAAGGGCTTGATGAGACGTTCAGTCGACTGAGGAGTGCCACCATACAGACGCGCCGCGGGCTTCGCCGGGGTGGCCTCGCCCGCTGCGAGAGTCTTCGGTCGATGCATGAGGAATTGACACTTCTGGTGGGTGGTACGAGGTTTCGCAGCCTATGTTCGGTCGACGTGGTGGGTGTTGGGAGGAAAGCGAGTGTCGTGCGGGAATGCTGATCAATGCTCGCAGGTGGCGGAATTGCGACGCGTAGATTGTTAGCTTCATCACGTCGTCACGTGGGACGACAGGCAACATCGTCATCCCACCAACATTCAGAATCTCTATCATACCTAAAATTGGCATCTCCATTACAACCCGTTCACATTCCTGTTATTTATATACGTCTAACGCGTCAATCTCACACCTCAACATATTCCAGAAAACCCTGTGACCGACACCTCCGAGCCCATCTCCGCAAATTCCCCAGCACCCACCCTAACACCTTCCACATCCCCACCCACCATGGCGCGAAAAGCAATAGCAAAAGACCAAATTGTCAAATTGATCGTAGGCGCAGGGCAAGCGTCGCCCTCGCCGCCCGTCGGTCCCGCGCTGGGAAGTAAAGGTGTGAAGAGCATGGATTTCTGCAAAGTACGTCAATCATATCCCCCAGCTGTCGCATGTCTTCGTACACCATTGTCGCACACCCAATTCATGTATACTAATAATTATACAGGAGTTCAACGCCCGCACCGCCCACTACACAACCGGCACCCCAATTCCAGCCCGCATAACAGTCCGCCCCGACCGATCCTTCCACTTCCAACTACGCACACCCCCCACTGCGACCCTCCTCCTCTCCGCCGCCGGCGTGCTCCCCACCAAGAACAAGATCAGAGGTGCCGGAAACGTGCCCGGCCCCATGAACAACCACGATGGACAGAAGGGCAAGACGTCAACGAGTAGTCCGACCGTGGGCAACGCTGTGAAGGGCACGGTAGGGACGGTCAGTCTGAAGCATGTTTATGAGATTGCGAAGATTAAGCATGGGGAGACGAGGTTGAGCGGGTTGAGCTTGGAGGGTGTGGCGAGGAGTGTGGTGGGGCAGGCGGGGAGTATTGGGGTGGTTGTTGTGCCGTAAATGGTGGAAGGATTGCTGGGAAGAGGTGGAGATTATGGAAAATTGAAGAGATGCAAGAGTACCTGAGCCAGCACGAGACGATGCAAGGCGAGAGTTGTGTAATGCGGCTTGGGCGTGATGTATACTTCAAGGGTATTTACGCATGAAGTGGAGAAGAGTTTGTACAAATACTGTATACCTTGATAGACTCATGATGCATGAACAATTTCGACTGTATGTGGCTTGGAATGCTAGATTGGGCTTGCGATCAGCTGGTCCAATTGATTGAGTACGACGAGGCTTTTGTGCCAACATATATCTGACTATATCTAACAATGACTGCGACAAGATACCAATGACACTTCCCACTATTACATCTCTACCTCAAACCATCCTCACACCACCTTCAATGCGAGAGTAGACTCGGCACTGTAGCTGCGTTCCTTCCGTTCGAGCTGATGCTCAGTATTATCTTGAGTTCCCTGCGAAACCCATCGGCACAGGCATGCTCCCATGTAATCTCGTCATCTAGCAGTAATGACTGGCGCTGTCGTAAAAGTCGTTCGTGTCTGCTTCACGAAAACCCATAAACACCGCCCTGCTCCTGAAACCTCAACTGATGATCCCTCAAATCCGCCCAAAGCCTCAACTCACTCTCCTCATCAAGCGCGCCACTCGGATCACTCGCCTCAGGACTCACCCTCTCCAACTTACTCAATATATCCAAGAACTTGTAAAGGTAATCCTGATGCTGCAACGCCACACTCCCCCTTCTCTCCTTCGGCACCTCAAGCAGCGTGCTAGCAATTGAGCGAATCTTCTGTGTCTGTGTCGACATAAACCGTAAGCTTGCGATCGGGCTGATGGTGTTTGGGCGAAAGAAATCAATTGTCGACATGGAGAGGACGTAGTCGTCAATCTCATGGACGGGATAGAGGAAATCTGAGCTTTGCAAGTAAACGTATAGACTTACAAAGGAGTCGCCGTTGGGCTCCATGTTGACCATGTCGATGCTACCCAGTACCACGAGGAGGTCTTTGACCACTTGTTCGCGCTCTTCTGACATTGCCTTTTCGAGCGCGTCGGCTTCGGTTGTTGTTCCAGATACAAACCTGTCCATTCCTGCTGCGAGGACGTTGGTCGTGTTTTGCGTGCCAGCTTCGCCCGTCGACCTCTGGTACTTATCCAGTTGAAGAAAGTACTTTTCGACAAGGTGCGAACGAGTGGATAGGTGACTGGCATAGATGTTCGCTTTTTGGATCTCGTAGCGTCGCAATTCGTGCGCTTCTGGTTTGTGATGAATGTCCATGGTGGGGTCTCGCATCCCAGAGTATTCTGGCATGGGCGGGTAGTAGGGTTTCTGCTGTTCGAGCCCACTATTGCTGCTGGACTTTGGTCGGACTTTGAGCACCTCTGGTAGGCTGTCCAGAATCTGCCTACAGCGCTGCAGGCTTTGTGTGAAGATCTGTTGTTGTCGATCCCAGTCGAATATCTCGTCAATGCCAAATGCCATCTCTGCCGTTGCTAGCGACGAGTATGACAGAAAGATGCGCACGTTGATGTTGAACCCAGTGAGCATGGAGACGACCCCTTCGCGCTGCGGTTGTATCTCGTTTGGGAAGATGTGTACATCGTCGACTTCTCGAGGGAGCGGTGGCAGAGGCTCAGTAGGTGTTGCAGGCGCAATCATCAGCTCTCCGAAAGAAGCGCCGAGCTGTTGTATGGTCCTGTCAAAGTCAGTCATGGTCCACGCCGGGAGAATGCTAAACATACCGCACGCCCACAAAGGCCGTCCAGAACACGCGCCGACCAATCTCCTCGGTGATGTGGTCTACTTTAAACTCTCTCGAGCCATCATGGTTCGGTCCGTTCGAGCCCCACGCACTCGGCATGCCACCAAGATAGGTATAGCCCTGAGCCTCGGGTTTATGAAGTCCCAGCGAGCGTATGATAGTCAGACACTCGGCCAAGTATAGTCGTAGTTGCCGCCATTGGAATACGTAGGCTCCGGTCAAGCCGAGGAAGTAGCTGGTACAGGCGTCGTACACGTTCAGAGAGGGCCGATCGAGATAGCCAGGCCCTCGCGCCCGCGCGCACACGTCCCGGCACTTGTCGACGAGGGAGAGGTGGTTTGGGTATTCGCGTCGCGTCTGTGTGTTGAGATGGAGGCGTGGTTTTCGAGGAAAGGACGCGACGAGGACCGCGATCATGGACGCCAGCAAGGCAAGGAACGAGGGATTCGTCAGGTCCTCCCTACGACCCCATGCTTCGCGGAACGACGGCTCGTGTGGAAAGGGACATAGCGGGTGTATAAATGTGAAGAAGTCATCGATGAGGGCGTTTAGGGTTGGCAGGGCGCATATCTCTTCGGCGGAGAGCTGGGCTGGATGCGACGACTGCAGTTGCGCGAGCGCATGGGCGGCATTGGTAGGAGACTGCGGCGTCGACGGTTCGGAATCCAGATCGCCTATCCTGCGCTTCTTGATCGCTTCGGCATGCCTATTAGGCGGTCCGCGTCGTCGGCTCGGGCGCTCAAAGGTACATGGAATCTCCAGCGCGAGGCAAGCTCTACACGGCGGGCCCGATTCGTCGCACTACAGACGTCAGTGTCAGCGTGTTTATCATGACATTAGAATGGAACGCGCCCACCTTAACTTTGCGAATGCTGCACGAATCACAAGCTTTGCGCAGGCGGTTCGGCTTGGACTGCTGCGGCAGCGGAGGATTCAAGGCATGGTTCGCTTGGAGAGCCTGCTGGGCCTGGAGCACCTCGTTGATATTCTCGAGCTTCGGATATGCGGCTTCTTGCGGGTAGGCTATGCGCGACGATGGTGCCTGACCGTCGAGAACCTGCCCGTTGGGATACAAGGGCGTGTAATTATGCGGGTCCTGGCCGTCTGGTGGTGCAGGATACTGCGACGCATGCGGAGAAGAAGTCATGGCGTAGCCGCAGTTCTACCGTGACGAGGGAAGGACGTTGGCTGATGTCCCCGTTAGCTTCCGGTTAAAGAAACAACAGCTCGGCAGCTTCCAGATGTATCTTTCAGACAGGGCGCGATCAACTGCCTGACCGAACGTGACAGGTCTAGTAGAGTTTCTAGTAGGCTTACTTGCATACAGGTTTCGCGGTCCGATCAGACGCGGCGATTACCGACACGGTTAGTTGGATACAGGGACAAGGAGAGATGGTCTGAGACCGCGCGCGGTGTGCGATTGAGTGTAATAAGACCAGATGCTAGCAATTGAAGGAGGGTGACGATTCAAAGTTGATGTTGCTAGGCATTGCATGCTCATCGCATGAAAATTCAGAGGCTGTTTCAAGCTACAGATCATGTTAGGGCAGGCACGATCCGCAAGACGAAAACATCTTCTCCAGGACCCCCAGTCTCGTTACACCACGTTTGATAGTACTCATTTCTGCTTGAATATAGACCCGTCGCATCCAGATTCAGATTCGCTCAATGACGCAATTGAGATCATCTCCTAGCGCGTCGATCTCCTCGAAAGGAGTGTACTCCGAGATCCACGAACGCATGTTCGTCCGATGAACGAATCGCGTAAACATGATATGCCATGGACACGTTCGGTTTGCTTAGAATTGACATTTGGACTAGAGAAGATATCGGTGTAAAGAATGAAGCATTCGTATCAACGCCCGCTAATCCCTTCAAATTGGTATCTATGCTTGCATCATGCCTGTCACATCTTAACCCACCGTATAATCCACCTTAGAACCCGCCGTATAATTCAGTTCCTCTTGACATTACCCCCAATCACCACCACTTCCCACACCGCTACCACCCATCATCCCCAGCAGGTTGTCCCCATTCGACAACCTCATCCCCCTGTCAATCGCTATCATCACTATCTGGCGCACTCCTTGTCGGCGGCCGTGAACTACGCGACAGCGAAAAATCCAGAATGTCCGACTTGGAACCTGCATCGATGAATTTACGCAAACACCATCCTATCTGCACTGCCGTCGAAGTCTCGTTGCCGAGTGGGTCGATTTGACGGCCTTTAACGAAGACTAAGTAAATGATATTAGCACAAACATCTTGTGGGTTTGAGGGCAGTACATACTAATCTGGTTCTGGCTATCCTCGCGATCGTACACTTTATCCGATGAGCCAAACGCGATGATACCCAGCTTAGAACTCATCTCCTTCTCCTTCGCATGAGCGGCGCTGCGGTCGAAGCCCTGTTGTGCCAAACCGGCAAGCAAGTGTTCGTAGATCTTGCGTGGTAGCTTAGTCGATGAAGGGCTGTTGGTAGGCCAGGTGGTGATGTTCAGTGTCGCTAGGTTACGCAAGTCACCAAGACAGTTCTCGAAATTGACGAAGCTGTCGTTCTTGCTGCGGATGACGCTGACACTGGGGAAGGCTACGGAAATCTGCTCAAGCAGTGTGCAGTCTTTGCAGATTTGCGAGAAGGAGGCATAGTCGTAGACCAGCTCTTCGTCGCAGCTGTCGGGACCGGTGCTCGCGTGTACGTTGAGGCTTTTCAGTGTTTTGCTATGGCGTACGATGCCGGCGGCCGCTGGTAAGGCTTTGACGTATGTGAGGTCGAGAGTCAGGGTCTGAATGCCAGAGACGAGAACGAGGAAACCGTCGATAGCGCCCAAGCCGTCGTTCTCTGCGTTGTCATCGTGTTTGAACTCCAGTGTGTCCAGCTTATCGGGCAGCTTTGAGCTTTTGCTGAGCTCTGCAAAGAGGGCATCAGCACCAGAACAGCCGAAGATGCGAATGCTTTTAATAGACCGGAAGTCAATCAACTTGCAGTATGTTTCCGAAGCATAGCGTAGATGCAGCTTTTGTAGTGTGATTTCATTGAGTGTGATCGGCGTGCACTTTGCGAACGGCTGCATATGGCTGAACATGGTCGATGTGATGAGCCCAGGTGCATTGACCGTATCGTTCAGCTCGCGCATAGTAACGGTCGGATCCATCTCATCGAAGCTGGCATGCAGCGTAATCTTCTCCAGCTTGCGCCCAGCCACGTTCTTCAGCAAGAAGTGACAAAAGTCCAGGACCTCGCGAGAGTCTGGGTATAGTCCAAGCTTCCGCACTTCCTGAAAGCACGTTTCGATATTCGGCAGCTTCTGTAATTCTGGCAGAACGTTGCGATCCAGCGAAATGCTCTCCATCCACCGCATGCGCTTCTGCTTCTTGTATAGCAACACCAAGTTGTCTCCGGAAAACGGCGACCACGGGTGCCACGAGAACTTCTCCAGTTGGTTCTCCGGTAGCAGCTCCAAGATCATGCGAATAGCAAAGTTGGCTTGTTGCTGCTGGTTGCATTTGTCCAGGACATCTGCGAGGTAGAGATCCAGCTTCCGGACATGTTGTAGGCCGATGTTCTTGGGATTGAGGAAGGCTGCGAGGCGCGTATCGTGGGGTGAACCAACGTCGAGGGTTACTTCGTAGTAGAGTTGGCGGACGGTGATCTCGTGGAGTTGTTTACAGGTGAGGCAGAGGTTTTTGAGGTCGGTTGGGCGGTTGATCTGTGTGGTGTAGTGTCAGCCTGGTGCTTCTTCTGCTACCTTGAACTCGCCATGAACCCAGAGACTTACATGCTGGACTATCAACGTCTTCAGATCGACCGAAAGGTCCATAAAAGCCAACCGCGGCGCCATCATGTATGCCTTTCCTCGACTCCCTCCAGATATCGCAAAGAGCACCTCGTAGCAAGTTCGCTCGTCGCCTTATCGATATGCGCGACGGTCAACGTAAGTCTTGTTCTTGGCCTTTGAAGTCTTTCTTCCCCTCTGTTGCCTAATCGCCCGCAAAATACACAGCTGCAGTCGATCGCAATACGTCCGGCAAACTGACCGGTAAAAGTGGAGTAGGAGCGGATGGGTTGATGGGCAGGAAAAAGGAAGTAAGCGCGCAGGCAAGCAGCCCTTCCTAGGTTCAGCCTCACTTGTGTCCCGCCAAAGAGACCCACCCACCAATGTAGCTCCGCGTAAGAACAAGGGTCCACGCGGGAGGTGAATAGCGCTAACCTAAGCGACAAACTGGGGTAAGCTTGGGCTGTGAACGCGTGTGCAGCGCTGGCTGGTTGTAATTGGAGGGTGGTGGGGAACATGGAGAGGGGAGTGGTTTGGATGACAGCTCGGTCGCAATGCATTTGATCGTCGCCAACAGTCTAGGACATTCTACTACTTTCGCGCTCGAGCCTGCACTATTCCTTGCGATGACTTCCGTTGTATGGTCTGGGGTTTGGCAATCGTGGTTTCCCAGGTCCGTCTTATGCGATTGGCTCATTTCTCAATCCCCAGAATACGTAGGATTTTACTTTTAACATTGACAGCTACGTCACATCCACGCATCCATTACACGTGCCTCAAGGCTCGACTTTCCGAATACATCCATTCGTTTTCCAATCAGCTACCCGCTGTCAGAAACGCCAGGCATCGACAAACACGTTCAACCATCACCAGGATAAAGTACGAACCTACTATATTACATCAGGGTAACACATCACAACACACAAATACATCGAGTAAGCCATCGTAAGTGCCCGGGTGAGTGTCCAAAAAGATAGATATCGTATACAAGTCCAAGCGTTCATCACCTCTATCATCACATCTCTTACACCCTCAACTTCCTACCCAGCACCGACACTCCCCACCGCCTACACTGGTGCCCCTCCCCCATACGCCTCCGACCCCATTGCCGCATACCCCATCCCACCCGCCGTCCTCCCCGTCTTAGCCATCTCCCTCCCCGCAGCCGCAGGATCGTATTTGCGTGGGCCCTCTTCATCGTCATCTGGATTCTGTCCAGTCGTCGAGGGATTCGCGTTGGTGTTGTCGGCGGGCGCAGCCCATTGCTCAGAGTGAGGGTTTTTGGGCGAGAGGGAGGAGGTCATGCAGCCCATTTTGGAGAGCGTTGGAAGGGGATGTGGGAGGTGGAGGGTTGTTGCTGTGATGTGATGTGATAGGACGGGAGGCGCGTAGAGGTGAGTTTGGTAGTGGGTTTTGGTGTCAAGACTGTAGGTAGGTAGGTAAACAGATCTTAGTAGAGGTACGGCGAAATAGTTGCGATGAGTACTGCACTGTCTCTTCCAAAGCTCCTACATTCAGACCCCCAAAACAAGCGGTACTCCCAAAAGCTTAAGTACCCCAACATGCTTAATTCCTTCTCAACTCCTTCTAAGCGATGGTGATGGATGCATACATGCTTTAATTTACCCGGTCGATCAACCCGTGGCGGAGCAGGGCTGTGCAAGGCGAACATCATGAGAGAAGCTCAACTCGGTGTAGCTGAGAGCGCCAATGAGGCGCTTGGCGTGTCTTGAGGGAGTGATAATCTCTTCCCATTGTCGTGTTGGTATGTCGTGTGTTGATATGACTGAGTGCTCCGCCACCACAGTCGCCACCACATATAATACCCGACCGTGTCGCGTGTCAAGTCACGAAAGCACCTCATACAAAAAAAACATGAACAGGTCTGCCGCCTACATTGTATTGTACACATGCAAACTAGGTGACCATGAACAGGTCCGCAGCCTGCATCAAATTGTATACATGCAAACCACGTGACCCAACGTCAACGTAGGCTCAAGGGTGTCCCACAAACTTACCAGATATGATAAACGCCCAATAGCCAAACTCCTCGCTATGCATGTCTTATACCCAGTTACATCAAGAAATCATGCCCATGTCAAATACTAGTCCTCTCCATCGCTATCGTCGCCAAAGCCCGCCAATAACTCCGCCTCAAGACCATCATCGTAGTCTTCCGGGTTCTTCATCTCCTCCTCATCGACGTCGTTTTCCCCTTGGTCTTCTTCCGGGCCAGTGGTTTCCGGGCTGGGTAGGCCGGATTTATCGGCGGTAACGACGTTCGTGAGGGATGTGACGCGCTCCATGGTACGTTTCTTCCGCCGTTGGAGACGTGAGGTGCTGTTGACGCTGCTATCGCTTTCACCGTCGTTCTCGGTCTCGCTAACGTCTGTGGAATTGGTGCGTTTCCGCTTCTTCTTGGCTTGTTGCTTGGTATCTGATACTGTGCTGTTATCTGAACGGACGCTGTCGGTGTCTGACTCGCTACCGCCATCTGTGTCGGTTTCGTTCATGAAATCCGCTAGCTCATCGTCGAGTTGCGCCCAATCGTCATTCGACATTTCGACTACTGGGGAAGCATCAGCTGCTTCATCCCCTGTTCCATCAATGCTTTCGTCTTCGAGGTCGGCGATGGGTGAGCCACCTCGCTCCGCCGCATCGGTCTCGATTATGTAGGGTGTCTCGTCGACATGCTCCCATCTGGTGCAGCATTGGAACATCCATTCGGGGTTCACGATTTTGATGTAGGGGTATCGGGCGGCTCGCTTTACTTTGGTCGTCTTTCGATCAGGGTTGGCGATTACGTGGGTCGTTCTCCGGGTGACGTTGGTGGTGACTTCAGCGCCAAAGCTTCCGATCCATAGTGCGAAATCCGAGCTGATGAAGGTTAGCTGCGCTCTGCAACTTCATTGCCGAGTACTTACGTTAGGACATCCACACCCAGCGGAATGATGCCAGAAAAGACGACCACCGCGCCGTCGAGCACCTCGCTCTTGATACGCGGCATAATCTCGGCAACATCAGGAATGACGTCTTCTGTGGAGCGTTTCTTCGGGCTCTTCTCGCCCTTGAGCTCAGCCACACGACCGCCTGTTGGCACCTTCTTGGCCTTCCTGTATTCGTCGTAGAATGTGCGGTGGACGAGGTTGAGGTTGTGCTCGATGACGTCCAGCCCTCTGTCGTCATCGTTGAGGATACTGTGTCGGACCTTGGGTTGTTCGACCGGTCGTGAGTCGCGGGTGTCAACCTCGGCAGGTGTCTCTTCATCCTCCCTATCTTGCATGAGCTGTTGTTGCAGTAGAGGCCGCTCTGTTTGTTGCGCGATGATGAGCTTCTCCTGCTCTTTGGCCTGTTCCTCCAAGTCTTCAGTTGCCGCTAATGATATCAGTTGCTGTCCCAGCTCGTTGAGATCGCCGTTCGTAGCGTCGGTCGTTGTCTCCAGCGGCTTGCCTGGGACAGATACGACATTCGTGGTCGCTCCTTCAGTCGTGGCCTTCTTCGGGGTCGGGGGCGATTTGTCCTTTGCGAATGACACAAGCTCCTGCTGCTTAGGTAGGAAACTCGCATTGATATCTCCAGCGCCGGGGAAGAAGTTGAATACGGGTACGCGGACGAGGTGCGGGCTGTATTGCCAGACGTCTGCTCTGTCATCGATGATGACGCACATGGCCGTGTTCTGGTAGAAGAGTCGCGTCAGGCTCTTCAGCTTGTCTGTGTAGTTCTCGTCGCGACTGAGGATGCGGTCGCCAAAGTACTTGCGCTCGGGATCGATGATCTTCGCAACGGCTTGCGCATATGCTCGGGTGGCCATGGTGTAGACGTGCATCTCGTAGAGCTTCGAGACTCGGTCGAAGAAGTCCTTGAGACCTGGGCGCATCTTGACGTAGTACCAGTTTGCAGCCACATTGGAGACATTGTCATCCGCCAACTGGAAGCCCTGTACGTCTTTGACGGCATCGTGGTTCGGGTTCTCGGGGTCGGCTTTCCATTCGGCAATGGTGCGCTCGCAGGTGGTGTGGATGACGGTCTGGTCCAAATCGACAATGAGAGTCAGCTTCCGCGCGCTCAACAGGCGCTTCTTGGCGTCCTCCTCCGCGGCCACCGCCTCCTTGTGACTGACGAGGAGCGCCGTGTTGTCGTGCGCCATGTTGACCGTCGCGCGTCCTACGTCGAGCTCCTTGGTGAGGTAGTCGACCTGTGTCATGTCTCGGCCGCAGTCGACGCAGAGGCCGCCAAACTGTGTTTCGTGCGTGCATGGCTCTTCAATCTCGAGGAGTGGAGTTCTGTGGGCGTGTTAGCATATTGCGCGCGCAGCAAGCGCGCGGTAGGCCTACCCATATCGTTCAATGACGGTGCCGGGCTTGATGAACCATCGCGTGATCTTTCCCTCTGTGCTCGCGGCGAACGTCTCCCTGAACTTCTTCATGACCGTCTTTTCGCCTCCCCATTTGTCGCCCTCGGTGACGCGACTGTCATAGCTGTAGTTGAAGAGCTTCCCCGATCGCTGGACATCATCGTCGCGTTTCTTGAGGAGGTCGATGACGGTGACGGGATAGCTGAGATCCCGGGGCGAAACGATCTTCATTCCGAGGTGGTGAGGCAGCCCATGCGACTGGCGACGTGGTGGTGATGGTGGGCGCGTTGTGCTTCGGCTCGGCGCATTCAGTTTGCTTTAGGCGGAGCGTCTCATACAAGGAGGGAACTGATCAGATTGGAGGACTACACTGGGATTGAAGAGGCGAATTAGAAGATTTGGAGCTGATGTAGCCTCCAGGTGTTCAGTTTTCTCCTTGGTTGGGGTGGGAGCGTGGGTGAGAGTGTGCGCGACCGGGGTTGACGTATGGCGTCGCGGCTCGGTTTGCCCCAAATATTTGGAGCGAGGGGCGGCCATCTTTATACCTCTCAGCCACCATACTAGCGCGACTGCCACCACCAAAGACAAAGAGCTCTCTCTGCGAACAAGACGACGCGTCTGTCAACAGTCATCACGACTGGATCTACGAGTCGTCGACAGGTACAACGATGCCTAATCTCAGAGCCCGATGCAAGCAATGCTTTTTCTACAATGGCAATACCTTAGCATGGTGCATGGATAGGCAGCCTAGACGCGTCTGAAGCCCCGAGGAATGCCAAGACATGGCCGTTGCGAACATCAGGCTACGACATTCCACGATTTGTATGGAGATGAATCGACTATGCTATATGCACGACCTTTGCAGCACCTAGAACTCATGGTACTATACTCTTGCTGCTTACATTAGTACATGTCGTCGCAGCTTTGACTCACCAAAAGCCCATGCAGCCCTCATATTCGCTTCAACACTACAATCTCTAGGCTGCACTCTGCTAACGTAGTATTCCGTCGCTATCACAAAACCCATCAACATCGATCGATGAGCAAGTTATACACAGCCAGAGTACTTGCAGCATGTAGAATACTGATACTTCACTGTTGCGAACACAACCTAGGTAGGGCTACAAAATGCTCGAGTCTTTGGGCTGCACATGAGCAACAATGTATTCGTTAATTATCTAACCCCCCATAATCTATGAACTAGCGAGTCAAGACACGTCAAGTATCTATGCACCACAGCCAGGCTGCGACAACCCATCGCGCGCCCCTGAACGTACGCACAACCCATCAACACTTCACTGTCATGAACACTAGGCTGCGACATTGCAGGATCTTTGTCGCTCCGACGACTAATGAATACATATTTTCGCTGCATACACTCATACATGTTGTCGAAACTTAAGTCACCAAAAACCCGTGTAGCCCTCTTGCACGCTCTGGTACAACTCCTAGGCTACATTTTAGCAACCATGTACATCCATCTTCATCTAGAATCCCGCAATTTATCAAACATGATCTTGCGCAGTCGAACAGAGCTTACAGCTTTGCAGCACATGCAGGCAACAATCACTCATCAGCCACGACGTTAGCCCCGCGCAGCTCAATCGAACACCTTCCAACCTTGGGACACACCCAAACTTCTTTTGCACATGGAAATGTAGAATTGTTCATTCCATTACCTACGCCTCGTAACGCTCATAACCAAAAGATACGTGCGCATAGACACATCAAAACCGCGTGGTATCTTAGCAATCTACTCTATAACTCACTCATGACCCAGAACGCCTTTCGCCATACCCAAACCCATACCCGCACCCCATTGACACACATTAATGACTAAGAAACCTCACCCCCTCAATCCCAACTCACTCCTCCCCCTTCGCCGTCTTCGCCGTCTTCCCCTTCGCTTTGAGTACCATACTTCCCAACACCAAACTGCCGCCCCCCATCCTCGACGCATCCTGTCCCATCCCCGCGACAGGGTCCTTGACCACATAAGGACTAGCTTCCTCGCCCTCCTCAACAATCGTCCAGTCGTCTTCGCCGCCGAACCCATCGTCCGTGGCGTCGGCGTCGTCGTAACCGGGCTGTTTGCCTTGTGTCTTGATAAGCGTGCGTGCGCGGTCGAGTTCGCGGTAGATGGTTTGGATGGCGACTTGAGTGCCGTTGTCCTGTCAAACAAATACGTTAGAAAAACTGTAGTATGAAAATGGAGATGGAGGAGTGTGCTTACCTTCCTAATCTTCTGCCCCAAAACCTTAGCCTTGGCAATATACCTTTGATTATTCGTAACCTCCCAAAGCGCACGGCTAAAAACACTAGTATTGACCTTCTTGAGCCAGATTCCCACATCAAGATCCTCAATGCGTTGTGCAAAGAAAAACTGATCCCCAAAAAACGGTTTGATAATCGTCGGTATACCAGCGCGCAGACTAGCTCCTGTAGTCCCACTCCCACCATGGTGCACAGCCGCGTCCATCTGTTTGAACAACCAGTCGTGAGGCGCAGATTGAATCTGGAAGATTTCGGGCGGGAGGGGGATTTCAGGTTTAGATGCGTCTTTGGTTTCGAGACGATCGGACCAGCCTTTGGAGAGGACGCAGCGGACGTCGGCTTTGAGGACGGAGTCTACGACTGTTTTTGTGAGGGCGGCGGGGTCGTCGATGACGATGGAACCGAAGCCTACGTAGACGAGTTTCTTGCCGTCGTCGCGCGCTTTCTTGATGAAGGCAGTTAGGTCAGCGGGAGGTTCGTAGCCCTCGCTCTCGTCGAGGAACCAGTATCCGGTGACACGGACCCAGTCGGGCCAGTCCCAGGGTGGCGGTACGACGTGAGGACTGAAGTTGTACAGAAAGGGGCGCGTGTGCGCCTGCATCTTACGCATGGTCGTGGCTGGAAGTCCCAGCTCGCGTCGTCGCCAGGCGTTGATCTGGCCGGAGATTGCTAGCCAGAACATCTTGTCGAAGATTCCGTACGTGAATTGATTGTAACTGCCGCCCTGCTTGTTCTCCATGACAGCGAATGCGTGCGGGTACGTTCGCGTGCGCGTCCATGGCATCGTGAAGGCGCGGAAGTACGGGACCTCTAGAGCCTCTGCGATGTGGATTCCAGCCATGGTGCTCGGGCTCTCGATAATCAGGTCTGCACCTTGACATGCCCGCCAGGCAGAACTACACACGTCATCGAGCCATCCGCGGAACTTGGCGTTGGCCTCTCTCAGGAAGCCGACTGTAAACATGCCGTGCTCGACACATATCCGCATGAGCTCGGCTGGGTTGCCGTCGACGACCGCGAAGTCGATACCATGCTTTCGCACCCAGGGCTCGAATTCGGCGTGAGTCGCGATACGCGCCTTGTGTCCCTCCTTGATTAGCTCTTTGCATAACGCAATGTAGGGCTGCACGTCGCCTCGAGATCCGATGGTAAGGCAAACAATATTCAGCGCCTCCGCGGGCTTGAAATCGATGATAGAGGCAAGAGGGTCGTCGAATACGAGGGGAATACGATCGCGCTCCGCAGCGCGCACGACTTCCGATACATCCACCTTCTTGTCTGTGTCGGTATGGTCGCGAGCCTGTTGAAGCAGGTCATGCTCCGCCTTTGCAGCCTCGTCCTCACTGTCGACGCCCGAAGAAGACGAATCCTCATCTTCGAGGTACCTGTTGTTCTCCAGAACGCGGTGCACCATGATGGCACATTCATCGCGATACTCGGCCTTTGAGAACTCGAAGAAGAGCTCTTCGTGGCCCTTGATGACGACGGCAAGACCATGGTAGCCCAGTCGGAAGCCCTTTTCCTTGTTGACATTCTCGATATCCCGCATGGGGATAATAACCTTGGTCTTGGACGTAGGCAGCAGGCCGCGGAAACAAAAGTAGTTCCCGCTGATATAAATCTTGCCATAGTTTGGTAGGACGCGCTGCAGCGACGCAAAAAACGACGACTGCAACACCTCGGTGTCAGGGAAGGCGAAGTGGTTTTGAAAGTTTTCCGCCGCCTTCGCCGCGTCCTCGTCGTCCTCGAACCCATGAACCTGATCTCCAGTTTCCAGTCCGTCGGCAGTGGTATAATGCTTTCGCCCGCCTGCGAGCATACCAGACACCTTCTCGTAGTAACCCATGGATTCTGTCGCGAGTAGATTACCCATCTTCTTCGAGCGGGTCCTGAAGAATCCCGCTAGGCCCGACGCCTTCTGAAGCGGGTAGGAGGCGAGATCCTGTAGAGCGGAGGAGGACCCTGATAGGCGAGGTTGGGCGCTAGTGTCAGTATCGTCTTCCAGATCAGGCGCGCCTGTCGGTGTTTGGGGTTGCTTTGAGCGATTCGCAGTGTTTGCGGATTTCGGTTGACCCGAACGCGCTGTGTCCTGTGAATCTCTGGTTTGAGTGTCTAGCTTGTGTAAAGGCGCGTTGATTGCGTGATTGGCGGGACCACGGAATAAGTCAGAGCGGTCCAGTATTTGAGAGGCAGAAGCGCTGCTTTCGTCCATGGATTGTATGGCGACCGACGACTCGGTACCCCGATCGAGTGAAAGGTTGGCTGACTCAGAATCCGCTCCTCTAGGCGACAGAGGAGTTCGGTCTCCTGGACGACCTCTACCACTGAAGCTTCGTCGCGCTTCATTACTTGGTCTTCGTGCCTCGCCGCTCGGCCGTCGAAAGGTGCGGCTCGCGTCCACGCTACGTCGCACGTCCCAGCTCCTCCTGTTGGCATCATTGCTAGACCGAGCAGATACATCGCTTATGCTCGACCTTGCTGCATGCGGTACCTGCAAAGGCGAAAGCGTGGCGCGAACGTTTTCTTGTATATGTGGCGTCTCAGCAGTGGTAGTTGGCGATGCTACAGATTCGCGTTGACCGGTTCGCGTAGATGCCTCGCCGTCACCACCTTGCTGCAAGGCCTGGTGGTGCTCATTGTCATTAATCATGATGCGTAGAACGTTGAGCGCGTCTTGTCCCTGATTGAAGAACGAGAAGAAGTACTACCAGAGTTAGCAAAGATCCGATACATATGATTTAGAACACCACATACCTCATCAATAGCAAACGTCTCATCATTATCAATAACCCTCACCTTAACCGTATTCGCCAAATCCAGAATACTGCTCTCCTCAATCTCCAGCACATTCTGAATCGGCAAGCTAATCTTGACGCTATTGCCCTCATTATGCGTTCGGAATATGACCTTCTGGATACTCCTTGCCCACTCCTTGGCACTCGCCGCACTGTCAGCTTTGAACAGATACTTTCGCTCATCCGTAGTGATGGTAAAGCTAGTCTCTTCTTCTCCCTTCTTTGTGGACTCGAGGACTTCAGCGGATATGGCGTATTGCAAGTTGATTCGATTGCGGGGAAAGTAGAGTTCGGTGGGGTTGGTGTAGTATGCGAGGACGTCGCCGCGGAGGACAAACCAGTAGCGGTTGAACTTTGAACGGCCGCGCTTGGCGAGGTAGCCTGTTTTGCTGACGTCGTGCTTCGAGGGTTAGCATATCATGTTGACTGCGGGGCAGTAGATGCTTACATGTTTCTTGGGTATATAGGCGTAGAAGCAGATGTGCTTCTGGGTAATGTACATGTACCCTTGCAGCAGGATGCTTTGGAGCAGCCAGCATGGATACTCGGATATGACTTCCTCCACCTCTTCAAATTCGAATATTTGCTGTATCCTCTGAGCAAGCGTGACGGGGGCTTTGCTCTTAGCAAGCCCGGCGGAGCTCCCATGTCTACTTCTTCGACCCGAGCTCCTCCCTTTGTCTACTTGTGTATCCTCGCCAGCCGCGATCTTGGTCTTGTCCTTGGTCTTCGGCAGCGGGTCGCTCGGCGGGGTCGGAAGGTCATCGGGTGACGGTTTCGGGGGGAGAAACTGGGAGGAGGACATCTGATCGGCGCGGCGGCTGTCGGAGCGTGCTTCCTTCCGGCTGGAGAGCTTCAACTTCGGCAAGGAGCGCAATAGTTTGTTCTCGGATAGTGTGCGCCTGTGCTTTCCCTTCCCTACCGTTGGCCCATCCAAGTCTCCAGCCTGACTCTGGAAGTCGTTGGCTGAGCTCAAGCGACTTAGTCGTGCTGCGCCGTCGAGGTTGCGGTAGGTTGCCTTCTGCTTGCCTCCGTCGTCGCTATCGCCGGAGTCGACTTCTTGCATCGTGCCCAGGTCCGTCTGCGACTGTTGGCCAGCGCGGGTTATCATGGAGAAGAGCGACTGGTTCATCGACATGGTATTGTTCCGCTTCGGCGCCGTGACATCCTCCTGTGCATCGTCCCCATCGCGGAAGCGCTCCGGTACGTCCATAGACACGCCTCGCGTTTCTCTTCTTGAATCTTTTCGCTTTCTGCTCATTCGGCGACCCATCCTGTCCCTGCCTCTGTCTTGGGACGCCATCGTGGGTTGGGGCGTCGTGCGCCTGTACTCAACAGTTATTGGATCGTCAAGGTTGCTCGCGGATGTGCTGGCGTATTAACCACGGTTGGTCAAAGCAACGAAGTGGACTCGGACGTGTATTGCGAGTTGCTATCTGAAAATGTATCGTTCGCTGCAGGGCAGTTGGGAAGATCGTTAAAGGTCACATATTGGAGCGTTGAGTGAATGACTTGTAGCTGCGCAGGCACGCTCATCAGCCACGAGATCGCCCGGGGTACCTACTAGCGTGACATGATAAGGTTACCCACGCACACCTGCAGGCAACGACTGCGACCGGTAACTGTGGAGTGTGACATGCAGCGTATTATTGTGTACGACTCTCTCAAATCCGTTATCATCCCACATGCTTCTAGGTTGCGAGCTGCAAGCCTCCAGGTCCGTTGGGGCAGTCTACAGACGTCATTGGTCAGACTTATCGATAGGTGCACGTGTAAACGCCAGCCCACGGCGCTGCCGTCCGCTAACGTGAACTATAATAGTCCACGAGTTGACAGCCAGGTCCTTCAACAAGGCGCAGACAGACAGAGACATGGCAACTCGACTGTAGCCAGCCATACTGAACACAAGTATTGGCAACGTCACATGCAAACGGCACAGTCATTCTTTATCCTTCTCATTGGCTGATGTACTCTTGTACAGACCGAATACCCAAGTCATTAAACCTAACTACAATTTGATCCAAACGCCGTCATCATTTCCATGACGTTCCTGAGTTGTATGATATCCGTAATTGCGCGACATAGAAGGCAGAAGCTTACTTGGACTTGGCAAGGCCGACAGCCGAGTTACCAAGGTCGTATACGGAGTACCACTTCCTGAGGAAGGCGTCACCGAGAATAGCAAGAGGTCCTACTGGCTCGGGGAAGTCCATGCCCATGAAGGCAGAGATGCAGGATCCCTGGACCTCGAGAATGTAGTCGAAAGCGCTGATGGTGAAGTTGTGGCCGGTGAGGGTGAAGGTGAGGTCGGGCAGACTGTCACGCTTGTCACACTCAACAGAGTACTGGCCGTTGAAGCCCTTCTTGGCACCGATCTCCTTGTTCAGAAGCTCGGCGATGGTGGAGGGAAGAGCGATCAGAGATGTACCGGTGTCAAGAATGACACCAGTATTGTCCATCTCAGCAGTCTCCTTGCCGAAGGTGATCGCATCGAGGTCGACCTCCCAGTAGGCCTTGCGCCTGAGGGGAAGCTTGACCATCTTGCCAGTGTAGTGGCTCTCATCGATGCCACCGAAGGTAGCCTCGGACTCCTGGCCCTCGTTGGTGTCGCCGAGGTAGAAGGCGAAAACGGGCTCGTCCAAGAGACCCTGCTCGAGCATGTTGTAGAAGGGAGGGACTATGCCCTTGACACTGATAGTGTCGTAGCCAAGACCCATGATACCATCAAACCTGCCGAAGGCAAAGGCGAGACCAGGCTCGGAGGTGGCCTCGGCGAAGTCCTGGTGCTTGACCTTGAGGTCGCCAATCTGGAAGACATCCTGAGAGACGAAGCCGCTGAGCGAGCCGGATCCGTAGCGGATCTCGAACTCGGTGCCGTTCTTCTTGTAGGTCGACGACGCCGAAGAGTCGTACTTGGTGTGAAGGTAGCAGGCAATCGAGTTGCAGCTCTGCGATGGGACCCAGAGGTTGGAGCTTCCCGTGTCGAGAACGACCTTGAAGGTCTGGGGAGGAGTTCCGAGAGAGATCTCAGAGAAGTCTGGGGCCTGTTAGCTTTCGCCACACGATGCTGCGGAGCGCGCGGAGCTTCGGAGACGTACATTGCGCGTTCAGGAAGTTGCTGACGGGCACGGGGTGGGTGCCATCGGCGATGTAGGGCGCCTTGAGGGCAGCCTCCATGTGCGACTGGGCCTTGAGGCCGGTCATGTGCTGCTGGGAGTACTTCTGCTTGAGGCCAGCCATTTGGGTCTCGATGTTGGCAAATTCCTGCTCGTGGTTAGACTGCGATCTCGCGCATCCGAAAGCGACGATGGCTTACCAGCTGCTCAGATAGAGAGACCTTCTTGAGCGGCGTCTTGTAGACAGCCGCAGAGGCCGAAGTGGCTGCTGCGAGGAGCACCGCCGTCTTCATGATTGCGGACGTTTAATGGAGACGGATGGGGTATGGAAGAAGAATAGATGGATGGGAGATGGGATGACGGGTGGGGAGGGAGAGATGGAGGAGAGAGTGGTGTGTTGGGGATGGAGCTCAAGCTGGAGCTATCTATGGGGCTGGGGAAGGCGCGGCGGGCGAATGACGAACGTCAGTGCTGCCTGGCCGACAGTGCTACTAGCGTGACACGTTCCCTGTTCGAGGATGCGTACCTGCGCCAGGCGCATCCGCATGCCCCAGACAACCAGAACCGAGGTCTGCATAGTGCTATGCCAGCCACTTTAATCGGATGGAACTTGGTTGATTAGCTGTCGCGCATTTGCGCGACATATCTCACGTGTCTTGTTGTATGCACAAATCAAGATACGGTGGGCTTCGAGCGCGAAGGCTACCCCGTGATCACGCGCGTCCAGCTTCCATGACCTCAGCACTCGGGCTAGCAAGCTATCGCTCAGGTCCTCAGATGATCCCAAACACAAATGCTGTGCTGTCTTGCAACGCGGTGTATTCCGACCAACTAGATAACGCTATCATACAGCGGTGTCTGGCTCGTCCGTGTACTGCGGCGCCTCAGCCAGGTTCGCCTCCTGCTCCCTCCGCGCTTTCTCCAGGTCCGCGGCCCACAACGCCGAGCTTGCTGGTGCTGTCATGAGGAAGAACATGCTAAGCGGCGGTACATATTGCAGCATGAGATAGACGGTGCCGTACCTGGATATTGGTTAGTCGCGTCACGATGACCATATGCACAAGACATACCAGGTGTATTGCCACCTTCTCTTCTTGATGGCGAGATTCCTCTGTTTCTTGTCGTAGCCCAAAAGCTGAAAGTATCGCCAATGCTGGAACGGACCCGCGCGATAGCCCGTCAGCAAAAGGAATATCGGCACCCCAACGTATGGTATAAAGTTCACAGGCAGCAGGATAACGAACTCGGCGATCTGGCGGAAGGAGAAGGGCGCGTAGACAGAAGAGCGTGTAGGCTTGCCGAGTCGGCGGACGGGGTCATTCAGCGCATCTTCAGTGACGGGTCGGTGTTTGCGAACGAGGTCTTCGTAGCCTTTATAGATGAGGACGGCGTCGAACACATCGACTTGCGACTCATCCTAGACAGTGTCAGCACCCGTGTGTAGCGTGCAGTGAGGTATGCGTACCACTAGGAAAGACTCGAATAGCAATGCTACTATCGCAGCTCCCTCTCCCAAGACCAGAAACACGGCGTTGACCCAGGCACTACCCGCCGTGTGGAATATCTTGAGAAAGAGGACTTGAGGCAACAACGTCCATACGAAGAGGTTTATGAGCACAAAGAGGCTGAGAAGGACTGCCGGTAGTAGTCGCGCTTTGAGGAGAGGGTATAGGAACGGGTGCGCGAGGAAGAAGACGATGCCCTGTTGACTGTTAGCACATGCGCAACAACAGCAGAATGACTTCAAATACCTTGACAAGATACGTTGACGCTACAACATTATCCACAGTCGGACGCACCACCACTCTCGGTATATTCCCCAACGCCGTATGCACTCCTTGCTGTGACATTGTGGTAGTCCTTGTCGTGGTGCTGAGGTTTGCTGTGAAACAGACGCGAAGGCAGCTGCGTAAGAAAGACCTCGGGGGTGACGTAGCCAGTGAGACCCTGCGCGGTCCCACATCCCCCACGATCAGCCTTCTCCACCTTGAGCGTTTTCCGTCGGAGGAGACGCGCATGGCATTCGTGGTGGCTTGCAGTAATGTACAGTAGTCTGCATGCGTGAATGATATAGACGCCTGACACGCCCTGCGAACGATCCATGGGTCTTGCGATGCACATAGAACCAGTATCTCCCAAAGTGGAAGACGAGCATCTCGTCTTCCGATCGGCTTCACTCCAAATGAACATTTAAATATCACATTGCCTTTATCTTAGATATCAACCCCGTCAACACATATTCCCCACCCTATCCATCATGTTCCACAACCCCTCCGCCTCAACCTGGCAACACACCGGCCCCTCCACCAACCCCTCCGTCGAGCCCTTCCACCGCAGCCTCCCCGACTATGCCATCACCCCTCTAATCCCACTTCCAGACCTCGCCCAACAACTCGGCCTAGGTCACGTCCTCCTAAAAGACGAGTCCACGCGTCTCGGTCTCCCCGCCTTCAAAATCCTCGGCGCATCATGGGCCATCCACGTCGCTCTAACCAAGAAATGTTCCCTACCTATCACTGCTACGCTGGATGAATTGGGTGCGGCGGCGAGGAAGGAAGGGGTGGAGTTGGTGACGTGTACGGAAGGGAATTGGGGTAGGGCAGTTTCACGAATGGCGAAGTATTTGGGTGTCAAAGCTATCATCTTTGTGCCTGATTTCATGGATGAAGCGACGCAGGAGAAGATTAGGAGTGAAGGCGCGACGGTGATAGTCGTGGATGGCGATTACGACTTCTCCATCTTGAAAGCGAAGGAAGAAGCAGAGAAAGGGGGGATGTTGGTCATGGATGTGAGCTGGGAGGGGTATGATGAGATACCTGAGGTAATCTACGACCCCATACTAAAACTCTTTACATGCATGCGTCGTGGAAACTAACATATACACAGTGGGTGGTGGAAGGCTACATAACCATGCTCACCGAAACCGACAAGCAGCTCAAAGACATGGATATCAACCCCCTAACCCACGCCATCGCCGCCGTGGGCGTAGGTTCCTGGGCCCAAGCCGTCACTATGCACTACAAAGCCTCCTCCCTTGTCCAACCTGCGACCATCATAACCGTCGAACCAGATACAGCAGCCAGCCTCAAGACGAGTCTGGAGAAAGGCAAGATCACGCCCATCCAAACGGGCCATACAATCTGCAATGGGATGAATTGTGGTACGACGTCTACGACGGCGTGGGAGGTGTTGAGGAAGGGCGTGGATGTTAGTGTTACTGTAAGAGATATTGACGTCCACAACGACTTGCGGTATCTGCACACCCAGGAAATAAAGAACGGGCCATGTGGAGCTGCGACGATGACGGCGTTGAAGAAGGTGTGTGGGGATGTGAAGATGAAGAGGGAGTTGGGGTTGGATGAAAGGTCTGTGGTGGTGTTGTTTAGTACGGAGGGGGAGAGGGAGTATGTTGTCCCGGCTGGTGCTTGAACCCATAGTCTCCTAAATGTGATAATGTTTGACCTGAAGCGTCAGTCCCTCAACCAAGCGTCTTAGTCTTCTCCTTCTTCTCCTTCTGCCTCTCCATAACATTCAACACATCATCCGCATTGTTCTTATCACCCTTCCTCTTCTTGCCACCCCGCTTCCTCTGCTTCTTCGGCCCTTTACCCCCCTCCTCACCATCCTCATCGTCCCCTTCAGCACCCAGTCCTTTCCATTGACTGAACTTGACTTTCTCCCCTTCCCGCTCCATCTCCTCCGCGTCATCGAATCGCGAGGCACCGAAACCCATGTCCATGTCTTCCATGTCGCGGTCCGACGCTGCGAGCTCAGCAGCACGTTTCTTGAGTCGCGCTTCTTTCGATGCAGGGTCGTTGGGGTCGGTGGATCCGAGGTTTTGGAGGAGTGTGGAGTTTTCGTCGAGGTTGCGGACTTTGGCGAGGGCGGCGCGTACGGTGGCGTCGGCGGCGGAGAGGTCGGAGGGCTCTGCTGTGGAGGTCGAGCGGGCTGTGGTTGCGAAGTAATCTCGTTTTGCGGGCGCTGCGGGCGCGGTGTCTTTGGGTTTCGCTGGAACGTCTTCCTCTGCTTCTGGAGATACTTCACCTTCTGATTGTGAATCCGCGGCATCGGCCTTAGGTACGGAAGGCTCTGGCTTCGCTGTCTCTTCATCCGAATCATCGTCTGAATCGTCGAAGTTTGCAAGCGGGTTGTAATTCGATCCCACCCCTGCGAATATGTCCTCGTCCTCTGACTCTTCCTTCTTCGGCGCAGGGAGGTTGTGCATGTTGATTGGTTTGTTCACATCGTCCAGATCGTGACGCACCTCGGGCGCTGGTTCCTCGACCTTCTGCTTCTTGACCTTTCTCTTCTCCTTGCCATCTGGACCGGTGATGATCAGCACCTCACGACCCTTCTCGTCGGTCTCTATGCGTGTGTCTCCCTGGGCGTTGATCTTGCGAAAGCCTGGTCCTAGGGTGGGAAACCTCTTCTCGTGCTCTGCCGCAGCAGCTGCTGCTGCCTCTTCGCGTTGTCTCTTCAGGTCCTTCAAGATATCATTGCGACTCCTCTTGACGCCAGCGACAGGACGCGGGCCAGTCATCTTCTCGCCCTTCTTCTCAGCCTTCTCGCGTGTGATGGGACCGACATCTGCCTCTGCCAGCTCATCGAATGCGTCTTCCACCTCGGGTACCTCTTCAGTCTCTTCCTCCTCCTTTTCTTCTTCTTTCTTATCCTGGCCACCTAGAACATCCTCGCCTCGCCTTACTCTCTCGAGCAGCTTTCTGTCCAGACCCTTCACTAAATGCGTAGTCCCGACATCGCCGCCCGTGATTTCTTGCACGAGCTTCTCGAACGTCTCGCGATCGATCTCGCCCTTCTTCATAGACTCCTCGAGGTTCTTGACGCGTTTGGCGATCTCATTGTCTTCCTCGTCTGTGTACGCCTTCGTGCGGTCGGTGTAGCCTGCGGCGAGCTTCGTTCCTTTAGGCACGATGTTCCTGGCCTTCTTCTGTGGGTTGTTCTTCGCGTTGCGCTCGGCGAGTTGGCGCGCAAAATCTGATTGGATTGAGCCCTTGCCTACCTGGCGACTGCATATCTGTTAGCATCAGTCCTGCGCGAGACACTGTGGGAAAGACTTACGGTGTCATTGGTATGCTCGAGTGCTTGCGCGCGCCCAGCACTGCCCTCGGCGTTGCCGCTGCAGGTGACTTGCCCTTGTTATCATCTTGAGGCTTTGGAGTTTCGACTAACAGCCGCCTGAATTGCGAGTTGTTCATGGTGCGCGAGTGGAGAGGTTGGTGGACAGTCGTGATTCGCAAAAGATGTGCCAAGCCTCTGCAGGCGTCTTCGGGTCGCGCGTGCACCACGCGAGGTTACGCTAAAGAAGCGTGGCTGGTCTAACGCGGGGAACCTTGGACGCTCAACACAACTCCAGCCTCGTCTACTACCAGATTGTATTGCGTCAGCAGGATCACGATGGTAAATGTATGGACTTCTTGAGGCACGGACAATGCCTTAATTTGCATAGTCTTCGGTACCCTGCCGCTTTGGCTCTAGTTGACTGTCTGTAAGGTTGCAGTGCGATCTTGCTTATGCAGGATCACAAGGCTACTGTAGGGAAATGCTACCTGTTTCCCTGTACGAGAGTTACGCTATACCGCCACAGTAAAACGATCGTGCATAGCCCGAAAGGTTCTGTATCTTCCCCATTTCACTTGCTAGGCACCCTGCGATCCCCACCACCCCGCCTTTCCTCTCCGCATAAGTACTTGAACAGCCGGGTAAATTATTGAACTCACCTCCCCACGCCTCCCCTTCCCCGGTATACTGTGACATTGTGACGGCAGTATGTTCAAGCTTCTAGTTGCAGCGGCTCTCGCTGCGGTGGGCGCGTCCCAGTACGCCATGCCGCCCAACTCAACCAATTCGACTACATTCATGAACCCGATCGTAGGCGCTGGAGCAGATCCGTAAGTCAATCTCTTCAAACTATTTCAGTATCCGTCTAAACATCGTTTAGCTGGATGTTCCGCCACGAAGACTACTACTACATGACCTACACCAACAACGTCAACATCACCCTCTGGCGCAGCAAGTCCATGACCTCCTGGGACGCCGCAGAGTCCAAGACCATCTTCGTCCCAGAGCCCGACCAGGCATACTCCACCGACCTCTGGGCCCCCGAGATCCACCAAATCGACGGAAGCTGGTGGGTAATCTTCACCGCAGACCCCAACTTCGACTCCCCACCACCCGAGGTGGAGATGTGGTGCGAGTACAACTGCCCCGCCGTCAACCACCGCATGTTCACCGTCGTCGGCGAAGGCGAAGACCCCTGGACCGCCGAGTACCGCTACCACAACGAACTCGAGACGTACGATCAATTCGCCATTGACGGAACGTACTTCCAGCACGCTGACCAACTGTACCACATCTACTCGTGCTGGTACCACAAGTACGACGGCTGGCCAGCCAACCTCTGCATCACCAAGATGTCTGACCCCTCCACCACCGTCTCCCCTTTCTCCGAACGCCAAATCATATCCGTACCGGAATACGCCTGGGAAAAGACGCCCTTCGGCCGCTCCATCAACGACCGCCTCTCGTCCAACGAAGGGCCCCAGCAACTCATCAACCCCACCACAGGCCAGAACTTCCTCATCTACAGCGCTGCCCGCTCAGACAACCGCAACTACTGTCTCGGTCAGCTTGAGCTCGTTGGCGACGACCCGATGAATCCTAGCGACTGGCGCAAGCATCCTTATCCTGTCTTCTACCAGAATCCTAGCGAGAAGGCTTACGGTGTTGGTCATGCGTCTTTTACGACGTCGCCTGATGGCTCGGAGGATTGGATTGTTTACCATGGTATGCAGGATCCGACGAACGGGTGGAGTGCAAGGTCGATCCGCGCGCAGAAGTTTGGCTGGAATGAGGACGGTAGCCCTAGCTTTCCTAAGCCGGGTTATGGGCCTTACCAGGTTCCTAGTGGGCAGTAGATGGGTGAATGAGGTGGTGTCTGTGTTTACGATATGAGCGATGGGCTGTGAGGGTTTTGCTGCTCTTTGGCAGAAGGTGCTTGCGTCTTCCCAACGGCGGCGACCGACTGTGTTGGTAGGCTCGTGAAGAGAGCCGCTTCGGCCCTATCTCTTGTATACAGACTTTTGATACTACCCAGGTATCTGGATCTCTCCAGATATGTATTGCCATCTTAATGGTAATGACCACGGTCAAGTTCGCTTGACAACCACCATTGATACCTTCCTCCCTGTGTGATTGACCTGCGCCGCTGGATTAGGGTACATGAAGAACCCCTAAAACTCTTTATGCTTCTGGTGTGTCCTCTGTTTCCTATGTGACCTGATAGCATACTATAGACATGCGCGCCTTCCGTACACGTTCGGCGCGGCTTCCACCGGCCATGTCTGCCATCCGGCAGTATTGCGCAACCCGCCACATCGCTCGAAGGAATGTGAAAACTAGTTTTGCATTGCTTGCTAGGGCTTTAAAACACGTGTTCATGTTCCGATACGATTTCATGATGTCCGAATTTGGGTTGGGTTGCTTTTGTTCCCAATTGTGTAGACTGTCTTGTTGTACGTTTTCGGTATTTAAGACTCAGCCTGTAACATCTTCAAAAAATCCCAACACAACCATATCTTGCTCAAATCACCTGAAACTTGGTATAACGACTACAACTACACATGAAAGCATTTCCATGAAGTTTGAAAATATTCGAGCCTCGTTGTAGAGGTCTGCGCTTTGGAGGGCTGCGGAAGTGTCTTTCCAAAGCAGTCAAACAACGCCTAGACCTCCACAACCACACATCGCGCTCTGGATGCACAGCGCCACATGGAAGCAAGCACACCGTCACGCACATACAGTAAACACAACATACTACATATCATTCACATGTAGATTGTCGCGTTGTATGGCCATTGGACACAGCGAAGACGTGACGTCATACGTCCAACAGCGAAACTTCACAGCCCTCTTCACGCAGGTGGCAATACGCCATGAGTCATGCTACAACCGGTCAGACGGCACAGTCAATGAGTCACGGAACATCCTGTTCATTGCGAACGCGAACGAGATGAAAGTCGGTCTGGCAAACTGTACATGGCACTAGTTCACATCTACACTAGCAGGGCAAAAGGCGGAACAGCACACCGTGGAAGTGGAGCCAAACAGCAATGACCACCGCGTTCACACAAAATCCTCAGACGCGTCGCACATCACATCACATCACATCACAGCAGAAGACAGATTGATGAAGTTATTATGGTATCATTCCATGCAAATCAGAACCCGACTGATATAACCGTGAACTCCGAGCCTTCTTGTACTATACAAGGCCATGACCATCCCACCAAGCACCGAAGAGCCGACCGTAGACTGCTGAAGAAGCCAGCCGGACAAAAGTCGTAACATTGAAAACCGTAAGAGCGAGAAAAGACGACGCGCTTAACCACCGAAACCGTACAGAGTGCGGCCTTGACGCTTGAGAGCGTAGACAACGTCGAGGGAGGTGACGGTCTTGCGCTTGGCGTGCTCAGTGTATGTGACGGCGTCACGGATGACACCCTCGAGGAAGGTCTTGAGAACACCGCGGGTCTCCTCGTAGATCACTGAGGTGGGTTAGCGAGGTAGTGAGGAAGGTGGTTGAAGAGACATACTGGCTGAGATACGCTTGACACCGCCACGACGTGCGAGACGACGGATAGCGGGCTTTGTGATACCCTGGATGTTGTCGCGGAGAATCTTGCGGTGGCGCTTGGCACCACCCTTTCCGAGACCCTTGCCACCTTTGCCGCCTGGGAGACGCGTCAGTAAAGTGTTGATGATGAAGGACGACGCGTTGAGCGCGCCGAACGGTGGAGATGGAGGGAATACTCACGACCAGTCATGATGATAGATGTGGGGGGGTTGTTGTGTTGGGGAGAGGGTGTTGTTGGTTATAGAGTAAGAGAGTGGTAGTAGTGGATTGAGATGCTTTGGTGATGATGGGAATTACTTGGGGCGGCGGGCGTCGTGTTTATGAGGCAGCGGGGCGCGTCGTCTCAGCGCGCCGGATCACACGCCAGCCACGCCAGATCAAACCGGCGCACGGGCGCGCTTTCCAGATCAACGCCCGTGCCCCTTCCCAATCGGGGCGCGCAGCAAGCGAGCCAATGGGGAATGCGCGCCGACTTGTGGACTTGGGAGTTTTGAAGTTGCAGCGCGCGCAGTTAGCATGCTTAGCATGACTTTGGTGTTCCTGGTGCGCGCTGTAAGGAAGCGCAACAAAGATTGATTTTCCAGGCAGCCGCCCGCCCCCCATTTACCATATAAGCTGCGCCCGCCCACCCTCCTCCATCTCTCATCCACTCAACTCCACTCACCATCACAACAACCATCTCCACCATCAAACACAACTACATTTCCATCCTCAACAACCAACAACAAGATGGCCCGCACTAAGCAGACCGCGCGAAAGTCGACCGGTGGAAAGGCACCCCGCAAGCAGTAAGTTTTAGCCTCAACCTCACCTTCGCATCGCATCACAGCATACTTACAAGTCTTCTAGGCTCGCCTCCAAGGCCGCTAGGAAGAGTGCACCCTCTACCGGAGGTGTCAAGAAGCCTCACCGCTACAAGCCCGGAACCGTCGCTCTCCGTGAGATCCGTCGCTACCAGAAGTCGACTGAGCTCCTCATCCGCAAGCTGCCCTTCCAGCGTCTTGTCCGTGAGATTGCTCAGGACTTCAAGTCGGATCTCCGCTTCCAGTCCTCCGCCATCGGTGCTCTTCAGGAGTCCGTCGAGGCCTACCTCGTCTCGCTCTTCGAGGACACCAACCTCTGCGCCATCCACGCCAAGCGTGTCACCATCCAGAGCAAGGACATCCAGCTCGCCCGCCGCCTCCGTGGTGAGCGTGGTTAAGCTTCTCACCTTCGATATATCGACACGACTATGACAACTTCTTCGGGTCGGTGATGGATTGGGTCTTTGGGTCGGATATTTAGGCGTTTGGGTTCATGGTTCACGGTCTTCAACTCGGTTTATGAGTGCACACGAGCGGTGCTGAGCATGTAGTATATCCAGGTTAATCAGTGATGGTCACTGGCGATATTCCACGAAATCAACAGATTTCTACTTCACTTCTTTGACTTTGCTTATAACTGTGATGCTTGCTATTGACTCTCCATACTCCATGGCTGCTAGCTACCTTCTTTGGTGTTCATGCCAATGCGCTATCTCAACTGGCCGCGAATAGTTGCGATGCGGCACTCACCCCGCAACATGACGCCCGTCGTACCAACTAACTCGATCAACATGACCAGCACCTCGGCGAACGGTACACTAATAGCTGAGACTACTGTCATGTCTTCCCGTGAATGCTGCGCAGTTGCGCATCTTCATTCCACTTATACTTCTTCACGATGACCTGGCAAACAGAGTTCTGGTCATGGATGTCGCCACCCACAGTGCAGACCGCTGAAGTGCCAGCCGTCGGCCTAAAGGCGCCCTCAACACCCAAACTCACCATCCCAGCACAAGATGGCAAGCCAACAATTGTCAGCTTCCTCCGGCACTGCGGATGTCCTTGTATGTACTTCATTCAAGAACCATGACGATGCAATCTCACCACCACCCTCACAGTCGCAGAAAAGACCTTCCTAAACATGCGCGCCCTCGCGCCTGCCCACCCAGACATCCATTTCATAGCCGTTTCTCACAGCGACCAAGAGGCTACAGACCGCTGGCTCGCATCACTGCCTGAACCGTCGCAGAACACCCAACCCAATCTCAGCATCATCGTTGATGCAGAACGCGAAGCTTATGCCGCGTGGGGTCTAGGTACATCCAGCTTGTGGCATGTGCTAGGTAGTATACCTGGTACGAGCAAGTTGAGCAAGGAGGGGATTAGTGTGAGGCCGACTGAGAGTGGGAGCAGGTGGCAGACGGCGGGGAATTTTGGGGTTGATGCGGAGGGGATTGTAAGGTGGGCGAGGGTTGATCAGAGGGCGGATGATATGCCTGACTTTAAGGTGGGGCTGGATAAGGTGCTTGGAGGGAAGTTTGAGACGGGGGGTTTTGCTGAGGCTATGCAGGGTTGAAGGGTGGTATGATTGTCACGATGTGTTTGTATAGTTTGTATTTGATACTCGTAGTTGACATTACAGTCGTGTGGTTGTCGCGTTTTGCATCGTGAAGAAGCTGGGAAGCAGATCATGTGTTGCTTGTGAGATACCTAGATGAATGTGAATTACGACACGTTCTCGCATCCTTCTCGCGACTACCTGAAGAGCACATCCTGTGACCGTAAGATGATATGTGCGATCTCCTCGTAACACGCATTTCTTTTCCACATAAATTTGCTGGCTATGGTGACCAAAGACAACCCCTCGATTGGCCCGCCCACGGATGACCTCACGATAACACGCGGAAACGCGCCAACACTCGAAGCGCGTCAAAGTGTCGCCACGCACACAACAGACCCGCCGCGGCCAGATCATGGCATCATGGCTGCACCGTCCACACGGCTGACGACTCGCACGAGCGAGTATGGCTCAGATATCGACGTCCAGTCCATCACGACGCTGAGCGACTACGGCTCGGACATTGACATTGACATTGACGACGACGACACCATACTTGCCGACGCGTTTGACACGATAACAGACGCTGCGCAAACCCAGAAGAGCGCAGTCCTCCCCAGCATAGAATTCGAAGAGGGCGAACTCGAAGACGAAGAGCAGGATGTGGACGGCTTCGTGCAGATACATAGACCCACGGTCCTGCGCGTCGCAAAGAGCAAGGCCAGTGTGGACGCGGATGCACAGAGGGATATACAGAGCTCGCCCATGCGAGAGCGCAAGGCGCTGGAAGTCGAGTACGACGAAAGATCGCGACGGGCGTGGAGTGGTGCGTTGATCAGGACTCACAGCAGTGGCATTGGCATGACTGACGACTAACAGCGCTTAGTTCCTCACGAACAATCAGCCTCTCCCCCCAAACCCTCGCAATTCCGACCTGATCGCAGCATATCGCAGTCTACGCGCGCCGCCTCTACCACGCAGGCTGTACAGGCTGCCGAAACCGACAACCGGCCGCCCATCGAGCGTTTCCGAACGAAGCCCAAGAAGTGTCTTTCGGTGACCGATCTCGTCTCACCAGCATGGTGCGAACTGCAGTACTTTTACACTCTGAGCAAGTTTGGGCGCAAACCACGAACACAGGCGATGAGAACCGGTAGCAAGATCCACCAAACGCTGGAAGACCAGGTACACACAACAGTGCCAGTGCAGGTGGAAAGCAAAGAAGACCGATTTGGCCTACGCATGTGGAACGCTATATCCGGCCTGCGTTGTCTTCGTGAGACTGGCCTAACGCGTGAGCTGGAAGTCTGGGGTGTCCTCGAAGGCCAAGTCATCAACGGCGTCATCGACGAGATCTCATACGAATGCCCTGATACAGAATTCGAAGAGGAGCTCGAGCGGACCCGAGCCGAGAAGAACGGCGGCATTGTCCCCCTACCGCCAGGTCAACTCAGCATCACAGACGCCTTTGCAAAAGCCAGCAACCCGCCCTCCTCCAGTCCATTAGTCTCCACACCAGTCTCCGACCGCCAAATCTACATCGCGGACGTAAAAACTAGATCCGCAAAATCCCTCCCCACTGGCGCTTCCCTCCGCCCTACATGGATGCAACTAATGCTCTACCGCAAACTCCTGGAATCCCTCTCCCTCAACACTGTCGACGCCGAAACCGTCTTCGCGCGCTACTCCCTCGACCCCCTCACCCCCTTCACCCCCCTCTTCCTCACCGAAATCAGTAACATCGGCCCCGAAAACGCCGTATCCTCTTACCCCAACCTGCTTGCCCTCTGGTCCTTGCTCGTCACGGAAATGCAAGCCACATTCCCTCCTTCCAGCCTCTCCCCCATCCTCCGCGCGGAGTTTAGGTATGCGAAGACGGGGAATGTGTTGGGCAGCCAGCTTACGGTGTATGAAGCGAGTGTTGTTGATGGGTATGTGGAGAGTGAGATGGCGTGGTGGAAGGGCAGGAGGGAAGCGAAGGGCGTGGAGATTGAAGAGGCGTTTAAGTGTCGGATTTGTGATTTTTCAGAGGAGTGCAGTTGGCGGAAGACGAAGGTTGAGGAGGCGGTGGAGAAGAGTCGGTTGAGGAGGGAGGCTAAGGAGAGGGGGAAGAGTGCTGTATAGGGTGATGGTGGAGGAGGTCGTTGCTGTTGTGATGAATCAGTATTGCTTAGATTTGTGCGAACTATCACCCCACCCGAGGAAGAATCTGGACATGTGTTCTGCAGACTACGTTATTGATATGAAATCGAAACTCAGCAGAACTTTAACGCAACGTAGGCTTCTAGTTTGTGTTCACTCCTATTATCCCTTGTACGTGGGGCGTCCATTCTTCCTTTGAACGGGTTGCTATGATCAATTTATTGTATACCGCTGTTTGTCATCATGTACTAACGCACTACCATCTATATCTTCTATTCTTACACTTTCTTCTGTTGCTACATCCGTGTTGATGTGGGGTTTGCTAGTCTTCTGAAGAAGGATTGTATCATCGGCTGTGTGCTAACGATGTTATCTCGCATGAGTATCCCCCGTTGATTAACATGTGGCTGGACGAATACAACGACGCAGGTATGCTGGCATCGTCACCAATAATGTGACTTGGGCACCCACATTTCATGGCAGTAATATGAACGTGATAATGAAACACTTTCCGTATGCTGCATCGTGTCCCAAGTCCTTCGTAGCGCCTGTCCCTTCAGCCTACGTGAGAACATCCATCTCAATTCATTTGCGTAGGAAGCGACACCACTCTCTTGGCCTCTGTAGTCCCATCCGTATCCAGCTCAACACCCAACTTCTCCGCTACAGTAACGAACCCTTTGCTTCCGTCTTTCATATCAATCCACACATCAACCCACCCCGCCTCCCTCTCCTCTTTGACCTTGTCCTCACTCCAGTCCTCCTCTCCCGCTCTCTCCGTATAAACAGTCCGCAATCCACACCCTTTCGCAGCTTTAAGGTCATTCAGATGAGAAGCCACCATTGCGCATTCCCCAGGCTGCAAACCTAGTTTCTCCGCCGCGCCTAAGTATACTTTCGGATTGGGTTTGTACGTGCCAAACATCTCGGCGGAGAATATGTGCGTAAAGGGGATCTGACTGTACGCACGTAGATCGGAGAGGAGACTCAAGTTGCCATTCGACAGCATACACGTATGAAAGCCGCCTTTATTCAACAACGCCATACCTGCGACAGAGTCATCCCAGGGGTCTAAATGATGCCATACCAGACTCAATGCGCGGATCTCTTCGTCGTCCCATAGACCCTCTAATTCCCATTCTGTCATGAGTTTCTTGAGCGCACTCAGATGGTGGTCGTCGACAGATACCCACGGTATGCTCGGATCAGATGCGAGTTGTTTGGTAAAAGCCTTGTAGCTATTTCGCCATTGTTGTGCAAATTTGCCCCAGTGTTCGTCGCTCATTTCTGAGACTCGCAGACGCAGGCGGGAGGCTAGCGATGCGGTGGCGGAGTTTAGGGATGCATGGGCGGATCGTGATAGCGCGGTTGTGACGGTGGAGCGCCAGTTTACGCAGGTGCCGAAGATGTCGAATAGGAGGGCTTTAGGTGGTGGGGAGACAGACATGGTGTGCTGTTTGATTGGCTTTACGGTGGTTGATGGTAGTGGTGTGATGTGTTGGCGAGGTGGAAAGTTTATTCTGGCTAATGGTGTAGTTGTTGTTGGTGGTGGTGGTGGTGGTTATGTATGTACGTCACCAGAAGGATTCCCCGGAAATACATGGTTTTCCGGATATGTGTGATGCGAAAATGGTTTGGATCTCTCGGGCGTAACGGAAATCATACAAAACGGCGTTTTCGTAATACCATACCCATATCACGACATTCTGACAATCATGAGGTGCGCACTTCCCATGTGGCAGTCGCGTGGAGGAGACGTCATAGCTCTGATCTCTCCAGTGCTAGCTCACCAGCCACTTCCGTCTCAACACCGTCCGCCTGGAAGACTACCATCTCCTGCATCTCAAGCGTTTTACACAAAAGAACACAAATCAACATAAAGTAGTTCTAGATCTAGCTGATACCATGCATAAAGCACCTCTAGAAGTCTGCCAAGCAGACGTCATCCCCAACCGTGTTAGCACCCACACTAGCGCTTTGCGGGGGAACTTGGGGTAGGCCGAGCCACCTCCTTCCGAGGTCAGCGTCGTCGGTCCCCTTGGACCGATCGGCAACGTTCTAAAACATCAGTGCTCATGACGCCCATATGCTCTCCCGGAAGAGCTACTCGTGCTTGACCGCATTCACTATCCTCAGGTCCGGGATATCGCTTACTTCTTGCTCGGCTCATAGCCCTGTTGCCTCCGCTAGCTTCATTGTTAGATCTAGCAGACTACTTGCATTCTCTGCTTCGCGAAACCAATTGACACCCTCTAAACGGACAGACAACATGCCTCAAGGACATACCCAAGACAGGGTCTATGCGGCCTCCATCGACAATCCCGAGGAGTTCTGGCAGCGTCAAGCGAACAACTTATACTGGCATAAGAATCCTTCCAAGGCGTTCCAGAGGAGCGTCAAACACTTGAAGAAGAGCAACGTGTCACATGAGCACTGGGAGTGGTTTGCCGATGGCGAGATCTCGACGACGTACAATTGTGTGGACCGCCATGTGGCGAGTGGCAATGGCGATAAAGTAGCAATTTGCTGGGATAGTCCGGTAACCGGCCAGAAAGAGCAGTACACGTATCAGCAATTGCTACAAGAAGTTGAGACACTCGCAGGTGTGTTGAGAGAGGAGGGGGTCCAGAAGGGCGATGTCGTCTTGATCTATATGCCAATGATACCGGCTGCGCTCTTTGCAATGCTAGCTATCGCTCGGCTGGGAGCCATACACGCGGTTGTGTTTGGCGGCTTCTCACCCGCAGCACTGGCCCAGCGGATCGAAGCAAGTCGCCCTGTCGCGATCATGACGGCCTCTTGCGGAATTGAAGGAGCGAAGAAACCGACTGAGTACAAGTCGATGATCGAGGGAGCAGTACACAAGAGTAGCTTCAAGCCATCCAAGACAATTGTTTGGCAGAGAGATCAGCTTCGATGGGATCCGATAGTCAAAGAGGAGGGCCAAAGGAACTGGCAACGACTAGTCAAAAGCGCGAAGAACAGGGGGTTAAAGGCCGATGCTGTGCCCGTGAAGAGTGGTGAGGGACTGTACATCATCTACACATCGGGCACTACTGGCCTCCCAAAGGGTGTTGTTCGCTCTGCAGGCGGTCATGCCGTTGGGCTGAACTTTAGCATCAAGTACCTGTTTGGAGTCCACGGCCCGGGCGACGTTATGTTCACAGCGAGTGACATTGGCTGGGTTGTTGGACACTCTTATATCGTCTACGCTCCGCTGCTCGCTGGCGCCACTACTGTTCTGTTCGAGGGTAAACCTGTCGGAACTCCCGACGCGAGCACATTCTGGCGAGTTATTGAGGAGTATAAGGTGACGACCATGTTCACCGCTCCCACAGCTTTGCGAGCAATTCGCAGGGATGACGGCGACAACGAGTTCTTCAAGGCAAGAGGGAGGAAGGGTGCGTTGAAGACACTGAGGGCGTTATTCCTGGCAGGAGAGAGGAGCGAACCGAGCATCATCCAGATGTACCAAAAACTGCTTGCGAAGCATTGCGCTCCTCGTGCAATGGTTGTAGACAATTGGTGGTCCTCCGAATCTGGCTCACCCATCTCTGGAATCGCACTCAGCGCCTCTGCTGGACTAGACTTTTCTTCTCAAGAACGACCCGCGCCGCTTCCGGTCAAGCCTGGCTCGGCTGGAAAGGCGATGCCTGGATTTGATGTTCGTGTTGTGGATGACTCGGGTAAAGAGGTGAAGAGAGGTGAGATGGGCAACATTGTTATGGCGATACCGCTTGCTCCGACTGCCTTCACTACGCTGTGGGAGGACGAAGAACGCTTCTACAAAGGTTATATGAAGAGGTTTGATGGGAAGTGGATTGACACTGGCGATGCTGGCATGATCGACGAGGAGGGCTACATTTCAATCATGGCACGGGCGGATGATGTGATTAATGTTGCGGCACACCGCTTCAGTACCGGTAAGTTATCTCCTTATGCAATTGATGGCGAGGTCGAGCTGACAATATCCAGGCGCCATTGAGCAAGCCATCACGACCCATCCTTCCATCGCCGAAGCTGCCGTAGTCGGCATCCCCGATGCGTTGAAAGGCCACCTACCGTTCGCCTTCATCACACTATCCACAAACAACCATTCTGAATCCGCCGTAGCAGACGACAAGCTCCTCGCCGAAGTCCAACGCCTAGTACGTGAACAGATTGGTGCGATTGCCAGCCTCGGAGGCATCATCCAGGGCAAGGGCATGATCCCGAAGACCAGGAGCGGCAAGACGTTGAGGAGAGTGCTGCGCGAGCTACTGGAGAACGCGACGCATGGGGAGTTCGACAAGGAGGTTAGCGTTCCGAGCACGATTGAGGACCGTGAGGCTGTCAATGTTGCGCGGGAGAAGGTGCGGGAGTACTTCAAGGTCAAGGGCAAGGATTTGCACAAGGCTACGGAAGCGCGTGCGAAGTTGTAGATGTGATGTTGATGGAGATGGGTGGCGATAATATTGTAGGGCTCTAATGCTAAATGTGGTCTTCCGTCGTGCCTTCCTATGTTTGGTCAAGATCCTCGCATCGTGCCTTCCTTCTATGTTTGGTGCCTGCCTCAACTGCCGCTCACTTCGCTTGTCGCGTATATGCCAACCTTGCTGCATTATCTTATCAGTTCGTTATATGGAAAGTTTGTAATGACGTTGTACGATCCAACGGCACCTCGTATTCGCAGCCTCGCCGCCGGATGAATCAACGGAGTCGCAACGGCCCGTCCCCAGAAATCGTTGTAACACGAAGCAACGGTCCAACGCTCAACGCCAAACGCCCCAGCGCTCAACCTCACGTCGCTATCTCCAACTGGAAGTACTCGACGTCCAACTGGAAGCAGAGCAAAAAGGGTTCCAGCGCCGTCACAGCGCATGTTGGTGGCCCCACTTAAACACGTGCTCGCACGCTGCTGCGAGCCATGGCCCAGGCGCTGGACTGGGCTCCGAGCTGACCTACATGACGCTCGTGCTGAGCTACCATGTTCCCGCCCACCTGGGAGCTTGACACTTCATCAGCGCACATATCCAGGCATTCCCTGGGTCGCTCATCTGGCGCATCTGCCCGGGGAGTGAGTGAGCCTCGTCACAGTCGCGCTGGCACTGGCTAGCTTCGCGTCAGGTCAGGCTATGCTTCGCGCCGCGTCGTCTGCAAGCTTTCTTACCGGCAGAAGTCGTCGTCGCCAATAATCAGCAGCAAGGCGTCTGACATGAGATAGCAGGCCGCCGCCTGCATTCATGGCCAGAGGCGTGCCGGTGACGACGTCTGTTGGTGCAGTGATCCCGTCGGCTCGGCAGAATATCAGGAGCGCAACAGTGGGCCAAGCGACACTATCGGCTACACGCTGTCGCGGCTTGGGGTCCAGTTCCCCGAAGCACCATGCCTCGCAGTCCACGCCGGACGACGACTGAAACCCTGGCGCAAAAGTGGCCGACCTGTCCTGCAATGTCGAAGCATCATTCACATGTTGGAGTCGTTGGAGTCAGTTGGCCCACGGCCGCCCTTGGTGAGCGTGTCCTTGGTGAAGCCGTCCTTGGTGTGGCTGGAGACTGGAGTCAGAGCAGACAGTGGGCAGGCCGCTCGGCGGCTTTCTTGTTCGTACAGAGTCGAGGGTGCATGTGTAGTGCCTCACTCCCCAATGGCACCCCCAAGGGGGCCCCCGTTTGCAGCCCTAGTATGTCCTAGGGCCTGCCGCCTGCGCTTGCGCACTGAGACGACGGCAGCTCTTCTGGCCGTTTGGTCGTGACGGCACCACAGCAGGCGACGTGACGGACGCACACAGTGAGACCAGGGCTTCCACGACTTGGGGCGGCACGGCGTCGTCGGCTTATATGTGCACGCAGCAGCCAGCCACGGGGCCGGGTCGGCGAGGCGGTCCTGAGTGCTTCTGGCTGCAGGCCTTAGCTGTTCCTCGTCTGGATGGCTTGGATAGGACTAGGCGGATTGACGTTTGGCAGCCCCCAGTGCTGCAGCGCCGTCGCCCAAGGCCCAAGGTGCCAACTTGACGCAGAAGCGTAAAAACCCCGGAGGCCCATGTCGACTAATCGCGTTTCTTTTTGACCTCCCTCATCCATCACGCCGCTATCGTTGCCCCCGTCCACCGTGCTGCCTGCCCATCCCACGTCGCCCGCGCTCATGCAACGGAGCCCCGATAGTAGACGCTGCTGCTGATAGGTGATGCCCCGGACTCGGACGCTTGCACCCTAGAAGCCTTGATCGCTTTGTCCATCGCCCGCTTCCAAATCCACATCTTCACGTGGGGACACGAGCCACTCCTGCGAGAACCCTGACCACGCCTGCCACGCCTCGCCCAACTTTCTCCCATCCTCTCGACCACCACCGGACCACCACCGCCCTCGACTTGCTCTCAGGCGCATCTCCTCCCCGCTCGCTTCTGCCGCCCTTTCTGCGTCGGCCCAGCTGCACAGGCCTCGCTTCCGCCTCGTCGTCTGCGTGCAACCATTGTGCTCACCTCCGCCGATCCATTCTGAAGCGCCTGCAGCTCCCCGTCAACACGCGCCCCTGTGCTGCCGTGCGAGTGTGGACCGCCGTTTGGGACCACGACATCTCGACGCTGATTCTGGCCGCGCCGCCCCCTTCGTCCCGCCCCTCTGGATCTCTAGCAACTCCCAACCTAGGCTGAACCCGCTGAGCCCGCTGGTCAGCTGCAATCCCGCTGCTGAACACGAGACGATACTGCGACGACGTGGCGAGCTGCTTGCATCACGCCCTGTCCTTTATCTGTGCCCCATCCGCACTTGACTCGCTGCCTGCATTGACGAGGCCGACTCTGCTCTACTACCGACACCATGGCGGGGAAAATGACGCTGTACAAGCTGGTGGTGCTGGGCGACGGTGGTGTGGGAAAGACCGCCCTGACCATACAGGTAGCCCTGCCCTCCTGTTTCTCCCCTTCCCTTGACATTGGCTGACCGCGGCTAGTTGTGCTTGAACCATTTCGTTGAGACCTACGATCCCACCATTGAAGACTCGTACCGCAAGCAGGTGCAAATTGACGGCCAGTCCTGCATGCTCGAAGTCCTCGACACGGCTGGCCAAGAAGAATACATCGCTCTGCGAGACCAATGGATACGCGACGGCGAAGGCTTCGTACTCGTCTACAGCATCTCATCACGCTCCTCATTCGCCCGCATACAGCGATTCCACAGCCAAATACAGCGCGTCAAAGAGACGTCCATGGCTAGCTCACCGACCTACCCCGGCTCGCCCATCAGCGCATCCGCACCCATGTTCGGCCAGGCCCCTGTGATGCTCGTCGGAAACAAATGCGACCGTGTCACGGAGCGTGAAGTCTCAACACAAGAAGGTCAAGCTCTCGCAAAAGAACTCGGCTGCGACTTTGTCGAAGCATCCGCCAAAAACTGCGTCAACGTTGAAAAGGCCTTCTTCGACGTCGTTAGACAGCTCCGACGGCAACGACAAGGCAGCGGACGCAACCCCACAGACAGGAAAGAAGCGCGCGTGCGTACCGGCCTGCACGAGAAGGACCGCACAAGAGGAGCCGGTGACCGTCGCACACGGGGTGCCGGTATGACGGGCGGCAACAAGCGCGGCAAAGAGAAACCGAAGTGCGTGATTCTATGAGCTTCTGGCTCGACATCCACTCGGTCCAGCGACCGATACGCCTTCCGACATACATATTTGGATTTACTGCACCATGACGGGCTACGACACCTCCTATTGTCGTGCCACATCACTGATAGAAAGCACTCAACAAGGCGTCGGCATATGAGCGGCGTTTGCATCGACGGTCTCACTTTGGTTTTGCATGAGACCCATGGAGTATCTGGAGTACTACGAACATTAGCCTATTCTTATTTCCTTAACGACCGAGATCTGCGCAGCAACTGAGATCTTACATGATACTGTACGGCTGAATTGATTAAGTGGGCTAGGACTGGCGGGTTGCAAAAGAAGGCAACATCTCGACAGTCTGGAAGACGGTACTGTGGTAGCATGTGTTTATTGTCAGCAGCGCATGGCATTTTGGAAATCTCAAAACCTGGAATAAGGACGGAAAAGTCATGGGTTCAGTTTGGGTACACATTCTTCTATAACGCCCCCCGAGATACCTTTCGAATTCAACGTCTATGTTTTTTGGTAAACAACTACTCCCCTTACCTTGGTTCTTCACATGTGTGATCTTCATGTTTTCGTCCCGGAAAGTGTGTCTCCGATGTTCCGGTACGTCTTCCCCACAAAGCAACCGACCCGACTCCGGCAATGAGGACATGTGGAACCCCGAGAGCCCTTCCCACGCGAGCACAAGCGGGGATTTTGTATTTGAATTAATGGCAAACCAGCCAATCGCTCTACTTCCTCCATCGACAAATGATGAAAGGCAATGCAGCTGGACGAGCGGCAAACGGAGACTTTCGCTCGTGCAGTAACGAGGGAGAGAGGACAATCCCTTCCCCTGCTGTTTCGTGCGTGCGTGCGTTGCGGCAGCGGGCCAACGTTGGCGATATCCCAGCACGTACAGGCGGCGAGTGCAGCTGGTAGCTCCAGGTACGCCCAAGCGCCGTGCATGACTGCGTGCGAACGAACGAGAAATTTTCGCCACCGTGAATGCCTGCATGCGGCAGTCCATTGTTGGCAGTCTTTTTCTTACTCTCTTCCCACGATGTGCTGGTGGGAAAAGGAGAGGGGCGTTTCTGGCATTCTCCTGTCAAGTTGGGCAGCATTGCATACTGCGGGTCATCAAAGAGCCCTGCAAGTCCCCCGAGACGGCAAGGCTAGCGATGTTCCATCACCCATGTGCACTGGCTGGCTGTTGCGACGATAACCAGGCGGCCCTTTGATGCATATACGTTCGAGAGGTGGATGTTGTGCTTTGTTGGATGGAGTTCACAAGATGCTATCGCTACGGTGGCCCTTCAAAGCTGGATCTTGATTCATCTCACGATGCTTTAAGCAACGTCTCACAGCATCATAATGAGTCATGATGAGTTTACGCCGTTTGTGCACTTGTTCTTGTGTACAAGTAAACCGCTACCAACGCTGCTTAGGATAATCCCATCTATCTTGCACACCTCAGAGAGTCCAGACCTCAAGCAAGAGTCGAGGAGACACTGCGGTCAATTTTGCGTCAGGCCTTGACGCGTTGCAGTTTCAGAAGGCGGGACGTCGTACCTGTCAGTCAATCAACCACTGCGGGGTCCAGAAAACCACCTCACTACCAGCACCCATACGCGTAAGCCCAGAATGTCACTACTATACAGTTGCATCCAAATCCCATCACGCCATCGACTGAACTGACATGCTGTTCAAAGGATCACCGCAACCAATCCTTGCTTCCCAGCATGGCTCTTCCAAATTTGGATATGGATATCGACCTGATGGGTGCCCAGCCCGCTCTGTTCAAGCTTTATACCCAACTTGCCTTCTTCTTTCCGCTGTCGGAGGCAGTCGCAGCGTCCCAGCACCAGGTAACCGCGATCATCACCGCAGGATTGGCAGAGCTAGCAAAGAATTTTCCGTGGGCTGCTGGTCAAGTCGTCAACGCAAATTCTGATCCCAAAGCTGCGCCCCTTTACAAGATCCGGCCGTATGAACCGGTACCGCAGTTGATCGTACGAGATTATACTTCCGACTCGGAGATACCCAGCTTATCGCAGATCACAGATGCGGGTTTCCCGATGCAGATGCTGGGTGAGCATGTCTGGGCGCCGTGTCCTACGCTCGCTGCTTTGGGATTTGATCCGAGGAAAGCGTCTGGGAAGGATGATCGGCCTGCCCCGGTGATGCTGGTGCAGATCAGTTATATTCGTGGTGGTATGGTGCTCTGTGTTAATCTGCAACATAATGTTTGCGATATGATGGGACAGGCGGCTGTTATAGGCTGGTTGTCCAAAGCTTGTCGAGGCGAGCAGTTCACTGAAGAAGAGCTCAAGGTAGGTAATATGGCGAGGAGAGGTGTTGTATCGCTTATTGAGGATGAATGCTGGTCTCCGGGAACTGAACTGCAGAACCAGCTTTTCCCTCCAGCTCCCACAGTTGGCAAAGAGCCGGATACCGCTGAGTCGAAGATTACTGAAGCACCTGTCAAGTCCAGTTGGATGTATTTCGACTTCTCGGCATCATCTTTGAAGTCACTAAAGGATCTTGCGACCACCACACTTCCCCAAGACTTTACCAGCTTCATATCAACCGACGATGCCCTCTCCGCATTAATATTCCTCTCCGTTCTACGCGCACGACAACCCCGTCTACCTCCATCCACCCCAACAACACTCGCACGCGCCGTCGACGCCAGACGCTACCTAAACGTCCATTCCAACTACCCCGGCATACTCCAAAACATGGCTTACACGAGCTACAACCTATCCACCCTCTTATCAACCCCGCTAGGCCACATAGCCGCTACAATGCGCCAGTCCGTCGACCCCGAGACATCAGACGTCGCATGGCGAACGCGCTCTCTCATCACCTTTCTCGCCCAATCACCAGATAATGCGACGAAGACGAGTCCGACTGCTACCCTCGATATGGGCATTGATATTGCGCTTAGCTCGTGGACGAAGGTGCCGGCGTATGAGTGGGACTTTGGACTTGGGTTGGGGAAGGCGGTTGCGGTGAGACGCCCGGGTTTGGTACCTGTGGAGGGGCTTGTGTATCTGATGCCGAAGAGCCCTGATGAGAGTGTAGCTGTTGCGATGTGTTTGCGAGAGGAGGATTTGGAGTGTCTGGAGCGGGATTTGGAGTGGCAACGTTTTGCCAAGTACGTTGGATGAGAATGTCCTGAGATGATCAGAAGGAAAATCACAGATGACGACGTCAGATTCTACAGTTTTGCGTAGAGACTACTGATAGCTCAGTCATAGGTGTCTGCCTCGACGACTACAAAGTTTCATATCGACTGAGTCTCATCGGCTTGTTGATTCGGCCACCGAACAGGTACGAATCCTCCAAACCTTCATTCCAATCGTTCACTGCAACGTTAGCGTACTATGGGGTACTCCGGCTCAACTTACCGTCTATTCTCTGCTACATCTCGACGCCATATACCCTTCAAGTCGTTGTATAAGCAGTACCCTAAACGCACTTGGCGACTCGACGAAAACCGTATATTTATAACCGTCATCCACAAACACTCCACTATCCTACATTACGTCAAATCCCAACCATCATCTACTTCTTCTTCTCCCCATCTTTCTCTCCACTCTCACCACTCTCCTCCTCCTTCTCCACAAACATAGTCTCCTGCGCACTCCAAAGCTCACTGTACAAACCATCCCGATCAATAAGATACTGATGCGTTCCACTCTCCGCTACATTGCCCTCGCGCAACACGATAATAACATCGGAGTCGTAAATAGTGCGCAGACGATGGGCGACGAAGACGGACGTGCGGCGTTTCTCTTTGACAAGCGAGTTGATATGTGAGAGGAGGGCTTGCTCGGTGTGCGTGTCTAGGGCGGATGTCTGCGGGGGATGTTATGTTAGTTATTGGTAAAAGAGTAAGGCAGTAGGGGGGGGATAGGAACATACAGCTTCATCGAAGAACAAGAACGGCGGGTCCTTAAGAACAAGTCTCGCGATGGCTAATCTTTGCTTCTCACCACCTGAAATCATCATTCCACGCTCACCAACCATGGTCTCGTAGCCATCGGGGAAGCGGCTGATACTCTCATCAATACGCGCTTTCTTTGCCGCTTCGATGACTTGTTCTTGTGTCGCTTCTAGGTTACCATAGTGGATGTTGTGCTGGATAGTGTTGTTGAAGAGTGGGGTATCCTGCGGTACGACACCAATAGCCCTCCTCAAGCTATCTAGCGTAACATCACGAATGTCTTGGCCATCAATCAGAATGCGGCCTTCTTGTGCGTCGTAGTAACGGAAGAGAAGACGCAGGATGGTAGACTTTCCGCAGCCGCTAGGACCGACGATGGCGACTTTCTTGCCGGCAGGGATGGTGAGGTTGAGGTTCTTGATGATGGGGCGGTCGGGTCGGTAGCCAAAGGATACGTTTTCGAATCTAATTTCTCCGGTCTTCAGGGCGAGGGGCTTGGCGTCGGGCTTGTCCTTGACGGCTACGTTTACCTTTTGGAGGTTGAACAACGTCTCCATGTCTAGGAGACTTTGGCGTAGTTCGCGGTACATGGAGCCGAGGAAGTTGAGGGGGACGGAGAGCTGGAAGACGAGCTGGTTCACCATGACGAGGTCGCCGACGGTCAGTTGACCGGTGGCCACGCCGTTGGCGGCGAGGTACATCATGGCGGTTAAAGCGGAGGAGAAGATGATGTTTTGACCCGAGTTGAGGAAGGCGAGGGAGGTGGCGACCTTGATGGAAGCCTTCTCGTAGTCTTTCAGAGCCTTGTCGTAGCGGCCGACTTCGTACTTTTCGTTGTTGAAGTACTTCACTGCCTCGTAGTTGATCATGGAGTCGACAGCAACAGTCGCAGCCTTGTTGTCTGCGGCGTTGGCCTGCTTCCTGAACTTGGTCCGCCATGAAGTGGTCATGATGGTGAAGACAGAGTAGGCGGTCATGGTTGTGCCTGTGATGAGAGCGAATTGCCAACCATATTGGTATGTCAGGATACCGCAAACTAACGAAATCTCTAATGCTGTAGGGAAGATGTGGAAGACCATGGCAGTCAACAAGAAGCTGATACCCTTGGTTCCGCGATCAATGGCGCGTGTCAGTCCTCCTGTTTGCCTCGATAGATGGAAACTCAGGTCCAGCCTTAGCAGATGATCATAGACACTGCAAGCGACTTTACGAATAGCCTTCTGGGCGACACTGGCAAAGACGGCATTGCGGAGTTCTTGGGAGACAGTGGCGCCAATACGAGTCATTCCGTCTGAAGGGAGTCTCAGCCAGGGTGGAATTCAGATGCATTGTTGGGTCTAGCTTACATGCGATGATCATAGAGCCTGCCACTGTGGTCGCTGTGCCGCCAACAGCCGCAAAGTCTATGTTCATGGCGTCTACAATGCTCTTGAAGTAGAAGGGGACTTGGACGTTCAGCAGCTTTGCGCCTACCAGCAAGCCCAGACTGATGCCGACCCTGAAGCGCGTGCCCATGTTGTCCTTGGGCCACAAGTATGCCGACATCTCTTTCATTATGGCCCAGTCAGCCTTGCGCTGTTCCTTGTTGGTCAGGACTTGTTCTTGCAGCAATGGATCCGACTTTGCGACTTTGGTAGCGGCGGGGTCGGCGGCAGGCTTGGTCGCTTCGATTGCAGGCTTAGAGCCGGGCTTTGGCCGCTGGCCATGCGCATCTTTCCTGTGCAGCGGAGAGCAGGTGAATACGCGAATGCCGTGGTGTAGAGGATGCGGGCGCAAACTGGACGGTCGAAGACCCGGCCGACTGGCGGCGCGGGCGAGTGGTTGGATTAACATGGCGATGTCACATGTTAGGTCTCTGAACCGCTGTCATAGAAGAGAGAAGCTTTGGAAAGCTTCAATGGCGGGAACAAGACAAGATGACAAGAGAGTGTTTGCTCGTGAGTACCTAGACAGCCGCAGCCATGCATCCCACGTTGTCTAGCGCGTTTTGGGCGGCAGGGCTGAAGCGAGGCGGTCTTGCATCATCGCTGCTCCGAGCTTCACAAGAACCTCTTCGCCGCCCATCACGCGCCAATTGCCCGGCACAGCCATGTTACGACCGGCTGCCTCGCCCTGGAGGAACTTCTCGCGCACATCCGCCGCTGCCATACGGCGGACGCCCTTTGCTGCGCGATGCATCAACATATCGGCCACCAGCTCCTCCACCGAGCCCGCGCTGCAGCAGGCAGTCAGTGTTGAGGGCACCGCGACGCCCATGCACACACCAGGTAAGAAAGAGTCAATCGGAAGCATACAAGGTATAAAGACTAAAAGAACCTGTCAGACGCCCGTTTCGAAGTCATTGGCACCCCGTTCTCCCTCCTCTCTGTCTCCCTCTCCGCCTCGCAGACGCTCTACACCCGCCGCGGAACACTCGTCGGCCTCAGCGGAAAGTCAGAAAACACGTTATCAACCCTCTCCTTCCTCGAGCCTCTTCAGCGAGCCCCTGTCGGCATCCCCTTCCTCTACCAGAAAGTGTCTTCAACGAGCCCGGTCACAGCTCTCGTCTCCACAAAGGCACCCATATCGAGCATCGTCTCAGTCAACATGGACGGAAGAGATGACTGGATTGTTAGCCAAAGAAATGCATTGCTAGCGTGGACTGGCCACACTCTCAAGTTGAAGCCGCAGTACAATGTAAAGTTGGGGCTCGCACACTGGGGAAACACATACATTACAGGCAGAGGATTACTTGCGCTTGTAGGAAGCGGGCAAATATACCAGGTCCAGGTCAAGGCTGGTGAAAGCTATGTCGCGCATCCTAGGTATGTTGAGATGATAGGCATACTCGGAAGTTTACACTAACAGCATTGTAGCAACGTCGTAGCGTACACAGCCTCCAACACACCACCAATTCCTTTCAGATTCAAGTCATCGAACCTTCGCTTTCAAGTGCCAGATCTTGGCTTTGGCTCAATGGTCCAAAACACCAAGTTTTTCCGCACCATGAGCAAGACAGGCACATGGCGGGCACTGGCAACCTCATATTACACTCTCAAGACATGGTTGCGGAGAACAGTCTGGGGCGACAGGGTAAGACAACTCCCCGTATAACGTTGTTTCTGCGAATGCTAATACTCCGCAGTTATTCCTCCGTTTCGAAGGCCCAACCACTATGCTCATCCAGTCCCGCGCTTCCCGAATCAGCGACGTTCTCACCCTAAGAAACGTCGACGAGATTGCAGACAGCCCACCAGGCGCTGTTGAAGATGCCGCCACACGGAAGATCAAAGAAGAGATCAAGTCAATAGGAGAGGGCACAAAAGCACCGATACCCAACACAGATGCATCGGGCACAATACGGTATGCCACTGTAAAAGATGGCAAGGCCGAGTTTGAGAAGCCGAAGGTAGAGGAGGTGAAGGTATAGAAAGAGTCTGTACCATATGTATATTTATGACATGGACCTGTGCAGTATTGTCTCAAACAGAAGGCGCTGCTGTGTGATTTGAAGCGCTCATACCTGAAATGAGTAGAACATGCATCTTTTCAACGTATTTGCTTGATACGTAAGGTGCAGCGGTCATTAGTATGGGAAGAACTATCTCTTGGTAATGACTGCTACTGCGGACCTTCAAACGGGTTGTCAAACTTCTGTAACGTGACGTCGGAAGCTAGCTAGTTTAGCGTGAACGTGACGTCTCCCAGCCACTGCCCGCATCGCTTCCACTATCTCGCATTCGCGACAGGCGCCAGCCTACGCGCGACATCACAGCGACGACGCGTGCTAACTACGCCGCAATCATCGCTATGGCATGGTATACCCGCGCATGCGTCTTGCATGACTGGACAGCATGTGCCACAGCACGCGACTTCACGCGCGAGGCCTGCTTGTCCACCAAGGGCTATCGCCATCGAATCAGGCAAAGAGACCAGTCTTGAGACTTCACACTGACAAACCGAAAGTAGCCTTGTTGACGCTAACTCACATCAGTGCTTCACTGTCTCGACCTTACTCTGCAGATTTAGAAGATGCAGACCCAGCCGAATCATTTGAGCAACGATCTCAAGATACGCATCCAGGTGCATTTTGTTGAAAGCATACCTCGCAGCGCGCCACGGCGCCACTTCGTACTCATGATGCCCAAAAAGGCATCCGGGATCATATAAAATCGAGTTTCTCATCTTCCTGTCGACACTGACATTAGCATGCCACATGTCGCCGTGTAACAGTACAGGTTCGATCTTGTTACCACCACTTTCCATCGGACGAAGGAGCCGAGAAACTACCTTTCTCATAATGTCCGCGGACAGGGCATCCATCTCCGGATCTTCACCATGTATCGAGCGCTCTAATTGCATGAGGTAGTGTAAGTTGCGGCTGAAGTACTATTCCCAAGTATCGCACCATCGGTTGTGATTGCGAATATTTCCCTGGAAAGCTACATTCCCGCGTCAAATTCAAAGTACCATTCGCACAACAAGATACCTACTATCGATGTGGAATCCAAACTTCCCTGTTGGCGATTCATTGCTAAAATCGTATGTTAGCACTCGTGAATCGCTTAGGATACTCGGGCGAATTGGTAAAGACATTAAAACTGCGGGTGCGTTTCTCGTTCCACGGTCCACGATCTACGTCGAAAAGTCGCGTATCTTCTCAACACTTTCCAAGTTTTGCTTGCAGAATTTCCGCTGGGTATACATTTTTCATTCGAGAACACTTTGGTGTGTATGGAGAAGTTGCGTATTGCGCAAACTGAGTGGCTCATTGCTCTGCGTCATCGCGGTACCTGCTGATCAAATTGGTTAAAGGTTACTCACAAAACATTTGGGTTGCGGCAAGTCGTTTCCTGATGGGACAGTCTCAACCAAGGATGAAATTCTTGGTAGGAAAGACTCAAGACTTGCTGAGATTATCACTGGCTCCTACATGAGTCAAAGGGTGTGGAAAAGCGATAGCGACTTAATCACACGGCCGACTATAACCATGGCATGGTAATGATCAATGATTCCACATCCTAGTTCTTGGAAGCGATTTGGCCTGAGCGTATGTCATTAGAAGAGTATAAAAGAAATCTTTTCTTCTCTCATGTTCGTGCAAATCTCTAAACATTTACACTCAACCCACACCCAACCCGCACAAAAGAGATCACAACAAGCCAAGATGATCCCACCAACTACCTTCACCTGCTTCCCCGATCTCGCACCAGAGCTCCAAGTCATGATCATCAATCACGCGCTAGAAGAAGACATGGCACAGCGGAAAAACAAACTGGTATTGCACCTTCACTCAAATGACCCACGCCGAGTTAACCACACCGGTAACCCACCCACTTCCATCGCTCCTTGCTCTATACAATTACCCAGGCTGCCCGCCCTCTATTACACCGACCGTCTATTCCGCGGCGAAGCACTCCGAACACAGCCTTTGCAGCAGCTTTTCATGGGTGACGAACCCACGACACCCGACACCCTCGGCGCATTACTTATCTTTGATGCAGATCGCGACACGGTGGTAATCGAGATAAGCAAATGCTGCTTGAAAAATCCCTACAACATGTGGCGACTCTTCGCTATAATGGAACCCTTATACCAGCCCTCCGTCACGCGCGTGATCGACATAGTCGTGCAACCAATTGCGCTCCCGCTGGGTGTATACCGCAAATTTCTGGCTGACGCATCGAGGGTTAGGAGACATGCTGGCTTCTTGTTAGTCACAGATAAAGTAGAGGTTGGTACATGGCATTTGTTTCTTTATCCACGATCCTCGAGTCCGGGATGAGGTAGAGATATATTGGATGGAAGTGTTGGGGGTGAAAGGCAACATGAGAGAAGAAGACGTGGGGGCTGTCAAAGATAAGCATGTATCCATACAACTATCATGTCAATACTGTGTCTTTCTTCCTCAACCGTTGACTTGTTGGATGTTGTTCTCTTCATCCAGACCTCTTGTGTACTCCAGCCTATATTACTCTAGCTTAATCTCTCTACCTTGTCTTCTCCTATATCTTAACGTCAATTGTGTTGACCGCGGTTTCTCCTTGTGACAACTTTGCAAAATGCGCGGCGCATATTTCTGGTAGTAGTTATAGATCTTATATACCTTTTATCTATATGTTCGTAGTGATGCAAGCAAAAGCGTAGGACCAACACATATAACGCCAACGCAATCTACATCTACGAGTGATCCGTATTTTGAGTTCCAACTGAACCCAATATCTCACTTCGCCTTCCCACCAGCCCTCTCCCTAATCCTCTCGTCCTTCTCAAACCTCTCCTCAAACATCCTGTAGAACAGACCAAGCCACTCCTTCTCGCGATCGCTCAGCTGACGCGCAGGGTTCTTCCAGCTGTTCGCCAATATCTCCTTGATACGGCGTCTCAAGACCTTCAGCGCGACAGCAGCTCTCCATTCACGAACTGCGAATCGGATGACATTGCCGGGTAGACTGATCACACCGGCGTGCAGCTTGAAGTCCATATCGGCAGCGACCATGAGTACCATGGGAAGTGGGTAGGCGATTGAGGTGGAGTGCGCGTTGTAGAACTTGTTGCTAGATTGCATGATGTTGTAGTACGATAGGAAGTCGGCTGTTCGCGAGCCTTTGTTGACGGATGTTGGTCCTAGGCTGACGGTTTGGTTGTTGGAGATGTTTCGCCAGCCCTTGCCTTCGCGGGTTAGGATCTTGGGATAGAATGCTGTGGCGATGACGGAGTTGACTAGAACATCGTTGTCGGTGTGGATGTCGTATTGTGCTGGCACCTCAACGAAGACACGGTGGCGTGTCGTATTCCGGTAGCGGCCTATCGTGCGACGCTCGTCGAGCGTAAGTTGTATAAACCCGGCGTCAACCAATGAGGAGAAGAGCTGCGCTTTGAGATCCTCGATGTTACCCAGGTTTTGCGGACTGAGGAAGTTCTTGTGGCAGAATTGCATCTCAGACCGTCCCGGAGTAGTGCAAACTGCTTTCCAAGCCCTGTAGGCATTGTAAGTTGTGAGGAGGTCGGAGTCGCCCTTCTTGAACGCAAGGCGAGCGATGTCAGCTCGTTGTTTTTGTTGAAATGGTGTCAGGAACGGAGACTTCGAAGAAACAATGGCAGCAATGGTAATAGCAACATCAACACAAGCAAAAGTACTTGCAAGGAGTACAAGCTTGCCCAAGTGCGCGTCCAAGGGGAGTTTCGCAATCTGGCGACCAAGAGGTGTTAGTTCCTCGCTCGGCGTTAACGCGTCGACCTCTACAAGTGCATCGATAGCGCGACGAATGTTCCTGGAGGAGGGTGGATCGAGTGCCTGAGCAAGGGTGGCTTCGATATCACCGAGTTTGCAAATCTTGACGCGCATGACCAAATCCTGTAGCGAAAGTCTGAGCATTTCGGGGGTTTGCTGTTCTGCCATGAGGTTGTCGTGACGGTATTTTGTGAAGAGATGGAAACATAGACCCTCTTGTACACGACCGGCACGACCACGGCGTTGCTTCGCATTCGCTCTTGAAATGAAGGATTGCGTAAGACGCGACAGCTGTCTGCGCTCATCAAACCTCATCTCCTTGTGCTTACCGGTGTCGACAACACAGGTGATATCCGGGATCGTGACTCCGGTTTCGGCGATGTTGGTAGCGAGCACGATCTTGCGTACGCCCGGGGGTGGAACAAGGAACGCAGCTTGTTGATCCTCACTCGAAATGGTGGAGTGTAGCGGGTACACATACCACTCAGCCTTGAAAGAAGGATGACTAGCCAGTATATCGTTGAGCTGACGAATCTCAGCAAGTCCTGGGAGGAAGACTAAGATAGCGCTGCTAAAGCGACTCAGCTGCGGATCAAATGCGACCGTCTCGATCAGTCGTGTGATCAGGTCGTAGTCAATGGCATACTCGTCGTAGTTAGAGAGCACATCGCGTGTTAGTTGGCTGTAACCTGGGAGCTTGTTGGGAATACCGGATTTATCGCTCGTAATCCCATCATCCTCGTCGTTATCGCTCATGGCGGCAGCTTTGGTCGCATCAGATGCTCCAGCATAATGCGTCAACTCGACTGCATCCTCCAGGTATCGAGTCTGAACCGGGAAGGTGCGACCTGGTACTGTGAGGATCGGTGCGTCGTTCAGGTATCTTGAGAAGCGTGCGGCATCTACCGTGGCACTCATCAGTATGACCTTGAGTTCAGGCCGCCGTTCCATGAGTGACCGAAGTATGACAAGAAGGAAATCCGTGTCGATGGATCTTTCGTGGACCTCATCAATGACCAGATGCGTGACCTCTTGTAAACCTCCGGGTGATTCCAGCATTCGTAATACCACACCCACCGTCGCGTACACCAAGCGAGTCTGGGAGGAAGTCTTCGACTCAAGCCGAATTGCGTATCCGACAAGTGAGCGTATGGACCCTAGATCTTTAGGTCCTTCGCCTAGTTCTTCGCTCACACGTTGGGCAAGCGAGATCGCCGAGATACGTCGGGGCTCGGTGCAGTAGACTTTGCATGCCTTGCCTTGCGATAGCTCGTGCTCGAGGACGAAGGCCGGAATCTGCGTACTCTTTCCGCATCCAGTCTCACCGCAGATGATGGTGACCTGGTTCTTGTCCACAGTGGATAGAATCTCATCTCTGAAGTGGAAGACTGGAAGGTTCATTCGACCGACGAGCATGTGCTGGTATGATGGAGTTGTTGCTTTGGCGCCCCATTGCTCTCTTAGGCCGTCGTGGTGTCGTACCGGTGTGCTATAGCCAGAGTTAGATGTGCTAGAGCTTGTCGCAGCCTGATTGCGCGCCTTGAAGCGATTCGTAAGCACGACGCCGTCCGATTCTTCGTTCTCGATCTGATCTTCGATGATTGAGCGATAGTGCTTGATAGCATCACGGTCTGCCGCATCTAGTCGTGTCTTTCGACGCTCCAGGAATTCTCTGTAGACCTCTCTCCAGTTGGACGGAAGGCGCAGATATACCTTTTCCTCCTTTAGCAGAGAGGCAGAGATCGAGAAGAGGGCGGCAACAGAGATGAAGCTTTCGCTCTGCTCGACAGATACAGCAGCAATTTCGTTTGCTGCTAGCGTGACCTGCTTTCTGTACGGAGTACAGACCACACTGGAAATTTCTGTGTCGTACTCGAAGTCTTGTTCCTTAGACCAGAAGATTGTCAGCGAGTGCCGGCAAGTATACGTGGTAGGCGAGATCATTTTGTAAGTTAAGCGTGCACCAGTATCCCTGAAGCTATTAGTGATTGTTGAGAAATCCATCGAATGACCTACCTTGATCGAACTGCCTCTTCGAGCACTTTGCGAGGAGACATTCCACTCATCTTGCCGAAGTCGCGCAGGGCTATGTTGTCAGTACTTGCACCGTTGACTGTACTCTCTGGAGCGGACGTTGCATCAGGCACTGCCGAAAACATGCCTCCGAGTAGATCAGCATCCTCTTCCTCTCCATGCTCGCTTGATGGTTTTGATGATGTGACAGCAGCTTCTGCCTTAGCCGACGCTGGAACATCAAGGGAGGCGTCTTGGTCCTGCACCTGCGAACCATTGGGCTGTGCGTTCTGACGTTGCCTCTTTTCGGCTTGACTTTGTGCAATCTGGTTACGCTTCACGGGCCACTGCGCTTCAGCTTGGTCCTCGTCAAAAAGGGCATCGGAGGTCAGCTGTTGCAACTGAGAAAGCAGCTTCCGAATGGCCGGAGTCTGAGGTGGCACAGGCGCCGACTTCTTAGATTTTGGACCTTTTTGCGACTTCCGTGCAGGGGCATCGACTAGTTGAGGATCAATTTCGAATAGTTTGCCCTTGATTTTCAGATACGCTGGAATGAGCTCATCGAGTTCGAGGTCGCTATCAAGGTCACTAACGTCAATGTTAGAGTCATCAGAATTCGCCGGCACTGAGGCATTGAGAGCTGCTGCGGAAGGTGAGGGTCCAGTTACAGTTGCTCCGTTCGCTGATGGCTGGGGCGGCGGAGTGGCTGGCCGAGAAGTGTCAATGTCTTCAAGTGTTGAACGCTTAGGCTGCGATTCTTCGTACGAAAAGGAGTGATCCTCGCATTGGTCCAAAGCAAGCCATTCTAGCGCTTCCTGAAGCCCCCATACACCGGAGGATGCATCGATACCGGCAGCGTTGGCACATAGCCATCTCAAAACGGGCTGGATTTGGTCTTGGGAGAAGCCTAGCTCACGTAGGGTAAGATCAAGGGTCCAAAGCTTAGACATGGCATCCTCTTCAGTCAGGGTTTTAAGAAGGGATTGTTGACCTTGTCTCCTGTTTGAGTCGTTCGACTCAGCCTGGGCCAGGCGAATAATGCTGTCCAGAATTTCACTAGGAAGCCAGTCATGGACGGTCATGACGTGCGACTGGCTGCGGAGGAGCCTACGGTCTGTCTGGAATTTTGAGACATGTCGACTAGATTCGCGGCGGACCTTGGGCGCATGCTTCTCAACAAGCAGCTGGAGTTCATCACGCTCTAGTTGGGCTTCCAGTTCCTCTGGAGTGGGCGCGACTTCTGGCTTGACCGCCTCGGTCTGCTGGGACGTCTGGAGCGCCTCCGTGGGCTCTGGTGCAGCCGCGGCTTCCTTTGACGGTACTGGGGTAACTACCTTGGCTGGGATGTCTGGGGAAATTCTTTCAGGCTTTGGCTTACTCGCGACGGACGTGGTTGCAAATCCACGTGCGGGGTTGCCGGCGGGCTTCTTCTTCTTCGCCATGGCAAAAAACTCTTAGTTTGGTTGAGTGGTGGTAATGTGAGGTGCAGGGGTCTCAGGCGGGCTTCCGTATAGAGTATATCGGGGCTTGATCCCGGG